AAATGCTCAACCCGGCGGGGGAGGCAACGCAGCAAGCCGGAGGCCGAGTACCTGGCCGTCAGGTACCGGATCAGGGGTCCGAGAAGGGGTCGGTGTCTGGCATGGTCGCGCCGCCGGAGGCCTTGACTGCTTTCACAATAATCAGTATATCTGCGAAAAAGTGAGGGGAAACATACAAAAGTCAGGCCATCCGTTGGCCACGACCATGGCCACAACCACACCACCCCACCGACGAACGGCAGCCCGAAACTCATCTTCCTAGATGATCATGAGCTGCCTCCGCAGCCATTGGCTGCCGTCGTGCGGGGGGCGGGGGCGGGCTTGTTGACCACCGCGAAGACCCCTTCTCGGTACCCTGATGGGGCGTTGCCTGACGGCCAGGCGGCCCCGCGCATGCCTGTGGGAACATAGGTCAGTCATGGTCAAAACAACGGTAGAGGTAGACCTCTGAAACCAGAAGGAGAAGGTAGAAACTTACTGCGCTACCCTCCTTACCGCCGGGGAAGAAATATAACTAGATATAATGTTACCTACAACATGTTAGCACGTAGTCAAACGATCGAGATGCATTAGCTTTGAGGATGCGAAGGGGACAAAAGCTGAGCGTGCGACAAATGGAGTGGTAAATCAGAGGAATAATGGAAGTTGTACTGACCCATAATGAATGTTGATAAAGAAGAAAAGAGGAGAGTAGGCCCTAGACGCGCGGTTTTATCCTGATGGCGCTCCTGCCCACGGCAAGCGCTTAGCATCAGGTCTCGTCTGCACTGTACATCGCAGTTAATCTATAGAGAAGGAGCAAACTGTCTAAGTGGCTGAGCATCTCTTAGATTTGTAACACTTACTTAGTCTATAGCTGTACAAATAAGCGATAAGACCTCGCACTCGAAGGTATTAGACGCGACTTAACTTTATTGCGTGTAGGGAGAGAGGTTGTGATTTGTGAGTCCTTTGCACGCGCTTGCAGGTCGCTAACAAACGTCAAGTGCGCGCCTTGTTTCTAACCTATTTTCTAATGCGCGATTACAGCCAAATTCAAGTGTAGCCGTAGCAGTAGAATTAGGTGATAAGCGATCTGCTAGGGCTGATGTGCAGCTATGAAGGGGGAGGAGGAGGAGGAGGAGGGAGGAGGATACCTAAGTATGGCGCACGCTCATGCGCCCCCTATGCGCCATCTGCACAGCAGACCCCAACATAGCTATGGCTGAGGATCCCTTGTTGCATCAAAGACTGCTAAAAGCTGTAGACGGGATCGAGCAGAGCTTGTGGAAGGTTGCAAGCGCCCGATTCAACCTTAGAAAAACAACACCTGACTACCGTAAACTGCAGTAAAAAACCCGTAAGCAGTACCTCAAAATCTGGCTGATTGGACAAGTGAACTTGTTTTCAACGTCCTATGGTCGTATGTGGAAGTACAACATGTATTTGACAGCAATATCTTGAGTAACGCACACTCTCAAGCCCGTCGACCCAGCGATGAACAGCCTCCGATGAGTGAAAGACTCCCAGCACAGCATCCAGAGCATCTTCCTCGAAAGAGAGTTCTCTCCTACTATATCTCTGCAGCATGATATCACACCCACAAACCAGTATATATCCATCGCAATCATATATCTCTACCGATCCATCTAACCCCCTTCTCCACTCCACTCCATACAACCAACAAAACAGGGTATAGTGAAAAAAACTCCCATGAAAAGACCCCCATGTGTGAAATAACACATACACCGTCTTGCACCCCAGCCACAACCAGAAAAGCGTTTTAGTCGGGGTTACCAAAAAGACCCAACGACACAATGCAATACAACGAGAAAGAAAAAAACCAGCTACACCATACCATACCATACCAAGTTCATACCCATACTCATGCTAAACCTCATCATCCCGCTCCTGCCCGAACAAAAACGGCACAACGGCGGACAGCGAAAACGGGATAAAGTGTCTTGAGGGGTCGAGGGGGTGCTACCTCCGGGCCTATGGATGAATCAACATCGCGGTAGCATTACGGGGCGGGTTGAAGACTAACCAAATTGCCATTACCGCCGACAGCGGCCCTTTGCTTGCCGAGCCAGCTTTTGGGCGCGTCGCTGCGGCGCTGCAGGATGACTGTGTTGCTCTGCAGGCGCATTGTCATGTCGTACCATGCTGATGTGATGAGTTGGTTTTCGCGGCGTAGGTTCTCGACTTCTTGCTGGAGTTCGGCCTAGTGTGTGTGTTAGATGGCGGTGTGAGGGATGTGTTGTGCGGTGGGAAGATACATACCGAGCCCTTCTCGGCGGTCTCCTTCTTCGCTTGCTCGAGCTGCTCGCGCAACATGTTGGTGGTGGCGATTTGTTCTTGTAGATCCTATATTCACTGTTAGTGACAAACTCCAGCAGTCATCGTGCGATGGAAGCAACGACGAGGATGAAAACTAGAAGAAAAAACAGCGGAAGAACGATGCGAGCTGAGTATGTTTCAAGGCAGCAAGGCCAAGACAAACTTGCCAAACACCCATCTGCAACCAGAGGAGTGAAAAGTTCACTGCTCATCAACGACCCCCTTCGTCTTTTAGGCGACAGCAGCTGCGTCATCCGACCCCAGGTAGTTTGTCCCGTACCCGCCGTCGAAGCAGACATCTCAGACAGTGACTTCTTTCCAGGAAGGCGCTTCTCCGCCGAAGCAGGGCAAATGAGCGTAGCCGCCGAGAAAGACGGATCAAGCTGGTGTCTCGATCGCATAGTGGAAACTGCAGTTTCGAACGCCGAAGAAGGTGACTTTACATGTGAAATTTGGTTGGTGCTTACTTTCTTTGCCTTGTCTAATGCCGCTTCCGAGGACAGCACGACCTCTGCAATCTCCGAGGATGTGGTTTCAAGCACCTTGGGCTGCACTTCTGCAGGTGCCTTGACAACCGATTCAATCTGCTCGCGAATCTGCCGCAGTGTCTCGGCTCTCTTAAGTTCGAGAAGCTCGGGTGACAGGTTCTCCCGGTCGAGCAGAGCGGCGCGCAGGAGGCTTGTTTTCTCTTCGTTAGCAAGTTCAAGCTCTCGTAGTTTCTCGTTCGTTTTTTGTTGCAACCCCAACATGCGCTCATGCTCGGCATGGATGAACTCCGCTTTATCATCTTCGCTGATATCGGATTCTGCAGGCGTCAGAGAGGTAAATTGACCGAGCTGGTTGTACTGACTCTTGGTGAGCTCGTTGCGAAGCTCTGCCATCTGCAAGTCCTTCTCTCGTAACCTGCGATGTAGTTCCTCGAGCTCGAGTTCGGCGATGTGTAGCTTGTCATTCTGCTCGAGGAAGGGCCTGTTGCGAACATTAGCTTTATCTCACAATTGAGCCCGTGTCGTCGACGTACTGTTGGCTTTCCTCATCCTTCTCGGCCATTATATCAGACCTCAGCCCCAGATTCTCCTGCATTTGTTTCAAAGTCTCTGTTTCCAGCGACTTCAAACGAGCACTCAAGATGTCGACCTTCTGCTGGAGAGCAATCGTGTCTGCGCTCACTCGTCCGTCCATACCACTCTCATGGTCCTCCTTTGCGTTCTCATCGAGAACCAACTCGTCCTCCAGGCTGCCACCGCGGTCGTGACTCGACGACTCCAGATCTCGTATCCGGTCTTCGAGCTCGTTCTTGGCGTCCTCCGCTTTATATTGCAACTCCCGAGTTTGTTCGAGCTGCTTCATGAGTAGTAGGTTTTCGTGCTCAATCCTTGTCCGCTTGCCCTTCTCCTCGAAGATGGCTTGTTCGCAGTTGACGAGAGTCTGGCTGTTCTCCTTGTTCACCTTCTCGAGCGCCTCGCATCGCTCCTCTATGTTTTCAAGCACTTGCAGTCGTTCTCGCGCCTGCTGATAATCCTCACGCAGCGTTTCCAGTTGTTTGGTCTCCTTCGTTAGCGTCTCGATCTTCTTTTTGAGGTTTTCGTTCGCCTTGGCCCTCTGGTTCAACTCATCGCGTTCGGCCTTGACAAGTTGCAGCTGATCGCGTAAATCCTGCTTCGTCCCCTCTTCCCCTTCATATCGCTCCAGACGCCGATTTTTGCTTTCCAGAATATCCCTAGCATTGGCAAGGTCCGTCTCCAGCTGGTCGATGTATTGTGAATAGCGCGTGAGGTCGTTTCGCATTCGCTCGACATCATCAGAATCGGCACGCGTTGTCGCTCGGTCGTCCAACCCAACTGTAGCTTCAGCAAGTTGATCCTCCAGGTGCGTGATCCTGTCTCGAGACCTCTCCAACTCATCCTTCAGCTTCCCAAGATGCGTCTTCAGGGCGTGTCTATCCTTATTCGCCTCAAACAACAACGCCTCCTGTTCCAGATCGCTATCTCTTGAGGCTGGTCCAGACGAAATGCGTGTTGGTGTCCTGAAGCCTGTAAGCTTTGGCTCCGGTGTTAGTTCTGCATCCATGCCCAGCTCCTGCATTCTGGCGTCCAACGACTGCATCTCCCGTATAGCTTCTGCGATTGTTTCGGCGGTCTTGGGGCCGAGTTGAGCCATGACCTGGAGCATCCTCTGATTGCTCTTGGGCGAGAAACATGACGCAAGCAAGACGGCCATGGATAATTTGGCCGTGAGCATCATCGACCCATCCCTAGCCCCTGTCTTCAGGTCTGGTATCATGCGTTTTGTAAGGACAGACAGCTGCCCGCATTCCTCCCGTATGTACGTCGACACGGCGCGCTCGATGTGCTTCAGGTTCTGCCATCGTGGTATCCAGTTGTCCGACGCGCGGCGGTGGCTCTCTTCGAAGTTGGGGAGGGACTCGTTGAAGTAATCGGCGTCAATGTCGGCGAGGATCTGCCAGAGGATCTGTCCATCTTCGAGCTGATTCCACGCTGTTACTCTACCAGGGAGTTCAAACGTATTCACCTGTCACAGCTTTGTCAGCGGGGAGCGCACAAAACGCACAACGATCTACAAGCATACCCAGTCGAGGAGAGCCTTCAAAAGCTCAGGCTTGAAATCGTCCATGGCTCAGACGCGGGGCTCACAACCTCACAACCCGCCGGCGTGCGGAGTTATTCTTGAGTGTGGTCGAGAGCAGAGTGAAGGAATATTTATGCATCATGAGGTGGCAGGCGACCCATGGGCGGAGTGCTACACGTCGCAATGATCATGTCCCACCTTTCGACGCGGTGAGCTCGTTGGGCAATCACGCTAGGTCGAGCGGCAACCCAGGCACACCCTCGCGACGGGCCAGGCACGTCAGGAGTCAGAAGTCCACGGGCAAAGGAGGCGTCGTACAATCCGAGAGAAACGTCTGATCTACCTCGCCTTGCATGCGTCAAAGGCGAATCAATGCCAGGTCGAGTGCAGCCTCACGCACGCTGTCGTGGCTTCGAAGTGGCGGGGAAGGAAGCGGAGCCTTCCGCTGCAGGGCCGCTAATATCAATTCGCAGCCCCGTTTTCTCGAAATACACATGCTGCACTTCAACATTTATGGGGCCACAGTGTGTCATGCAAATAGTCGCTAGGACGAGTTTGTGCATCATGAGAAAGGATCGGGAAGGCAAATGTTTCATTCAACGACCAAGATGCCGATACAACTCTACAAGTTCCAAGATCAAGCAATAATACAAGTCACATAATAAGAGCCATGACCTGACGCGACCGTGACCAACAAACTAAATCCAAGCACGTGTCTACTGACAAGGAGCAAGAAGATCTGGCACCAATCCAGCAGAACATCGTCTCCACACAAAAGCCTACTCGTTCTGCGTCGTCACAACGCCATCCTCCTCGATCTCGGGGGTGATGCCATCAGCCATAGTCGACACAAATTCGAGCGCGGTAGCCGGTGCCTGGCACGCGAAGCCCTTGATGATGTCTGCAGTCCCAAACGTCAGCTTACGTCCTGCCTTGTATTCAATATCGTAAGCTACTCACTGTATTCGTGTGTAATAACTCCATTTGCCTTTCGAATAGCTTCTTTAGCCTCCTCGACAACGTGATCCGGCGTCTCGTTCGGCCAGCTAATGATAACGGATTTCTGCGGAACGGCGGCCATGGCGAAGGTAGCGAACAGAGCGATGAGAACTGAGAGGATTGTGAAGCGCATGTTGAGTAGTAGAGCGGGATGATGAGGCAACGGGAAGTTCAGGTAGTTTAACAAAAACTGACGCCTTGAGCGGGGTGATTAGGGATTGCGAGTGGGGTGATTTGCGTATGCAGGTAAGGTGATTTGTTGATTGTAGGTTATTGAGCGGAAGTGTGTGGAAATAGGAAGGTGGGAAGGTCGACTTAGAGTGTTCTGAAATGGTGGATGTGGGGATGGGGAAGGAGCGAGCCCATGCGCGTCATCCCGGAAGCACGTGAGATTGGATTGGACAGCCATGCTAGATATCAACGGCATTCCAAACAAAGCACGAGCTTGACGTCTGCCAAGTATTGCAACATTTGCAGCGCTGGATTGCGAGTCCAAGCCAAGCACTGTGTATCAACAAGGATCACAAATTCACGAAGAAACCACAAGATACGCTGATGATTGATTGCTACCTATGACTGCTATGTAGACTCACCATGACGCCAGAACGAAAGAAGCGACGCCGAAGCAAGCAACTTTGTATTTGGGTGATCGTGATCGACGCGTCGAGACGTCCTCCGAATTCGTAGCCCGTTACAAACCAATGAAGAACAACGCCGTGGAATGATGTAAAGAAATGGCCACCCTTGCGATGAGCATGGCATGTAAATGCTTTTGAGCACACCATCTTTGTCGGTTCGATTCGGTTAGGTAAAAATGACAGGAATAGAAAACAATGTGTGCAAGAATGTAAGCCATGAATGCAAGGGGGAAATAATGAAAAGTGACATGGCGATGCGTGCCAGTCGTAAGATCCTTCCCGCAGCGCCGAAAGATGCCGAATGATGATATCCCAGGCTCCGATTATGCTCGTGTTGCAATGATACTGTACAAAACGACCTGTCAATGACGAGAGTTATGAATGAGTACCTGAGCAACAGCTCAAGACATATCCATTCGTACTATGCAAGATCGAGAGATAGAAGAGGTATCGCTCCTCAAAGATTGGCACGCAACAGTAATACCAACTACGTGATAGCGATGTTGAGTAACGATAAGGTGCGAGTACCTTCTTGAGAGACGGGCGTGACTCGTGAGATCGTAGCGTCGTCAGAGGCCACCAGATCGTGTACCTTAGAAGAAGCTTCCCATTCCGCTGGACTGAGAGATGCCGTACTGCTGGTAGGCCTGGTTTTGCACAGGATTGTGCAAGTGGTTCGGCATAGGCGGGTTGCTCAAGCGGTGCGGGGCACGGTGCGGCTGAGGTGACGCGATGTTGGAACCATAGTTGGCAGTAGCGGTGTACATCGGAGACTGATAACCAGACGAGCTGGGGACTTGGCTAGCAAACGCAGAACTTGATTCGGGGGATTGACGCGTCGAAACGTTGTGCGGGGAAACCTGACCAGATACCTGACCAGAAGCGCGACCAGTAAAGGCAGCAAGACGGCCCTCGCGTTCCTGAACCTTGCTCTGAATGCGACGGCCATACGGTGTCTGGCGGATCTGCGGCAGGATAGGGCGCATCATCTCGATAAGATGCAGGCACAATTCCGGGGGAGCGAACTCAAGGGCGGTCTGGATCACGTAGTTGCCATAGGAGTCGCGCATGAGCTTCTCAAGCTCTTCAACGTTGAGGAGCTCGGCGATCATCATAGCCTTGGATCCCATGTCTGCGCAACGGATGCACTTCTCGATAACGTTGGAGCTGAACTTTTGCTTCGAGAGTTCGGTGATCTTGCCGCGGAAGCCCTCACACATCGGCGCCGTGAAGTTGGGATCATTCAGATCAAGAATGTACTGAACGACGTAATTGCCGAAAGGATCTTGGACGAGGTGGAAGCTGTGAGCAGTGATCTGGCGAACAAGATTGACTTTCTGGAAGCCAGAAGCGTGATCGATGCAGCGCTGGAGAACACAGCAGCCGTGACGATGAGTGCCGACGGTGACGCAGTGCTGACCGACAGCATCAAAGATGAACTGCGCTTCCGACGATTTGAGATGGTTCAAGCACTTCTGGATGACGTGGTTGCCGTTGAGGTCCTGGATGAGATCGACGACCTGGCCAGACAAAGCCTGGATGATCACCTCAGTCTGCTCTTCGGTGGAGATAAACTCGATCATCTTCTGCAGAGCGCGAGTACCATGCTGGTTGAGAGCGATGGAGACCATTGCCGGGGCAGCGTTGCGGACGAGGGTGTTGCGCTGCTCGTCGTTGGCGTACTCCAAGAGCTTCTGGCAGAGGTAGTTGCCGAAAGGATCTGCTTGTAATCAGTATTGAGTTGATGGCATCGTAGAGAAGGAAGATATGTACCAGTCATGAGCTCAACAACATGAGGAGCAGTCTCATCAAAGATGATCTGCATGTGCTCTGGGTTATGCTCCTCGAGCTTCTTCTGGAGGAAGCGGCAACCGTGCTGGTCCTTGCACAGGCTGTAGATCTCGTGACGCGGCATAGTCTTCAAGTCGTAGTTCATGAAGCGATTTGCATCTGTGTCTTTCAAGTTAGCGATGGAGTAGCTGGGCCATGTCAAAATCACATACCATTCTGCAGACGACGGCTCTGAATGACGCGAGCCTGGCTGTCCTGGACCCGACCGTTGGGGCCATACGAAGAGTAAGGGTTGTAGTACTGCACACCACCGCCATACATGGCGTTATGGTTGTAAACAGGAGGGCCGTTCATTTGCGGGCCATGTCCAAGGGAGAGGCCATTCATGGCACCGTTGACCATTGACATGCCATATCCATAGTACGGGGCAGTAGGAGTCGAAGTAGTCGAGTACTGAGACATGGCAGGGGACGTGATGTTGCCGTTCATGGTAGCGCCCGATGTCATGGAAGGGCCGAAAGGCGCAGCGCTCGCATGGAGGCCAGACTGCACAGGGCGATACTCTTGCTCCTTGAAACCGGATGACATATCACGGCTGTGACGGTTGGAGGCAACGTTAGGAGGGATGCGACCAAGATTGGCATTATGGTTGTGCAGGTGCTGCTCGGCGTGCGTGTTGAATCCAGTCCCGTTCGTGCCATTCCCGCCGCTGCCGTTCTTCAGGGTCGGGACATCACTGGCGGAAAAGGACTGGGTCAGTTTCGGCATACTGTTGGTGGGGCTAGCGAAGCTTGAGCGCTTGGAGTCCGAGTTCATCGAGCCGAAGTTGAACTCAACTGAGCGGCGGTTGTTGATCATGGTCTTGGTGGGGGTGGTGTCGGTGTTGCCGTTGCTCTGGCCAATCTCGTACTCGTCAACCTGGGAGGCTTTACGGAATGTGTTAGTAGGGAGCGACTGCTGAGCTTGACGGTGACGGTATCCATGCCAACCACTGGACTGGGCTTCCGGGACAGGGGATTGTGATAGGGCCAAATCAAGAGCAGCGGAAGATGCAGAGAGTTTCGTACCATTACCAGCGCCATCGCGACGGACCAAGATGGGGAACTTGTCATCCGTGTTGCCCATCTGGAGATAGGACTTGTGGTCTGGAGAAGCCACTGGGTTATGCTCCTTGTCCTCGTCGCCGAATAGGTAGCCTGTAGTGTCGATATGGCCAAGAACGGAAGCCAGATCCGGAAGGTTATCACGGCCGCGAAGATCGAGACCGGTGACAGGCATAGACATGCGATTGTTCCTGCTTTGCTTGAATCAGCCTGGAAACTTGAAGGTTGTACAGGTTCAGTGTGTTTGCAAACGGCAAATAGCTCATGATATTCAAGCAAAAGAACGCTTGATCAGGTAAAGGTAAAGTTGCAACTGGACTTACTTGCGCGTAACTGGGCTCAGAGGGGTAAAGTCGTCATTGTCAAAGTCGTCATGGTCTTCGTCGGAGTTGCGGCGCGTGCCCGGCATGGACTGAGAGGGCAGGTTGCCGTTGCCAAAGAAGGTAGCCGGCGGAGAAATGACCTGGGAGTTGGCACGGCTACCACGAGGGGTAGTCATACCGGGGTTGATGCTGGACATGCTGAAGCGGTTCGGACGCGAAAAGGCAGTAGGAAACCCCTTGCCCTCGCTAAACTCAGGTGGGGTGGTGGGCTGGCTGTGTGCGGGCTTGCCGTAACGGACTTCAGTAGCAAGGCGCTGAATTTCTTCTTCGCCGCGACGAGACTGCAAATCAATGAGCTCCATCTCAGCCTCGAAACGACGTCGTTGTTCTTTTAGATATTCGTACTCAAGCTTCTTCTTCTCAAGCTAACAAACAGTCAGCGGGTCACGCAGACCGTCAGGGCGTGTGGACACAGGTGCAACACGTCGCTCACGCGACTGTAAGAAAGGTCGTGAGGAAATGGAGAAAAATGGGGATATAGATAGGAAAAGCCTCGCTCCCGGAGTGAGGTACAGGTGTACAAGAATAGTAGTGGCAATCAGATCGGTAGAGAAGTTGCTGAAGAGGTAGAGAAGAGAGAGGGGAGAGGGGAGTTAATCAACTGAGCGTCACCGTTGCAAAGGCTTGCTTGGCGTCGCAATCTTATCACGAGAGGAAGAAGCGGTGGCAGAGCGGGGGCTCGGTGAGCGAGGATAAAAAAGACCAAGTGAAGGAGAATTGCTTACCACTTGAAGCTTGTGATACGTCTGTGCTTGGGGTCAGCGCTGACTCTAATTCATGTCGGATTGTTGGTAGCGAATAACGGCGATCCAGCAGGCCCACACAGAAGGCACCACTAGGAGCACACGCATTTGCACAGGCAGGGCAAGCGACAAATGACGACGACGGAAGTTGACGGTGTCCAACGCGCCACGAAATGCTGCTCCCGGATTCTACCAAGTCGACAATGAGAGGGCTTCGGTACGTACCGCCGTGGTGAACTCGGCCGGCTCAACCGCCTGTCTACGCTGCTGACCAATTGGCGACAACGGTGTGTTCATGGTGGGAATGTTATTCGTGGTGAAGCGTCGCGTCAGCTGGCCGCGCCCATCGCCGGGCACGTTGTTGCGCATCGGGTTCGCGAGATTTAAGGGAGCGAAAGACGATTCCTCACGGGGAGACCGGAGGCCGCTGCGGTCCCCCATGCCAGTAGGATAGGCCATTTTGACTAGAAATACACTGCACGCAGCCGTCAGCGCTCGTGTCTGTCGCGTCGCGGGGGTCGCTGGGTGGAGGGGAGCTACTGCCAGAAGCGGCGTGTGAGAGATGGGATGGCTTGGGATGCATACATACATAACAAATCTTACACAGGGCGGGTGCCCTTGGTGCCCTTGAAACTACGATTTTCTATGGGACAGACGTTGGCGGGAGTGGAGAGAGAGGTTCGCGGAGGGATGTCGCAGGTGGGTCTGGATGGTGGGCCGTGTGTGATCTGGGCACCAGACCCGCGCGGGTTATGGGAAGGACAGACGAAGGAAAGGTCAACGAGGCCAGCCGTTCACAGACGTGGGTTCGAGACACAAATACACGTACAATACAGTATGGATGTGGTGGTGAGCGGGAATGAGGCTCTTGAGTGCTGCTTTGGAAAGAGACCCTGAAGGTTGACAAGGCTAACGCGCAGCCACTAATGATGGCATGTCGCATATGCCGCCCAGCGTATGAGACGGGACTCTGCAATTGCACATGTTCTGCTCTGACGCTTGACTGCTCCATCCCAACCATCCATCGACATTACATGCGCGACTCTGCGTCTTCTCTTCATTTCCAGCGCTGCTTCTGGGTCAGAGTCGGCTTCTCAGTCAGCCGCGACAATATCACATCCCGTTCAACCTGCAGCCTCCTCGTACGCCTCGGTTCAGCGATCACGACTTGCTGAATCCAGATGACTCGCCTCCTACCTATCTGGCCGACGACGCGTCAAGCCATTTAGATCCTTTATCCGGTATAATCCCCAGGTCAGTGCCTACCGTGTTCAACCTCTGCTCATCAGGCAGGGCTCACGTCACTCGGCATTGTATCTCCGTCCATGGTCCACCCGAAGCGATCGACAGTCTAGAAGTACATAGCTAAGTACCACAAGCAAGCAGGGAATGAGGGGCAACATCCTACAATGGTACCACCCATCGAATGAAATGCTCCACGGCCGAGTCCGAGTGGGGTAGTCTGCAAATGCCGATGCGGGCCGATGCTGGAGACGTTATGGCATAAGAGTGATGTCTTGCTGAGCGATTCCGTAACACCCTGCACGTCTGTCGAAAAAGCAACATTGCCGAACCGTGAAGCCAACATCAACGAACCCCTCCTGAGCCATCACCCTTCTGCACGAGGGCGCCTCTCGCGCGAAGCCTGCAACATGTCAAGGTACCAACGTTTCCGGCTACTTCACCGCTACGCAAAGCGGAATAACTAGCATACGAGAGGCTAGCAATGCAGGGTCGAGGGCAATATGTTTCAGATTAGGGTCCAGATTACCCCGCACTTCAATGCTGCCTATCGAGGACGAGTTTCGCCTGGGCAGAAACAGATAGGTAACTCTCTCTACGAAGTTTGACGACTGACATCAGCGTGGGGGCCTTGCCTGATTCGAAGAGTGTGCCCAATGTTTCATCGAAAACCTCAGCCAAATCATACTGCGCTACTGCCTACTTAGTCAGGTGCTCCCTTTCGCCGGAATACCCATGAATCAGTTCCTCCATCCCACCGGTCGTTCGCGGGAGGTTGGGTGTGGGGCGCGTCGAGATGAACGTCCACTGCAGGCTCCTACGCGGCTACGATTCCTAATTCGCCACGCAATGGTAGCAGCAACTGAAGAACACAACATAGTCATCTTTTTGCAGCCGATCCACTTGATATCAGCTGTAATTGTCCCCATAAGTACTGTCAAAGGTTGTGATGAAAAGCTTACTCTACAGGTCTGGTTCAGAACCTGCTAAGCTTTTGTTGATGCACTGCAGTATCATTTCGACGATACAAACTCTTTTGGGAGCGTGGAAAATTCCTCATAGTCACGTCGGTCTCACGTCCATCCACGACGCATAGTTAAGGCCTACATGAACGTCACGCCTCAGTCTCGATGCGAAATTGGTCTCGAAGATCTCCTCTGAACCAAAAACAATGACATTGCACAAGAGAACAGGAGGTGTAGCTTGATATTACGTTTTCGTCAATACTCCTCGACACGTGGGCCGCCAACTTGAATACATGAATTTATACTACAATTCAAATGCTCACAGGCATCTTGCGTCCACGTCCAAAGTGACGGTGGAGCCCTGTATCGCGAGCCTTGGGGGCACTCCTCTTCATGGTGCTGTTACCAGCAGGCTTCTCAGGGAAACCAGCCCACGACGCAGCGTACTTGGCGACAGATGCAGCAATGCCCTTGGCGTGCAGTTCAAAAGCACCCCAGGCCATGTTGGCGTAGTTGTCGCAAGCCTGGTGGTAGCACTGGTCCAGGATCTCGCCAGCAACACCACCGTACATCTCTACCTCGAGGGGCGTCTTGACCTCGTCAGCACCAGTAGTTGTGCCTCCAGAAGCAATGCCGGCATCGAGGAACGGTCCATAATCTGAGCGACCATTGAATTCGGTTGCGCTGTAGTTTTGGCCAGCCTCGACGAAGTAGTTCTCGAAGAATTCTTCGATCTCGGCGCTTCCGACAGGACCGCTGATGTTGAAGGCACTGCCATCACCGTCGTAGACTTGGTTGACCCAGTTTGGCGAGGCGATCTGAATCATTTCATCAGCATTGTTTTCTCTTGGGAAATGAAAAGACATCTTACCATGTCGAAGTTCAGGTACGCCCTGATCTTGGCTTGCTCAGCCGCAGAGAGCGATGCGACGTAGTATGTCGAACCCAAAAGACCGCTCTCCTCGCCAGACCAGAAACCGAACGTAACAGCGTTGTTGACCCTGTACTTGGCAAGAGCCTTCGCAACTGACAAGATGCCGACCGTACCACTTCCGTCGTCGTTGATACCCGGTCCACCCACAACCGAGTCGGTGTGAGCGCCGACGGCGAGCCTGTTGTCGTGGTCACCGCACTTGGTAGTCGCCAAAACGTTGTAAGTGGAGATGTTCCTGACGTCGGTGGTAACATCCAGAGTTGCGGTCAAGTTGGCGCCGCCTGCAAGTGCCGCGACCCAGGCACTGCCAGTCTCCAGGCTTACACCCACGCTGGCTACGTACTCGCCTTCCGGACGCGGTGGAGCACCAAGCGTGGCTTGAAGGTTTCCAGCGACGTTGTTGTAAATGACGGCACCGACGGCACCAGCGCTGCCAGCAAGAGCGGATTTAAGACCAAACTCGCAGGATCCACGGGAAATGAGAGCGATGTTACCAGCAACTGCGGCCGGATAATCGGACTGCAAGATGTCAGTCAAACTCAGTCATATTAGCGAAGTAAGTTCTTACAGCTTCGCAACCTAGATCATTAACTGCAACGAGGGAAGCCGTCGCGTTGCCAGAAGCAGAGTAGTCGAATATGCTGGCGGTAACATTGGAGTTGTTGCCCACGGCGAACTTGTTGATCTCGCCGCTAAGCATGACATAGCTCCAGAACTCCTGGAGCTCGACGTCGTAGTAACCGTCCAGGGACTCGAGCTCTGCCTTGAGCCAGTTGACTGTGTCGTTGTGGCCTGGGCTACCCATAACCCTGTTTCGCTCGGGGTATGAGTATGCAATGTCCTGAAGCTTCTGCGAGCCCTTCTTCAGAACCTTCTGGGTGATGGCCTTCTTCAGTCCTTTCTGATGACATGTCAGCATATCTACCAAGCAATTGAGATATAGTGGATAGCCGTACAGACTTCACAAGTGCGCGATTGCACTTGCTGGACGTTCCATTGCCCCGAACTGCGAGATCCGCCGTCGCGACATCAGGTGTTGCCGACGCCGCAACAGCAAGAGCAGCAAGAACAACAGCGAGCTTCATGATGAGCGATTGACGTATGTAGTGATCCCACAAAAGAGTCTTAAACGAACGAAGAGACAGCTACCAAAGCAAGAATCAAGAAACAAGCCGGTCCGAAGCTCTTTATGTACTCCCCCCAACACGCCTTATCGCATAGCCCAGCAACCAATATACATTCGGCGACGCCGCACAGTTGCTCATCATACCATGCCCAGCTTTCTCCCGTCTTTCCAGAATCCGGTCGTGCATCATCTCGCCGCCAAGCATTCCTATCATACCGCCAAACCCTCGTAATTCGCTGTCGGGCCGCCACCACATGCTTGTTCGAGCAGGTCGCCACGCGAACAGGGTCTTGTACCTGCTTCTCAGCAGTACGCTTCCTGGGCACTGTCTTGGCAGCTCCGATAATGGCGGGAACACGGGAATATACATGTCTTTGTTAGGGTTCTAGAGGTGGACGAGCAGGGGAGACGATGCGGCCAAGATATTGCTGATGAGGGGCTCGGTGGTCGGATTAGGAAGGTGAATTGGTGGGGTTGGCCAATCAGGTGCGCGGTGCTGATTAGCGTCGTTGAGGTGTGTATCTTGAGTTTTTGCCACTTTTTGTTTCCTCGCTTTTTTTTTGTACGTGTTGTTCTTGCTTTGCTGGGTGTGGGGTTGGGGCTCGTGTATGCGCTGGACAATAGTAAGCTTGTCCTTCACATTCCGATCATATATGGCTGGTGGGCTCACACGCCGTGATGGGTGCTCCTTCAAGGTCGTTTCGTCTGCATAAGCTCCGAACTTAGGTTTGCTTCTCTGCACTCCACCGAACCTTATTCAATCGTATAGGGCCAATGGAGCAATATAAACACCAGATCTTTACGACACCATCGTAGCACTCACCTATCCACGCCGAAAAGCTCATCGACAACGACCTCATAAACAGGGCAACGTACGTTCTGTGTATCAATATATATATACTATGCACGAAGCAATAGCAGGCGTAAAGTCCGTTCATCTTGCGTTGGACATACTTTGCAGCGACTTGACTGCCTCCGACAAGAGCGCAATTTCGTTCATAGCGCAGAATAACCCCCAGAGCAAACTCAAGATGAGACCGTTGTATCTGAACCATATCTACGATATTACAATCACTCGGCAGATTCGTTCATATTCGAAACAACGGAATGCTACGAAGCCCAACGTCGAGAGAACCTAATGGTGAGTTTGGTTGGGGGTGAGAGTCAAGGTAGAAGCAGGATGTGATCACGAAATGGATTTCATCTACCGCACGATCTAGTATGATACAACACTATCATGTAATTCCCAACACACATAATGTAACCTTTTTCTATAACAATCATGATCAGGTTTCACACAACTTCCATCCCCAAATCATGTTACACAAGCATTGCGTCGTCATGATTTACAACCCCCCTTCTTTTCTCCTCTCTTCCTACACGTCTTTCAAATACGCATCTATGATTTTCTGTACTTCTCGTCCTTAGGCGGCACGGGTGGAGAGTCGGCATACAGATCATTTGGTATAACCGAGTCTTTTCTCTTTGACGATTGCTGCTTTGGGTTATATGTCGATGCCGGCAACAGGATGGTGTCGGGCTCCTTCTGGGTGGTGGATGGTGTCAATCCGTATGTGGTTGCCGGCAATATGAAATCGTGTGTTGTCGCTGGTAAGGTCGGTTCATACGTTGTTGTAGGCAATATATCATTGTATGTCGTCGCGGGCAATAGGCCCTCGACTGTTGTCATCGACCCTGTAGTGTCGTATCTAGTCGCTGGCAAGGTTTGGTAAGAGACGTCGTCGATTGCGGCGTCAATCTCGGCGAGTAGACTCTGACCTGACGTCGACATTGCGACAGACATCTGGTCGAAGGCGAAGTTGAAGGTCGTTGGGTGCTCTTCTACACTGTATGAAGAACGGCTGGAGTAGAGAGATACCCCACGCTCTTCTTCCTGATTGTGTGGTGTCTGAGGGTATAATGAGATCATGCGATCGGGTTTCTTGTCTTGTTGAATTCCGTAACTAGGCGATATCGATCGATCATCCTCGTATTCTTGCTGAGGTTTACTGTTATATGTTGATGCAGGTAAAAGAAACATTTCTGCTTCTGGCTTTGTAGTAGGGGAGATCAGTGACCTTTCATCGGAAGTGGATGCAGATGAACTCGGTCGGTCGTGTTGTTGTGGTGGACTATCCAAAGTACTTTGGTCGGAGATCGACGAAGAGTACGAGAGGCTAGGGGTAAAAATGTGGGTTTCGCTTTGGCATCTCGCGTGTGGTGTATATTGTGGTGTGTATTGAGATTGGAAGAGGACATGGCCGGCGCTTTGGCTCCTCGAGTGCGGTGTAGAACATGAACCAAATTCTTCTTGATAGTCTGGTGGCGGGGCGATGAAGATGTTTCCATGCCCCATTCGATCTCTTGGATCAATGTTTCGCAATGCTTGCAATCTCCTGTTGGCAAAGTTGGACTCCACAATGTGTGCCCGTTCCACCAACTTCTCCACGAGTTTACCGTGTGAATCTTGGAAAGTCTTTCTCACAAAGCCCAATAACAATGAAGAGCAAGTCATCTTGACATCTTCCCGGATATACAATCCGTTTCGTGGAGCCCGCGGGTCACGCTCAGGAGTGCATTTCGACTCTCCAGGCAGTGAGCCGCCCACACTCCATTTGGCGCGAATTCGGAGGCCAAGCGGGGCGTAGACATGCGTTTGGAGACCGTCCTGGAGATCTTGAAAGCAAGCGTGGTAGGAGACAGAGCTTTGTGCAAGTCTACCCGGGAGGTACGATACTTTGTCTGATGATTGTCAATCTTGTGCCCCTGTGTATCGACGACGAGAGATTGGAGACGTACCTTTAATGGTATACCAGGATGAATAGTACTCGTCTGTTGGCGCGTAGTTCGGTGGTTTGCACTTGAAGCGTTCGACAACAAGCGGGTTTAGATCAATCATGGCCAGATGATCGTGATACATATCAAGCACGCTCTTACGGGTGATGCCCACCGGTAGCGGAGTTATCGTTGTGAATACCGCAGTCCTAGGCATGTTGAAATCTTCTCGGTTCTCTTGTGTGTTGATGACTGGCTCTTCCGGTAGAATGATGATGTGTGCGATGAGCAGAAGGTGTTGAAGAAATAAGACTGAACCGATGCAGCGGAGTCCAAGGTACTTGTTCCGCAGGCCAACAGTCTGGCCATCTCGGAGTATCATCTATCGTATGAGCAACCGTGCTACATCTTCCCGTGTCCATACTCCCTGCACCTAGCCCTGCAACGTTCTTACCCCGCCAAGTCCTGCACTAGCTTTCGCGAATGTCTCCATATATCCTATTGCCATAGCTCTTAGAAACAAGCTTCACACTACTTTTGCAGCCGACATGTGGGTTGGTCTGAACCCGATTCCGGCCGCATGTCAAACGAAAATAGCCATAGCTCATACTATTTGCACTTCAGAGGCGACGCGATGTTGGAGTCTGAAGACGACAAGAGGAGACGAGATGCGGGTGGTGACATTATTGGAAGCTTTGCGTGTCGCAAGTGTGTGGTCCGGCATGGGTCCAAACGGAGTTGTGCCACATCCGTGTTTCAAGCTTGACTAAGCCTCACGCCAAGTCAACCTGGGTGAAGATACTGAAATGTTCCGATGAAACACTTTTGATCATCTTGAAAAGGCTGACACGCATTCAGAAGTAAGTATATTGGGGTTTGGGCGTGTGGAATCATTAGCTATCTTTTCGCGAGTTCGGCCCCTCTTCCACCTCTCTGCCTGGCAAGGTAGTCAAGACAGTAGCACAATGGCACGTGTCTAGTTATGTTATTTGATCTCCTTACCTTTGGCAGTTCGTGTCTCTTAGTTGTTTCGGCATAGCCATGGTATTACTTTAGCACAGCGCATTCAATACACGCTGATCTACTTTGATAGACGGCCTTGGGGCAGATAAACTAAGCGATAGCTCTACAACATATATCTTATGGAGATGAACGATAACTAAATGGGAAATCGATTGCATTAAAAGAATGTTGTCACGATACGGCCTGACTATCTCTCTCTCTCTCTCTCCCCAGAATTCCATAAAGGACGTTGTAAGACTGACATTTATTCTCCAGCAATGTGTGATTAATGACTGCCCGAAGTTTAGTTTTCGCTCGATAATCTTGCCCTGGCCATGGACATCTACGAGCACTTGGTGCACGCGCATCCTCTGTCCGCATAACCCCTCCCACTGCAGCACTGTCTGAAATCGTTGGTCACCGCTGTTCACATGATTATATCGTTAGCTCTAGTGACACTCGAATAGGCAATGTTGTCCGCTAAAACAGCTCGTTATTACGACTTGATGAGACGAGATACATACCGCCACTACCAAGGCATCGTTTCTCCAACATGTTCACCCCGGCAGCCTCTGAGGATGGGACAGCCATAGTGACGGCGAGGATAGTAGCGAGGACAACAAGCAGGTACCTCATCGTGGCGACAGCGGAGAAGTGTGGGTTTCTTGAAAGGTCGATTGATTGAGGAAAGTTGGCACTTTGAGGACGAGTTGGAAGAGTGACGGTAGCAGGAGGAAAGCTGGCAAAGACCTTTTATACTGATTTTCCGTCCTGGATGAAGCGAATTGTTGGGGACCGCTTGGCCCGTAACCCTCCAATGTGCTACTCGGACTTCATTGCTCTGGTTAAGGGGGCCTCGAAATATGCTGTCAGCCAATGCTCAATCACGCATCACGCGAGGTCGCGGGACAGTGCGTCTAGAAGAAAGGTAACGCCCATAGGGTACGTGGGCTGTCAACTCTGCAGATCTTGCAATGTTTCGTCTCACTGGACGGTAACTCTGAACTAGCGTCTGACTGTGTAGACCTAATTTGAAATGTTGAGTTTTTGAATACGAACTCTCAGCTGATCGTTGGTATAGGGGCCTAACACGAAGCGGGAGAGCTGCAAGTCCTGTTCGAGCACTGTACATAAGTGTTAGTGCTGCTGCAGGAAGCCTTGAATCCCACTCCAAGGCAACTTACAATGACCAGTTCCCGGATAGACAGGAAAGCACTGCCCATGTCAAGGTGGTGTGATGAACGTGAGTCCTTGAACCATCCACTACAGCACAATCACTCCTAATACCTGCTTTCCTTCTGACTTCACTTCCCGTAACAATCCTTCAACGCTAGGACCCCTCGGCAGATCGATAGGATGGCAATAACCTCCAACTGATGGGTGAACGAGGGCATAAAGAAAGACTACTTTTGCTGCATAACGCCGGGTGTGAGAGCAAAACAAGAAAGTGGGTGAGTGCAACATGGAGGCAAAAACGCACAACAGCGAGGATACAATGCTAGGCCCCATCGGCCCTAGCGCCTTGGTCGCCCACGCGGGCAAAAATTGAGGTATAACACCAAAAAGATATACATACAACAGCGGGGATTCGCTAGTGGTCACCCACCTAACTACTAGTCCGCCGGTACGTTGCTTAAATAGGGCTGAGCGAACGGGAAGCCTTGTTTTCAACGTCCTATGGTCGTATGTGGAAGAGCTGCTTTGAATTATAAAATATAATCCAAAGCAATTAGCCTGACTCACAATGATCCACTTATTCAGTGCCCCATCATCAGGTAAGTAATTCAGGTTTACCCTATGTCTTAACCTGCTCTTCGAGGCTTGAGAGACAGAATACCATTCATATATGGCGATCCCTGATCCCGCAAACTCAAATTGTCCTGGTGTAATATTGCGGACAAGCAGCAGTACTATTTACTTTCAGCGACAAGTCCACGCAGATAATTGTTGACTGTGGGCCTATTCGGCCTGAAGACGTCGAGATCGGCACCCTTCAGCCGCTTGTTTTCGCCTCATTTCATATCATCTTTCCAATCCTGCCCTTGCCCCCACCACCTCACACGATGGCTGCGGCTTTTGTCGAAGCCCTGAACGGCTTGACCGTTGCACCGGAACCGCTCCAGCAGTTCACCTCTCAGAACACGTTTGCCGAATTTTACTCGTCATCGTTCCCCGTTTTTGCACTCGGGTCGGAAGTGTCCGAGTCCGATCTCCAGCAAGCCGCCAAAGTGGTCAATGAACAGGCTCAGGCGGAGCTCGGCATCGAAGACTCGGAGTTGGCAGAGATGGGCTATGCTGCAGTTGTTCCCAAGTCTTGGCAGCTCCACGAGAGATATGCACCAGACGCCGCACGGTGGTACCATGAGGAGTTCGACAAAGACGGCTCCCGCACCATCAACGACCCGCAGTGGTACCCACTTGGATTCCTTGGAATCGTTTCCAGCGATTGGAGGAAGACGGGAGCCGTGTTGGTGTTTTACGACGCTCGGCATCAACACCCCAAGGACGAGCTGGTCGCTGTGAAGGCATTCGTGGTGGACCCCGAAAAGATTGGGCCGGCTGTCATCAGTCTACGTCAAGGCGATGACGATTGTGAGAACGTGAAAAGGAATAGCGCGACAGGATGGAGTAAACAGAAATATATGTACGCCCGGACTTGAAAATACTACAAACCAACACCATACAATTGGCACGTGAGTCTGCATGAACACAGAGCAGCCTCTCCAATATCCGTTCCTGGCGCCTCGCCCCCACCAAGCAAAATGACCACTGCCGGACCTATCTGCACCGTTAATCAAACCCAGCTCACTTGTCCTTCGCCCTCAACAGCGTAGGATACTTCTCCACACCCGGCTCATCGAACGTCTCAATCAGCGCCGCAACAGCGGGATGCATACCAGCCCCTACTACCGCTTTCGTCCACTCCTCCATAGAACACACATCATACGTCTTCCCTATCTTCTCCAGCCCCAGGTTTGCCATCGACGCCATCGGAATCACCTCGTCGCCCACGCTGTTCACATACACGATACGTCCATCGCTGGGTGGATCGCGGAGCAATTCCTCAACGGTATTACGGACGCAGGTCTCAATGGAGACGAGATCAAACGCGCCAGCATTGTAATCTATACGTGGCACCTTCTGGGTCTTGTGCACGTAGTGCAGCAGTGCGTTCACCCAGTCGAAGCTCGCGCGCTCGACCTCTGCATCAGAACCTGCGCGGATGATGGTCGAGGGGCGCTGGATAACAATGCGCAGTCCATACTTGGCGTGCACGCGCTCGAGGAGAGACTCACAGACCCATTTCCCGCACATGTAGCCGTGGGAGCCGTCGGCGGGGGGCGTTTTGCCAGTCGTGGTACAGGAGATGGGTGGGAAGGCTTCGAGTTCTGCAAAAAGGGCTACGCCAGCGGAAGAAACGTAGTGGAGTGGGATCATACGCTGGAGGCAGGTGCGCACGAGTTGTTTGGTGGATTCGACGTTGGCTTGGCGGAGTGCGGAATAGTATTTCAAGTGCGATGTGTCGGAGCCATTGTGGATGACAGCGTCTACGGAGCTGAAGATATTGATCCACTCATCCTCGCTGAGGCCGAGACGGAGTTGCGTGAGATCGCCTTCGTAGTAGACGATGCGGTCACTTGGAGGAGGTAATTGCCCAGTCTCGAGACGCTCAGAAAGTCGCCTGACCGCGATGCAGATGATCTTGCGGATTGAAGACTGCTCTATCAAAGTATTGAGTAGATGGTGACCAAGTAAGCCACTGCAGCCAGTGAGGACGACAACTTCTGGTTTCTCCTTAGGAGCCGGGGCGCTGGCCAACAAGGGTATAGTATCAGGTACTGGCGGGCTCGTCTCAAGATCCCAGTCAACGTTGACAGCAGCTTTTGAGTCATCGATAACTCCAGGGGGCGTGGTTGCGCCATCAGAAAGATCCGTACTAGGCGTGATAGGGAGAGAATCACTCGAACTATTCTTGCTGCCTTCGTCCGAGGAAGAGTCCTGGACGCCATCGTGCGGAACGTGAGGAATCAGCTCAGTGGGGATACCCTCAACAGCCAACTCTGCTAAGCTGGACATGCGGACGTCATTTGCCATGATCTTCAATACTGGGATACTGACTTGGAAGTTTTTGAGAAACCAGGATCGGACGTCCACCGAGAGGAGAGAGTCAAAACCGAGGTCCACACCACGCATCATCATCAAGTCATCGTCGCTTGTAGAAACTTGAAGGATCCTGCGTAACTGAGCACCAAACGCTTGCTGAACAACCTGCAATGTATCCTTCTGGGACTTGCACGCCTGGAGAAGACTTTGGATGGAGACCGCATTTGTCTTTTCCTTCTTGTTGTTACTATCGTTCAACGACTGGTGGATGCGGAAGCGCGCAAATTTCGGGTCTGAATACCACGGGGGGATGTTGATTGACTCCGGCGCGACGGAGAGAAGACCAGTGGATATTTCGGGTCCGTTAGGGTTGTCAAGATGTCCAGCCTCCATGCATTCGGCGAAGATCTGGTGGAAGTCTTGCTCGGAAAGATGCATCATGGCTGTCTTTGCCACAGTCACGTCGAGTTGGCGGTCCGATTGCGTAATGTAACCTACGCCGATAATGGCACCTACGTTAACAACGGATGATCGTAGACCGCGTTTCCTGCGGTTACCCGCCACACCAACCATGCCCATGTTGGCTGCCGCATAATTGGCTTGACCTACGTTTCCGATGACACAGTTGATGGAAGATAGGAGAACGAAGAAGTCGAGATCAACGTCGTGGAAGATGCGATCAAGATGAATACTTCCTAGTACCTTTGGTCTGATCACATCCGTCACATGTTCAAACTCCATTCTGGGTACGGAAACGTCTCTCAAAACCATGGCACCGTTGAGGAGACCGACAATAGGTGGGAGTGTATCGACAATATTCTGATGGACAGCCTTGATGGCCCTTTCGTCGGTCACATCACTAAAACGTTAGTTCTGCTGGGTGCCAACATCTTGACTTGGATCGACGTACCATAGTAAAATTTCAATGACGACCCCTCTGCTTCGATGGTTCTCAATCCAGCGTGGGTCGATCTTGGGGTTCCTGCTCGTGAGTACAAGATAGCGTACGCCGCGTTCGATCATCCAGTCGCACAGAGAGATTCCTAGTGCCCCGGATAGACCTACTAGCCAGTACGTCTTGTCGCCTTTGAACAGCTGCTTCGACTCAAGCCTAGTGACCTGTGCAGGAAGTGTGGGGGATGGAGATGTCCAGTCAACAATTGTTAGCGCATTGTCCGACTGCTTCCCTTGGAGCACTGTTTCGAGACTGATCATCTCGACAAAAGGAAGAGTCTGCTGCTTGATGTAGGTAGTAGCATGCTCCAGTGTACTGTCCGGAATTACTTTATGAGCCCCACTACCGAAAGCATGGGGCGCAAAGAGACTGTGCATACTCTCCTTACGACAGTACGGGGGCAAACAAGCTAGTATGGCTTGCTCATTTGCAGCTTTCTCTGAGGTAGAGAAGCCGGCAAAGCAGGCAACATCGACAGGTAACAGTCTTGCAATCTCTGAGCGTCCCAAGTACAGCGGCAACTTGATAGTGACGACTGAAGATGATTCTAGCAAAGTTGCCCCGGAGTCCGCTATGAAAGTTGCGATGACACCCTTAGCAAGACTCTGCCTGTTGATAGCTTGAGCTATAACATTTGACGCGTTGTGAACTACCAGACTTTGGCCAGAAAAGAGAGGATCCACGATGGCTTTGGCGATGAGCTCTGCCGCCACAAGTGTAAGGTAAGAGGCTTCTGAAACACCAGACAGAGTGCATGGCAGGGCAAGCTCTCGAGGAACGTTGACCACAGAGGTAAGAGAAGACACAGATACGATATAGTGTGCACCAGACTCATCTCTGGCCAGAGCCAAGAATTGGTAGCCCGCGGGATTCTTCAGTGCAGACGTCACAGAATGAGTAATGTACAGCTTGATGATGTTATCTCTGCACGTTGATAGTGAGTTAGCGGGTACCCATGAAAATAAGATAATGTTTGGAATCATACGTACCTGGAGGAAAACTGGGGGTTGAGTTCTTGTGAAGTCTCATACCGTGACAACTGTCGAAGCATGGGGCCATTCTTGTTCTGATTCAGTTCGACGATGGACTCCGAGATGTCGACTTGACGAGATATCGGTCGTGTGACCGAGTTGAGACGGTCATTAGCATCGGTGATAGGAAAAAGTCGCGGCACCAGCTCTCTGCCCTGGGTATCAACAATAATCTCTGGTTCCTTGGTGTATAGGATGTCTTTAGCGTCCAGCAGTTTGGAGGTGAACTTAAGGAGATAGTCGGCGACAGTGTTGGCCTCCAATTGCTCCACATCCGCAATGTCGACATACTGTACGCGGAGGTCTGATTCTTCGTGCATAGCAGACCGACCGAAGCCTACCGTCATGTTACAGTACGGTTCGTCTTCAAGACGACCACTTGTGAGCCATAAAACTTCCCTTTTTGTCTCGAAGAGCTTCCTGAATTTGTACCATCTCTCTGACGTGATATCCTTGAATACGGGATGCTCTAGGTCCACGAGACTGATCACGACAGATTCTCCGTCAAGTGAGGTTTCATCCAAATCCTCCAGAGACTGGTATTTGAGTACATGGCTCGCCAACGGGACCAGCACCTTTTGGAGTTCTTGAACAAGGTGAGCAACTGGTGGTGTTTGTCCTCCAATTAGAACAACCTTGTCGTACATAACATTGCCGATAACGGAAAGAGGATTTCGGGCAAACTCAATGCGTTCATCAATCGCGGTAGAAACGAAGAGAGTAATACCAAAGGCGTCGAAGAGTTGGGGTGGCGACATGGTATCGATGCCTGAGAAGCCAGCGCCCTTGAGAATGACTTCCCACTCAGAGGTGTTTACTAGAGGCGACAGAGTACGGCCCTCATCAACACCACGCCACCAACCTGGCAGGGTACCAAAGATGAACCCCGCACCAGCTTGCATTGCACCATCGCTGGCTCCCTCGCCGAGAACAAGCAAGCCACCAGGCTTTAGCAACTTGCGCAGATTGAGTACAGCTTCATCCAGCCTTGCGCAGGCGTGAACGACCATGAATGCGATGACGACATCGTAAGTGCCTTCCTGGAAGCCCTGATCACCCGGGTCATTTTCAGCATTGCATACTTTGAAGACCATACGATCTTGGTACGCAGAAAATGTCTCAGCAGCGTTCTCGAAAAAGCTGGACGAAATGTCGGTGAATGTGTAGTTATCGAAGTCGTGACCAATGCCTTGTAAAATCGTCTTGGTAGCGCCACCGGTACCAGCGCCTGGAATAGTTAGTGTAATTCCGACTAGCACAAGAGAACAAAGATAAATGCGCGGAACGAGGGGAACTTCGAAAAAGGAAATCAACTCACCGATTTCCAGAAGGCTGAGATGAGGGTTGCGGTCAGTTAGTTGCTTCAACACACTCGCCACCCACAAGGTAGATTGCTTGGTTCCGAAGCCATTGGAATAATACTCATCCAAGAGACCAGAAGTACGGAAGTGCTCAAGCATAGTCGTCTCCCCTTTGAATACTCGGGGCATCGTCTGGCCAACGAGAAGCATGATTCTCACATCCGAGTTATCTGCGAAACTACGGGAAAACAATTAGCGATCTGTGCAACCAGCTCGGCACAGCTATACATCTTTTCACTTACCCGTGGGTATCAATATCATCTAGAACATCCTGCTCTGTATCGTTCAACCACTCAAGGTGGGCCCATTTATGCTCCCCTCTCTCCAAAAGGTTGGTCATGTGGCGAGCATAATTGAGATAATGACAAAGCGGGCTCTCCGACCTTGCAGGATCATCCTCTGGCACCATCTTGTCGAACGTTCTCAGGTAGAACGCAGCAATACGACTCAGAACGAACATAAGATCATGGTCGTACTTTGTGACTGGTACATTGGCAGCGGCAAGCACACCATCTGGTTTGCTCGGCACCCAGTGCATTTTGTAAAATACATCCCGGTCGTTGCTGGCATCTGATCCTACTGGCTTGAATGTGACCTGATCTACCTGAACGGCTGCATGAGAAATGTCGTGAGCATAGATATTGACGCTACCCGAAAATCCGGATCCTGGCTCCGCATCATCGGCCGTACTGCATGTCGAATCCAACTGCGTGGAGTCGCTCTTGACATATCCTTCTGATGCGAGTAGGGCAGGGTTGATCCTGAGCTTCCTGATGCTGGTTGGCAGATGTAGTAGCCGCAATCGGTCATCGCCGGGGTAACTGTAAGCCAGCATGATGGACTGGAAGGCCGCATCCAGATCAACAGGATGAATCAATAACGCATCTGCGTCTGGAGTAGATACTCTCGCTTTGATGGCGACGCAAGCAGAATTGCCCAGGTTTCTCTCCAGCTTGACTAGAGAGCGGAAAGGGCCAGAAAAATCGTATTCCAAACTGTCCATGAAGTCGTACAGTCTGTCAGATGTAACAGGAATCATGTGGGGCGGTAGTGGGTGTCGTTCTGGAAGGAGGAATAGGGAAGCTTCTTCATCACCCAGGATGACCTTTATTCCACCGTTGGCGGCGAGTACAAGATCAGCCGCATCGCCTCCCATTGCAGACGAGTACGTGAAGCTGGCCATAACGTGATCTGCAGTCACCGATATCTGCGAAAGCTCAACCTGGATCTCGACACCTGTGTCGTTTTGATCAAACATGATAGCATTGTGGATGTGGAAGTCGCTCAACTCAATGAGGTGTATCGCCTTATTACCCGCGAGAGCTTTCGCCGCCTCGATCGCCGTTGAAACGTATGCGGCGGCGGGAAGCACAACCTGGTTTTGTACCTGATGGCCCTCGAGCCAGGTCATCTCTCTGGGTTTCAGGACGTTCTTCCAACGCAGAGCGTGTGGAGCACTATCCGGAGACACATTCCCAAGTAGCTGATGGTAGGGCTCTTCTCGCAATCGCATACGGCGAGACCTTCTAGACTCAGCCCAGTATGCGGCTTCGTGTTTCCACTGATAGCTTGGTAGGTCGTGTAGGACGGTGAAGCGCGGTCGTTGTGACGGTTCAGCGCTGGATAGAGTGACCTCACACTCATCCAGGTTTATCGAAGTGCTATCGAGGTGTGTCCAGAGGAATCCCAGACATGTAGAAAAGGCAATTGCTGCATCGCCACCACGTGAGAGAGTTCCGTGATATGGAATCTTCCTCTGCAAAATATCCTGAATGTTCTGTGAAGCCGGACCAGCAAGAGCAGGATGAGGTCCAATTTCAAGCGCCACCACATGCTCACTGCCACCCTGGCCAGCCTCGACAGCGCCATGAACAGCGTCCGAAAACGTTACTGGCATTGTCATGTTGTTAGCCCAGTACTCGTCGTCCAGCCGATCAGTCAATGGTTCAATCGGCCTGCCGTTGTAGACACTGGAGTGCCAAGTACATTCAGCGTTGCCTGATAGTGCTTTGATTCCAGCACGTCGTAAAGAGGTCACATACGGGACGAAGCAGGGCAACATATGGCTCGAGTGGTATGCTGTGTCGACTTTGAGGCGGCGATTGAACTTGTTCTCATCGCTCAATATGAGTGCAAGTTCATCAACTGCATCCTCGTCGCCAGAGATTGTGACACTCGATGACGAGTTGATAGCCGCCACACTGACACGGCCGGCAAACTCTTCTGCCTCACACAGTTCAGTGGCATCTGCCAACGAAGTGCCGGCAGCCAACATCGCGCCTTTGATATCACCGTTTGGACTAGCAGCATGTTTGCAATGCAGTCCTCGATAGTAGGCGACAAGGAGGGCGTCGCGAGCACTGAGAAAACCTGCCGCATATGCAGCGGCAATCTCACCGCTAGAATGGCCAACAACAGTTTCTAAATGAACGTTGGCAGAGCGAAGGAGATCCACAATGATGATCTGAACGGCTGTGCATAGCGGTTGTGAGATAGTTGCTTCGCCGACACGAGAGACTGACGGATCCGCAAGAAGCTCGGCCCGTAGAGACCAATTTGGACGGTCCTCTTCTGGAAGACTGGCCAAGTGATCTTCTAGTGTTTGAAGGATGCGTCGAGCCAGAGATGATTGTTCGATAAGCTCAGCACCCATGCGAGCATATTGCGCTCCCTGACCAGTGAAGACACCAAGGATCTTGGAACGAGTGCCGCTACCTGCTGACCAAGTCCGTACGCCGACAGGTGAGCCGGTGGTGTCATCTATACGAGTCTGTATCTTGAACTTGAGGTCTTTCAGGTTTGTTGCTGAGAAAGTAACTCTAAACGGAAGCACCGATCGTCGTGCCCGTAATGTGTATGCCAAGTCGTGGATATTTGTTTCGGGGTGGGTCTCGAGATACGAAACATATGATGTAAGGTTCGCGCGCAGCGATTCGGCAGACGCAGCAGAAAAGACAAATGGTGTCAATACAGTACCATTGGATGTAGCAACAACCGCATCTCTTGCAGTCTGGGTGTCGTAGCTCTCAATGATAGCATGGGCATTAGTCCCTCCAAAACCAAAGTTGTTGACACTGGCCCGTCTAGGCTGGTCCCCAGATACCTCAGGCCACTTCTGGGCTTCGGTGGGAATCTGCAAATCACCGTAGAATGGCGCCACACTAGGACTCAGCTGATTGAACCAGAGGTTTGGCGGGATAGTCGAGTTTTGCAGCGCCTTAGTCACCTTCAGCAGTCCTGCGATGCCTGCCGTACCTTCAGTATGTCCAAGGACTGTTTTGATGGATCCTGTGTAGAGCGCAGCGTTGTTGACGCCCCTACTATGACTGAAGAAGGCAGTGCTGAGGGCCTCAGCTTCGACAGGATCTCCAGCTGGTGTTCCAGTGCCATGAGCCTCAATGTACTGCGGCCTATGTGCAGGATTTTGAGGATCAAGGCCACTTTTCTTGTACACACTCTGGATCAGGGCACGCTGCGCGCTGGCACTAGGCATGGTCAGTCCTGGGGTGGCTCCATCCTGATTCACACCCGTCTCCCGGATGACAGCCTCGATCTTGTCACCATCCGCCAACGCTCTGCTGAGGGTCTTGAGAACAACGGCTGCTACTCCGTCTCCACGTGCATAGCCGTTGGCGTCTTTGTCCCACATTCGGCTAAGACCATCCGGCGACAACATCTTCAGTTTACTCTCGAGAATGTACATCTCCGGCCCGAGGATCAAATTGGAACCGCAAGCCACCGCCATAGTCGAATCGCCAGCCCTAAGCGCCTGCACAGCCTGATGGACAGCGACCAAACTCGAAGAACACGCTGTGTCCACGGTCACCGAAGCACCATGCCAGTCGAAAAAGTACGATAAGCGATTCGAGAGGACTGCACGCGAAGTTCCTACTGCGAAGTGTGTCGGCGCCTGGTCTAGATCTCGTAGCATCATGGCCTCGTAATCGCCACACATGAGCCCCGCAAACACACTCGTGTCGCTTCCTCGCAGACCCTCCATGCTGAAACCACCCGATTCGATCGCCTCATAGACTATCTCGAGCAGCAATCGTTGCTGTGGGTCCATAGCTCGAGCCTCGATTGGATTGATGCCAAAGAATTCTGCATCAAAGGTACGCACATCTCCGTCGAGCAGGTACGAGTGAAGAACGTTCATATGTCCATGATGTGCGCTGTCGGTATGATAGAAGCCCTTGGCATTGAATCGACTATTGGTGATCTCGCTGCGAACGTCTCTGGGTTGGCGAAGCAGTTCCCATAGTTTGTCCGATGAATCGACTCCGCCTGCAAATCGGCACGCACTTCCCACGATGGCGATGGGTTCCGGGCGAGGGACCTCAGAAGACATGGAGGAATTAAAATTGTGATTCCGATGTTGAAAAAGGACCAGCTTTGGTTGAAAAATGATTCGGTCAAATATTGAGGCGATGTTAAGCTGAGCTGAAGGTAGGACAACGATAGGATATATAGTAAAACCTGTGTAGTCTACTAATTTTCAGTAAGGCTATCCGCCTCGGACTGCCGAGCTTGACTCTTGTACATTCAGAGGAGGGTCGATCATACGATTCGGACATCTCAAGACTAATTCACTCTCCTCCTCGTTTACTATGATGTCGTAGATATCCATCATTCGGGTGACCTTCACACCACTTCACATCCCCTCTGTATCACTGTTGTCTCTCTATCTTTCTACCTCCTTTCCAACACTTCAAAGCCCTTTTTATTACACATATTCCTAATCTCCATATGATCCTATCCAATTAACACACTGACTATGCTATCTCTTATGACATCATCTCAAACATACCAAGGCTATGGCACAACTGCACTTGACTACAGAGAGGGAGAGCTGCATTCTGATTCGCTCCAGCCTGTCCGTACGGAGTGGGAATTCCAGCAAACATCGGGGTGATACCAACCACGATAGCACGTGCCCACTATGGAGAAATGTCTAGCGGCCACGTTTACTCCACATGACTGTCGCGACCGTTTTAACTCTGCCCCACACATGTTCGGGTAAGCTGATCCTGACCTGTTCTCAGTCATGATAGGGACCGGTTGCCGGATTAGGAAAGCGGCGCCGACGTTGTCGTGATCCGAGTAGGGCCGATATGTGAAGTGGGTTGTAGAAACTGGTGTTTAGTGCGCGAGGTGAAGATGTGGAGTTGAGTGAAACGATCATTGTATATATTACGTGTTTGAAGTTTGAATGAGCCAGTTGAAGAGCGTGACAGGCCTTGAGATCTGGCAATGTCAAAATTCCAAGATAGTCTCTTGGGGGAATATGGAGTGGAATGGAAGGATATAGCTGTTGCGTTGCGACCAAGCACAACTCTTCAATATCTTTTCGCAGGGCTGGGCTTCGTACGTTATCCCCCACCCAATTGCAATTCCCAACTCGCTCAAATGGCGCGCCCTAACTCACGCACGACTAGTTAACCTTCTACGTCCTCGTCTTCAAACCCCTCCGCAACATCTTCTTCCACCCACTTTCGCACCATCCAGGCCCCAGACTCTTCGCCGCATCTTCTCTCCCCTACGGTCTCTGGTACATCTCCGGCTACTGGCACACCAAGATCTTCGCCCTACATGCCCACTACGGCCCCATCGTGCGTATCGGGCCCAATGAGCTGTCCTACGCATGTCCCGAAGCCTGGGACGACATCTACGGGCGCTATGTCCCCGCAAAGCGCAAGGAAAACCCAAAGCCAGAATGGTACTGCAGCCCTGCCTCCCACGATATGGTAGGCGCAAACCTGGGCGACCACGGACGCATGCGTCGCGTCATGGCGCCAGGGTTCACGTACGGGGCTATGTGCAAGCAAGAGCCGCTGATTGCGGGGCATGTGGACTTGTTCCTGGAGAAGCTGGCGGAGAAGTGTAAGGGCGGCGAGGAAGCGGAGGTAAATATGCTGGAGTGGTTTACATATTGCACCTTTGATCTGATTGGGGATCTGGCGTTTGGGGAGCCGTTTGGATGCTTGGAGAACGCCATGCTGCATCCGTGGTTGCAGTTGGTGTTTGCGAACATCTACATCACACATATCCTGGTGCTGTGTAAGCGGATACCGTTCTTCTATCTGTTTCTGCCGCTCAAAACCACGGTGCAGCTGTTCCTCGAGTTCTCGCGGCATGTGGTACTGCTGAAAGAGGTCGTGGACCGGCGGCTTGCGCGTGAGGGAAAGCGAGACGATTTTATGGACATTATGACGAGCAAGCCCAGCAAGACGCTGTATCTCACCAAGGAAGAGATATTCAAAAACGCAATCTTACTCACCGGCGGAGGCGCCGAGACGACTTCCAGCTCCCTCACAGGCATGGCGTATATTCTCGCTATGCGGCCGGATGTAAAGCGAAAGGTGGTGCAAGAACTCCATGCGACGTTCGCGTCAGAAGCCGATATCAACATGCGTAGCGTCGCAAAATTAACGTACACGGGCGCTTTCATCGAAGAAGCACTGCGGTACTACCCACCCGGTCCCAATACCATGTGGCGTCGGACGCCAGAAGGAGGGAACACGATTTTGGGTGAACACATCCCCGAGAATGTATGTCTTTCCCATCGAGTAACCCATGGTGACCCATTTTTTCTTTCCAAACCGTCACTGACACGCCCTCAGACCGTCCTCGGCATCCCACACCGCGTCCTCTACCGCAGTCCAACATACTGGGCACGCGCAGATGAATTCCACCCCGAGCGATGGCTCCCCGAGGGCCAGCGACCATCCGAGTTTGATGCCGACCGACGTGACGGGTTTCAGCCGTTCTCCTATGGCCCGCGCGTGTGCATTGCCATGAAGTGAGTTTTCAGTTTTGTCCTTTGCTCCCAAGGATTTGCATTGACAATGTTACAGTCTTGCGTACGCGGAGATGCGGTACATCCTAGCGCGCTACCTGTGGCACTTTGATATCGACATAACGGAGAAGAGTAAGACTTGGATGGATAATCAGAAGGCGTATCTTGTGTGGGATAAGCCGGGATTGTTTCTGCGTTTAACGCCTGTTGATGGGGTGGCAAGAGAGTGATTGGGTGGTGGATGATGGCGTGTTATGGATTGGCGATGTAGTGGGCGATGTAGACCGGTGTTTAGATCGACTCGTCGCGGTTTCAACGTGTGCTCGCCCAATGTTATTCATTGCGTCTGATGCTCGTCTCGGCTGAGGAGGCGAGGCTCAGGTTGGGTGAGCATTGACGCTTGACAAGAATTGGACTCAAGTGGAGTTGTCACTTGCGTCGGTATTTGCATGGCGATGTGGCTTACTCGACAACATGGCATACATGCAATTGCTGAGTATGTGTTATTTTACTGTGGCCAATCTAGGTCATTGTCATCATAAGGGAATCTGGCACTCACATGATCATAGACGAGTGTATGTGTGATGGGTACTTTACTGTGAAACCTGGATTTTGACTTTGATACTTGAACTACATGACATGGCTATTATGGATGTTCGAATACCATGTGCGGTACAAAGCAAGTTGCCATCTCCCAGTACTATATGTGGAACCTTACAAGAGCCACTATCCGTCACACTTCGCTTTGTTCCTCGGAGATTCTTACAACGAGCTTCTCACCACGAGATTCACCACTCTGCAGCATCTCAAGCGCGGTAATTACGCCGTCAAAACGGCCCCCAATCTCCCGAACAGGCTGTGTGGTGATACGCCCGCTATCTAGCAACGGCTGCAGTTCACGGGCCCACGTTGTGGCAATCGCGTGCAGAGCCGGGTTAGCTTTGCGTGAGTAGACAGGATGGGCTAGATCAACATCGAAGTTTTGCCCCTCAAAGCCCATTACGACCTTGACCGCCACGGATCGACGCGTACGCCAGGCATCTGGAATAGCCTCGAGGCAGGCGTAACGGCCGCCAATGCGCGCCAATGAGCCGAAACATATGGCCGCAGATTCGGCATCCGTTATGCAATCGAGTACATGCTTGATGCTCGCACCGCCGGCGAGTTTTTGGATATCTTGGGCGCAGGTTGAGGATGTGTAAGAGGCTGTGCCAATTGCACCGAGTCCCATGACTAATGGTGCTGATCTGGCAGAACAGACGGCGATGGGAGCGTAGCCGGAGCTATTCGTTGGGTAAGTGTCAGGCTTTTCTTGTGTCGTACAGAGCGGTGCGCAAGGAAGGCACTCGGTTGGACCCAAGAATAATTAAATGGACTCACAGTTTCAACATCTGAATAGCCATGATGCCAGTAGCAGTAGCCCCACCGTAGACCAAGACAGGGATGCATTTCTCCGCAGGGGCGGACGGTAGCCCGGGGAGATTCAAGGCGTCGGGATCCGAGATGGCCAAAGCAGCTGTACCCCATCCAATGGCACCTATGGCAGCAGCCTGTAGGTCTGACACGTGGGCTGGAATCTTGAGAACATGGCGCGAATCAGCGGTGGCGTATTCAGCAAATGCGCCGTTATACGGATTACTGGGTCGATATGGGAAATCGGCGCCAGCAACTCTATCGCCAGGATGAAGGCTTGATTGGGGCCCGACTTCCTGGACGATGCCGCAGAAGTCACACCCAGCAGTATTTCCCTGCATGAAGAAGTGGGTAACCATCTTGTGATCTGTCGGATTGAGTCCGACAGCCAAAACGCGTATGAGCACATGGTGAGGAGTGGGCAATTGCGGGAGAGGCCGAGATTGGGCAACGACCAATGGGAGGCCGAGTCGTGGGGGTGTGGTCTTTGACTGTATTACGGCCGTTTGGCCGGTCGTGGGTCGTGACATGTTGTAGTTCTTGCAGCAACGTTCATGGCTGCGGCGGTTTTATCAACTGCTTTGGAGCTACGTGAACGAAGAAATATGAGAAGACTAGGGTACCTAGGCAAGCGAAGCCGACGCCAGCTGCGAGTAGAGCCGTTTGGGAAACCGAAGCCGACCATCTGCTCCGAGGGAAGCCGTTGAACGGGCCGACAAGGACGAAAGACGTTAAAGATGTAGATGGCCCTAAGTGTGGGTCGATTGACATCGGGCAACACGCATTCTATTTGCAATGTCATCCTGGACCATGGACGTGCAGCAGGCGGGCGTGGCCATGACAGTCGGCGTCGTGGTACACGTGACTTATTTCAACAGGGGTGAACACGACAGAAGCGGGGCTAGATTGGCAGGCATGGCACTCGCAGCCGTGTCTGTGATTACTGTTGTACAGCAGTATATGACAGGAGCTGCGTGGAGCGCTTGTGTGGCGGCGGCGCTGTCGAAGGTGGGGGGTGTGGTTGGCGGCGTGGTGGTCAGCCTCCTTCTGTACCGAATACTCTTCCATCCGCTGAACCGTTTCCCCGGCCCATGGGCGGCCCGCGTAAGCGACCTGTGGCTATCCATACAACTTGGGCGCCACGATATGCACACACAAAGCGTGCGACTCCATCAGCAGCACGGTGACTTTGTACGCATCGGCTCGTCAACGCTGATGATAGCCCACCCGCTGGCGGTCGCAGCCATCCATGGGCCTGACAGTGCGTGTCGAAAAGCAGCCATGTACGACTTCGAGCAGCCCAACCGTGGAATTGCAACACGTGACGGGCGCCTGCACGCGGCTCGCCGGCGGCTGTGGAGTCGTGGATTTGGCGACAAGGCGCTCCGCGGATACGAAACACGCATCGCCGTCTACGTCGACATGGTGCTGGAGCGCCTTGCGGGGGCGAGCGCGGCGGGCACCTCGGTGTCGGTCGTGCGGCTGACGGAGCACTTCGCCTTCGACGTTATGGGTGATTTGGGCCTGGGCCAGGACTTTGGCATGCTGCAACACGACCGCCAGCACCCGGCTGTCGAGCAGCTGGTGCAAGGAATGGCCATCATGGGTCTGCGGCTGCCCATGTGGTTGATGCGCCTCATCATCGACGTCGCCCAGTCGCTGGTGCCCACCGAGGCCTCGACTGGCTTCCTGACCTTCTGCTACACCCATCTCGAGCGGCTGATGGCCGACGAGGGTCGATTTAACCGTCCCAGCCTCATGGCCCCACTGCTCGCCCACTACGAGCAGCAGTCGCCTGCCGAGCGTGACTTGTCCGCCCTGCGTAATGACTGCCGTTTCATCGTCATTGCAGGCAGCGACACCGTCGCCGCTACCCTGGCCTTTCTCTTCTTTTACCTTGCCCGCCATCCAAATCACGTGGCCAAGCTACGGGCTGAGCTGCTCCCTTTTCGCAGACCCGACAGCACCTTTGCCCACCAAGACATTGCCAATGCCGTTCACCTCAATGCCCTCATCAGCGAAACGCTGCGTCTGCACCCCCCAGCCTCGACCTTGATGCGTACCACACCGCCTGAAGGTATACGCGTTGCTGACACTTACATTCCTGGCGATATGACCGTCTTTTCTTCGCAGTTCGTCATTGGCCGCTCCGAAGCCGTCTACCAGCATGCAGCCCAGTTTTGCCCAGAGCGGTGGTATTCCCAGCCCGAGCTGATCAAGCACCCTGCCGGCTATGCTCCCTTCTCCATTGGTAGCCACAGCTGTCTCGGACGGCCGCTCGCCCTCATGGAAATGCGCTTGCTGATCGCTGCGTGCGTGTCGAGCTACGACGTGACGTTTACGCCAGCATTCGATCCCACCGTATTTCTGAATAGCGTGCAGGACTGCATGTCGTGGCACCTGGGAAAACTAGACCTTCGCTTTACTAAGCGTGTTTGAGTCTGGAAAGTGTCGGTGTGTTGTCGAATTTCCCCGTAAATCGTGGAATCGTGGGGTTCCCAAACGTCACATGATTTGATTACTCATCAGCTCACTCTGTCGCTAGTCTTGCTCTACCACAATATCTTTACAATGCAACTAGAGTTCCATCTCAATTGCATGCAAGCTCCTGCAAGTGTGAAATTCACTGGACATGCACGATGCCTAGCGTCATACTCACCGGGGTTGCCCCGTAGGGATTGGTTTCTATCTTGGCGTTCGTCTCGTCGGCCTAGCCTTCTGTGGCGTATGGAGGATCTCGATTTAGTGAGTGATCGACATCATCTATTTCACGCCTTGATCTCAGATTTAGATTACTTCAACTTTGCTCTAGTTTGTAGGGGCATCGAGTTTCCACATGCTGTATATGATGACTCCTAGCAAAAATTGTCGGCAGTACACAGTTGTTGTGTTCTAGCGATACTCGCCCGTAACAACCTGATACCTTCGAAACGCTTTCCCGACAGGTCACTGTCTGGCCCCAGTGCGCATCCCAACTCGAGAAATACTGCACTCCATCTCTCGTCTACAACACAGCCCGTATGCGCATCCTCGCGGCCCGACACGCATAGCTCCGCCGATAATCCCAGCAGCTTTTCGATCCTCTCAAACTGGTGCTGAACGGTCTGGATCAGGATTTTGATCTGCAGTCCTACCTGCTGGATTGCAAAGCCAGCCAGCTGCAGCTGTGGCAGCCCAATCGCCATCTGAATCGATGAACCTGCGGGTGAGGGGCGAGTAGGACCGTTGCATAGCCGGTCTAGCAGCTGTAAGAAGAGTATGTTGACCAAGTCCACAATGCGGAAGTAGCACGACCCGAGGTTTAGCATGCACATAAGATTGGCTGCGTTCGGATTACCATGCTTGCTTCCACTCGTGCTTACTGCATGATTGTATGGGGCTCTCAGAGGAATCCCTTGTCCATCCAGACTTTGGAGAGTTCCTATGTATTCTTCCATACTGTGGAGCATGTCTCCAAATGTGTCCGGAGTGGCTGGTTCCGATGGCGTCTCATATGCCGGCAGTATATATTCTGGATCCGGAAAGCTCGTTGAACCATGTTTTTGCCTTGCGAGTTGCTGACAGAGATTGAAGTTCAACTGCGATAGACGCAGGTTACCGTCCGCCTTCTGAAAAATGCTTTGAATGTATTCGTTGTTTTGTGTTTGGTGCCCTGCATTGATGGAGAATTCACCGCTTCCTCGGCGAGTAGCCTCCACGCCATCGGCCAGATAGTCCATCTGGAGAGGCGGGCCCAGAGCTTCGAAGTGATACGAATCAAGGAGCCCATCCAAAGCGTCATCGTGAACGTCCGGCTGTCCATCTTCGCAGCTCAGGCCAGGAAGAAACTGATTGAAATCCTCCAGTGACCACGACGGGGCACTTATCTCTTCGACCAAGGGCCCTGTGGTTGTTTCTGCGACTAGAGTCTGCGAGTCCAACGATTCTGGAAGTTCGAATGTCCGGATACTGTGTGCCTCGAAATCGGAGGGAGGCGCTGCGTCGCCTTGCAGATAGTCTCTCCTCGGAGATCGTCCACGGGGTCTTGTATAGCCACTCACGCACGGCATACCAGCCCGTACACAACGCTCACATGGCTGTGTGTCGGTGGTCTTTCGCGGGCATCGGAGTTTCTGTTTCCTGCAGCGGTTGCATGCGGACCGCTTGCGTGTTGCGAAGAACGGCATGGGCTGCATTCTTGGCCTGTGCGATGGCCGAGTGTGTACTGTCGGGTCGGCTTGGATAGAGAAGTAAATGAATTGAGTATGTACACACTCACTGCTGATTTTCGTCTCATGACTAGAGGGTTCGAGAGTGTTAACTATCGGACCTACTAGTCCAACCGGCCAAGGTCGAAGAGCTTGGCCCGGTACATCTCGACGCAATGATATCAGTCCGCGCAAACAAGTGTTCAAAGACTATTCTACACAATCAAAACGTCAGAGTATTGATTGATAGCAGCGATGTATAAGAGCCAAGAGATTCCGCGAAACTTCACTTTTTCTTGCAGTTGTAAATTTGTTGATGTTAGGAAGATTTATCTATACAAAGTACTAAAGTTATTTCTCCTCACGAAACACAAGGCCACAACATGAATCTACAAATATCTATATAAAAGAGTACAAACTAAAACCCTCTTATTCATTTGCCTTCTATTCTCCATTTCCTCTTGTCGTATTGAACATGTACATCTTTGCGTCGAGTCAGTCCTTTGCGTCAAGCTATCCAGATCCAATGACTTCACTTCGGCCAGTTGAGCGAAAGTCTTGGGGCAACTTGAAGTATGGACCCATTACGCGAAGTCCAGAAGATGATAAAGCAATACCTCGGTCTCAAGTAAACATATACACGGACCGTAAGGAACAACCACAGTAACGTCCATTAGAAACCGTACTCTGAGGGCATCAACGGCCCGACTAGGCTATCAGTAAGACACACGGACGTGCGGCGTATGCCGCACTTCTCACGCCATCGTGCAGGACTGAGCTTGTCGTGTAAATCTTGATCAAACCTGAAACATCTCAGACAGGGCAGTAATGGGAGGTAATAGCTCATTGTACTTCGCTTGGGTACCTCGTTTCTTTAGCCGTATCACTTGAGAATGTAGCAATGGGAGTATTGCATGCTGAAAGTGGTGGGCTGGATAAGACATTGGGAGGTGGTTCCATCATGACCTAACATTCGTGAGCAAGAAGCTAGCGCGCCCAATTTGGGTTGGTGAGAGGCTTTGTAGAAATATCGAGTAGAAGGGTCAGATGTTATCAATCTTTAACGTCTAAGGGATGGAACAGAGTCTACCTCGACACGGATTGAGGGAAGCCGAAATTTTCTCTCCGTGTAGTTGATATTGACATCTAGGGCAGATCTCATGCCGTTATAAGAAACTCGCACAATCTTTCTACACTCATTCTCACTCAAGACAGTTATTTCTCTAGTCTTCTCTCTTACACAAAAGTCTGGGGTAGCATAGTCTTATACATACAACAAGTTCCCTTGTCGCCCAACCCATCTACTTAAGATACATCGCCATCCCTACAGTCCGTGATGAGCCCCTTATGCCTCCACTCTACATAACCTACCATCCGCATCTTCCTCCCAGTCTTCAGACCCCACAGCTGTATACGCATAGAACACCGCCTTGGGATCCCACCTATCCTTTACTTCTCTCAACTGCTCATAATTCAGGCCATAAAACGCATCCTGCCACTTGACGTTGTTACCATGCGGATACACTTGCGGATCCGCCTCATTCAAATACGCCCCCGATCCAGGAGTTGCGACTTCGATCATCGGGTGGATGATATTCGCTAGATCCTGTCTGCGCGCTAGCATCGTTGCCTCGGGGACAGTCCAGTTGTAGATGGAGAACTCCAGGCAGACGGCGACGGCGTCACGCCAATAAGAGACCACAGCATTATCGGGGTGCGCTATTCGGGACGAGTTTACATTGAAGCCTGAGCAGCCTAGTTGCCAGTCTGCGGCTATGTCGTGGTCCGTCATTGTTAAGATAGCGGTGGTTAAGGGGGCGGGGTTCAACGAGATGGTACGGGGGATGAGGCGACTGTTGAACAACTGAGAGGCTTGGTACGGGCCATAGGGTAGGGGGCCGTTGGTTGCGTTGTAGTGCGATAGATATGAGGGAGCATTGTATGTGACAAACGTATAGGGAACACCTAGATCGTCCAGCTTCGTGAGGTACGGCCTGAAAATATCGGCCATCTCGTCCATGGTTTTGTTAGGTGCTGTGGTGTTGTGGATCCTGAAACCATCTCTGAAGAAGTTGAAGGATGGAGATGCACCGGCGTCGACAAGGTCAGGAATGAATTTCCACCATTCGTTCAGTGCGGCAACGTAGGAATCATTGTCACGGCTGGCTGTGGCGTTGAAACTCAGAGTAGCTGCACCGACAGAGCCTTCAGCATGTAACTTAATGGTTACTCCCAGGACAGCAGCATAGGTGCCAGCCCCGCCGCCAGTGAGGGCCCAGTAAAGATCTGTGTTGTTGGTAGGGCTGGCTGTAAGATGCTGGCCATCTGCCGTGATGACTTCCCACTCTAACACATTGTCCGCGCCTAAGCCATAAGTGTTTATGAGCAGGCCGTGGCCACCGCCTGCAGAGTATCCGCCTGCAGTACCGACAGTTGGACAATCGCCCGTCACTACACGGTAGCCAGCCTTGTTTGCGTGATCGAGTACCTCTCCACCCGTGATTCCTGCCCCGACCTTGATAGCAGGACCATTGTAAGCTGAGCTGGCATATTTCGTGATTTCCATAGATTTGAGGCCATGGGTCCAGAGCGATAGGCCGCCTTTCCCAGTGGATTTACCAAGAAAACTAAGAACAAGTCAATTCCGCTATAACATTCATCGGGTATAGCACATGGTTTATTGAATAACTTACTCGTGTCCAGTATTTTTAATCACTAAACGCACATTATACGTTTGAGTGAACTTGATAGCGTTGATGAATTCGTCTGCACCGGAGGCGGCGATAGCGTAGTTCACGTAGTTGCCAAGTTCGCAAGGTCGATCTAGATGGTGGAACGGACTGCAGGAATTGTTCTGATACCAAGGGTTCATAATGTCCCCTGACTGATTTATGCTGTTGAATAACGATCAGAAAGAGCTTCCACTGATCATTCGAGATCCAATTCACTGATGACATACAATGTCTGTGGCAGATCCCACTTCTGTGCTAATTCGGTACACTTTGCGCCGTCTGGCTCGATATCGGCATATCCTCCAGGGTGACAGACGGCTCCTAGTGGTACGGTGGCAATCAGTCTCCCACCCACTGTTTGGTTCAGTCGATTCCAGACTTCTTTAGTCGGCCAATTACTGTCGCCCGGTAGGACTCTGCAGTTTGAATCTGTCCTTATGAGTGAACGAGTGTATGGTACAGCTGCATGGACAGTTGACCAAAGTAACCAGCTGGTAGCTGAGGCTGCCGCGAAAGCATGCATTGGAGTTAGTGCAAAACAACAGAGAGACAATGGTAGTTATTTGTTTTTTCCAATTTTAGCAGAGATAACCAGTTGTATAAAAGACAACCATCACGTGGTTAAATACTGATTCAAGCTTTGACCTGAGAGCTGACGAAGATTCGACAAGTCGCAATATCGATAACGGAAGTTTGGATACAACACTTTACCCAAACTTCCTCGCTTCAGCTCATTCGGGTAGTAATATGCGAACCCCTACGATGAGGCTACTCGCATTCGGCGTCAACTGCCTAGTTTGGTTAGACATTGCTATTGAAGAGCCGAGGAAGTGACCAGAAACGACAAGAGCTATCTAAGCTCGAAGCCGTCTTTATAGCAACCTGTTCGTACTCTGCGAAACGCGTAATCACGACTACCAATACCAGTACACCCGATATAGTCAAATCAAATCTACGCTACTGCAGTCTGATGGGCCGGAGGATCTTATCCTTCATCACAACAGCGAGCAAACAACGCGATAGCCACAAAATCCACACTCAATCCCAAACTCTCCCCAAATTTATCATGCCATTCACAAACCAGCCTTCACAGGCTACGAAGCCTCAAGTTGGAAAACAGTCAATGGCAAGCATGTGGACGCAGATGTACCCGCCCAAACCCTCATACACTGAGCAAGATATACCCGACTTAAGCGGCAAGGTACAACGGCGTGATAGATTGTATCGCGTTTCTGGACCTTAACTAACACGCTCCCTCAGGTCTACATAGTTACTGGTGCAACTTCAGGCGTAGGCATGGAAACAGCGAGGATCTTGTACTCCAAGAACGCAAAAGTCTACATTGCTGCCCGCTCAGAGACAAAAGCAGCTACCGCCATCACTGCCATTGAACAAGCACATCAAGAGTCTTCCGGGACAGTTGTGTTTCTCCATCTCGATCTCGCAGATCTGAACACTGTGCGAGCAGCTGCTTTGCGCTTCCTATCCCAAGACACGACGCTCCATGCACTATTCAATAACGCCGCCGTCCAAGCACTTGGCGACGCGGATGGATCGAAAAGCAAGACCGTGCAAGGCCATGAGGTGCACTTGGGTGTCAATGTACTAGCGCCGTTTCTCTTTACTCGGCTGCTGACTCCCGCTCTGGCGGCGACGGCCCAAATCGAGTCCCCCGGCACCGTGCGAGTCGTTTGGGTTTCTTCCATGGGCACCGAGACCATTGGAGAGAAAGGTCGTGGTCTGTCGGCAGATTATGTCGATTACTGGCCGCTTCTGTCGCCGCTCGAGCGGTACGGGATGAGCAAGGCTGGAAACTGGCTACATGGTGTAGAGTTTGCGCGACGCCATGTAGACGATGGAATCATGAGTATGCCAATCAATCCTGGCCACTTGGCCTCAGAGTTGTATCGTGAGGGTGGCTTCTTCTTCAAGAGGGTGTTGAAGGCTGTAGCACTGTTTCCGCCTGTTTACGGTGCTTACGTCGAGTTGTTTGCTGCGTTGTCCAAAGAGTTGAAACCAAAGGATTCTGGAGCTTGGGGTAAGCCTTGACCAATTCCTCACTTTGATGTTCTGTTTTCCAGTGTGCTGACAGTTTCTTTTTTACTTTAGTCGTTCCATGGGGCCGGCTTTATCCAATCCGTGACGATTTGATGGACGCAACAAAGTCCAAAGCCGAGGGTGGCAACGGACATGCAAAGGAGTTCTGGGATTGGAGCGAGGAGCAAATTAAGTCGTATCTATAATCGAAATATATTTATTACGATCTTCAGCTTGTCCTATACGATTAAAGCAACCAGCGTATACTTGTATCTTGTGTGAAGTGTAGGCGCCGAAGAATGCTTTAGAGGACCGTCAAAAGAAACGATGATTCTCGTCACTTCTTAAGTTATTAAAACCTACTGAAACGAGTGTTGTGCCTGGGGTATCGATCTATCGAATAATATTCTCTTAGGTGCTTTCTTCCTCTTGTTCCTGACTGACCAGATCCCGGCCCAGAAACGACAGCCGTGGATGAAATGAGGGTCTTCCTCAGGCAGTGGCTTCACCTTGCCCGATTGAGCAGTAAAGTATCGAGTCATCTATTTAGCCAGTGACATGAGTACATCCAGATCATACCAATGGCTCTTGTCGTGGAGACCACGTTCTATCTCATTCCAAACCATCACACATGTCCTCTAGCACCCTTCTCCAACTATATTTCCATACTGCAGAAGATTTCTGGAGTGTGAGACTGTTCGCTTCTTGAATGATAATGTCGTCTTTCAGATCTGGCAAAGTATCAAGCGTCGCCTCACATGCTACAGTGTCCTCTTTCCAAATTACGACATTGTACACGCACGTGATCCACGGTCTTACTGGTGAAAGATCTCCCGTAATTGACCTGTGGTCAGGAGTTAGTGCATCGAGAATCTCCGCGACATCGTAGGCTCGCAGCCGTAGAAAGCTCCAGGTGTTGCGCCTGCAGCCTGGGTGTGCAGAGCCACGCGTTATACGGTACATGCATACCCTATACCTAGACCAATAGATAAGCCTCTGCGAAACCTGTGCGAAACCTTCTCCCAGGATTGAAATCTCCCAAACAGGGCTTTAAATACTAGTTTTGCATTGCGCGGACCTACTTGCAAGGTTTGAAAAGCCTCTACGCAAGACTTGCAGCGAATAAGGGGCTCACCACAAAGAAATTTTCGATCTATGCACCCGAGCCGGGGGGGGGGGAGGCCTCTCGGCCAATCAAAATACCAGGAACCAGGGTACAGCGAAAGCATGCAACAGCTTGACAACTACAACTAAGTTTAGTGTACAAATCTTGTGCCTGAATTTTGAGCAGTATCCGCCTTGTTTGTACTTTAACAAGTTTGTGTTACGTAGTTTTGCTACTTGTAGGAGCCAAAAAGAATGTAGCTTATTTCCCACTTTTACAGTTGACTGAGAGAGGGTGTAGTCATTGACCCAAGGCGCAAGGTGGTGAAAAACTTACTGCTCTCTTATTGGCTGATTGCAGGCGACTACCATGGTACCGGGCATATGAGAACCGCAAACCTAAGCCTGCGACTTTCTTAAAAGCCAACACTTATGCATGACCAAAACCATTACACCAACTTCCAAATCTACAATATTCTCATTCGACTATGCTACAGTCCAGCGTCCAGTACCGCTGTATCGGAAAGGGCTTTTGCGGTAGTATTTGGACTCTTGGAGGCAGACAAGACAAGGATAACCGACAAATCGTCATAAAGCGCGAAGATGGCGGGCCCGGTCGATCTATCACGAACGACTACAATATGCACCTCCAACTTCTCCAGAGCGCACTTCAACACCCTCCCTCGATGCCCCTCTCGATACCGCAGTGTCACGAGCTGATCCAACCCACCGATACCTGGTGGAAATCATGTCTGCACCAATTTCCTCCTGGCTACTCTGCTTGTAGAGCACTCATCTCAGAACGCATCCCTAAAGTCCCAAGGTCTATCAGCGACAAGATCGTAGACCTCTTCTGCGCTGGCAACGCTCCACTGTCTGATTTTGTTAAAGGCAATGCTGACGATGACGCATGCTTGATTCGACCATATTTGGGGCGCCGACGTCGCCACAGACAGGACGAGATAAGTAAATCGCGCTTCCAACGCTTCAGTCTCCGCAATGTGCCTCTCCATATCGATCAGATGGAGGTGTTAGGTCTGGACGTCAAGTCATACGCCGAGACCATGGCAGAAGCTCTAGCGCTAATGCACTGGGGTGCGAGGATTGACGCGAATGACGTCGAATTTGTGCTGGCTCCGCCGCGAGCGAAGCCTGCATATCCATCCACCTTTCAGTCTGACTACTTGGGCGTTCACTGTATATGGATCCTTGACTTCGATTGCTGTCGGCCGATTCAGATGGACGAAGCAGGCGTCGAACAAGCCTGTGCGGCGTTTTTCAAAAATGATCCTTTTTATCCAAGGCCGGGGACTGGGGAGGCAGCTGACGAGGAGCTCTGGATGGTTTTTAGGCAAAGGTTCCTAGAATCTAGTCGGAGGATCCTGGGCGAAATGAGTCAAGATGAGTGGTTTCTTGCAGACATGTTGATAGAGAGGATTGAAGAGGAGGGACAGTCACGGAGAAGGGATAAGAAGGCGGGGCTTCTCAGTGAATGCCAGTGGAATATTTAGAAGAAACGGCAGCAAGAAGTAATGTCAATTATCCGACTACGTTTGCCCATCCTTTTGAGCTTCGCACGAGGCTGCGAAAGAGTGATGATCAGCCAAATGTAGTGCAACTGAAGATATACATCGGAACAGGGCAGACATCTGTTGTATTCTATCTGAGCTCTACATCCAAGATAGTATCAATGAAAATCAACAACATCGTTTGAAATCGCTACTTAGCCGCTGAGAAGTTCAAGTAAGAACTCCAACCTTGACCCACGCGTCGCGGATCTTATCTTTTACATCCGCGTCAGGAAATTCTTCGGCCGCAACCTTGACCGTGACATTCGCAAATGTTTCAAAATCGCATTGAACAGGAATCTTCCCCGACATCATCGTCTTGTACCAAACCTTACCTGCCTTTTCCCAAGAGTTCCCTCCTATAGCTGTCGCGGCGAGATAGAATGCATGGTTCGGGATACCGGAATTGATATGTACGCCTCCATTATCATCGGACCCTGTGTAGATATCCTTCATGTGTTTGGGTTGCGGATCGGTGCCAAAGACAGGATCGTCTGTATAGGCTTTCCAGGACTGGAAGGTCCGCAGTGCAGACCCAGTGAACGCGACTGGGAAGATGGTTTGTCCCACTTTCCAGTCCGCTTCCTCTGCAGTCTGTTTCATGTGCCACTGCTCGGTCATTGATCCGAAGACATCGGCGCAGGACTCGTTCAAAGCTCCAGCTTGCGATTCGTAGTTCAACGGCGAGGAGAACTGCACAAAGCCATGACTCAACTCATGGGCAATGACGTCGAGCGAGTCAGTGAGGTAATCGAAGGTAATGTCGTCGCCGTCGCCGAAGACCATGTGCAAGGCATCACCATCCCAAAATGCATTGTTGTACCCAGCTGGTGCATCTGCGGCTTTGTAATGGACGTTGCCATTGAGGGGTAGTCCTTTATCATCAAGGGAGTTGCGACCGAACACCTCAGAATAAAAGTCATGCGTAATCCCGAACCCATCGTAGACGTTGTTGACCTGGCGATCTTTGATACGTGCCTGTCCCTCAGATCTGACAATCTTTCCTGGAAGCTTGTCGGTCTGTTTACAATCGTAGATCTTCCTCTGCACCGACTTCGATACCGCGGCATCGGCAGTCAATGGTGCCTGTTGGTTGTCTTGTTTGGCGAGGCCCTCCTTTGGGTCAGCAACCGCTTGGAGAATGTATCCCGGAATGAAGCCTTTTCCGGTGGAAGGGTGACTGACTTTGTTCCCATGGACTGACTTATAACGATGTTCGTGATAAGTGGTTATATGTTTGAGTGTGTGGTTGCAAGCAGCGCTGGCCGCCTTCGCAACGACGTCAGAGTCCTCCGCATTGACATTGGAGCGGGCAACAGCTTCCAGAATGTATGGGGGGACGAAGCCGCAAATGACAGGTCGCTGAGTTTCACCCATAGTAGCAGCTTATAGATGAAGGTTTTTGACAAGGTCGATAACTTAGAAATGAGTTCTGCAGTTGCGAAAGGTAAGGCTAGAGGTTTAGTCGTCCTCGCATTGATTGAAGAGGCCTTTGGTGAGTTGAGAGGGCATACTCTTAAATAGCACCGCTCTTGGAAGCCAAGATGTGGGAAAGGGAGTTCCCGAGCTTCCACTTTAGCGCTCCCATCTTGTTACCTGCTGTTGCTCGGTCCGGCCGAATCGTCTTCCAGCATGACGTTGTTCTGCAACGCGTCAGCCTTCCACCCTTGTCTAGAATAGCCTGTCGAATAGTGACCCGAGTCTCCGTCTGATCAAGCTGAATGATGTAGGACTCGACTCTTATCTTCTGCACATGGCGCCAGATTCATATACTCCGTCGCCGCTGATTGGGTGATATTTGCCGATCTTGGTATCAGCTATCCAAGTAGTGGAGGGGTAAAAGCGAACCTTCGCCAATGTGTCGGATCGTGACCTTCATACCGATACAAATTTAAATGGTCACCTAAGTATTCGCAATCGAAAAACCTAGATTCTAACAAGTGGCGAGCGTAAACAACATCGAAAGCAATCGTGCAGTCCCGTGGCACTCTGATTGATCTTGTTAGTTTTATTGAAACAACATTGTTCGATACATAGATTTACAACAAGACCCACACCAGCTGATTAGGCTGAGGAAGACGAAGCAAAACTTACTTTGCATGCATGACGAGTGGCTTGGCGAGGGACTGAGCTTGGGAGGAATGAGCCAATGGGCGCATCACCCACCTGTGTCACAAAGTGCCCTCTACGAACTAAGACAGAACATCAGATGATAGTGCGCCAACAATATCAGCCTTTGCATGGAGGTCCGGTGAGGCAGCCCAGAAGGTGCATGGGTGATAAGCAGGGTTGACCATTACTCTTGCAGACACCTCGCAGGTCCACTTCTTGGATAACTTGATTGTTCCCTCATCACCTGTCGTCCTGCATTATGGGGTGATGCCTCTTGGCAGAAATCGTCCATACCGATAGCCATTGTCTGCAGATCTAACAGATCCGGGGAGCTTAATTATGTCGATCACAGTGGACTAGCCTTGGTCTTTTTCCAGTATCAATCGACAGGATAGAAGCACTGCACAAGGTCGCTTAACATACTTCAAAGCCGTTTTTTCTGTTTCCTGGACGTCCAACATGGCCTACGGTTTCTGGTATCTGGAAATGCCATTGGCTGGCATCGCTTCGTCGCATTCTTCGTTCTTGACTCTCCATAATCACGTTCAGCCAATTAGTGGGAATATTCTTCGTAAACTTGTCAAATGAGTTAACTTCTTCCATGTAGCTTATATGCTGATATAGCCGTTTGTGTAAAATAGTGATGAATTGCTCTCCAAGGTCTTATAGCATTCTGCGGGTGGATTAGATTTCTGCTATTGGCAGCCCTTGTATGTATCAATAATCCTGGTTGGAAAGTAGGAAGAGGACATTTGGGTGTGCCCATTGTCAGCGATCTGTGTTTTCCGAGATGATATGGTTAACATCATGAGTAGTCAAACCTCGCAACCAACAATGTGTGAAAATAGTGTGGAAAAAATCTAATGAAATACCACAAGAAGCATCATCTACTGTAGTATACATGCTTTGGCTACACCACCCAATTTCAGGACCAGAGCGCCTGCATTGCTCTCCCACACAAGTAATGGAAACAACCTAGCTCTATGAACTACCTACCCCTGATCCGCTACCTCCACCGAGACTCTCGCCCGGGTGAACTGTCTGACCAAAAGATTCTGGTCCACCCACCGTGTTACTCTGCACACCACCCTGTGAAATGGAGTAGCCGTACGGTGGTAGCTGTCCCGGGAGACCTTGTCCCTGTAAGGGTTGCATTTGTTGGGGTTGACTGGTAGGGTTGTAGTTCATGGGCATATTGGGAGCGACCCAACCCTGGCCTTGCGGAATGTATCCACTCTGCGGCGCCTGCTGTGGTTGATGTCCTTGGTAAAATCTTGGATCCATCTGTCCTTGCTGAATCCCCTGATGAGGGTATCCGTGTTGAAGGTCGTAAGAGTTCCCCATGGATCCCATGGTCTGTCCAGATGAGTGAGGCTGGTTGTAGACGGGTCTCGTATTTGGACTTGCTCCGGGCAGATAGCCCTGATTCACGAGAGGCTGGAACTGATCAATATGTGCTGACGACTGAGACTGGGGAATTGAGCTTGAGTGCCTAGCGTTGCTGCTCGACTCCTTTGCTTTTGATGACCGTGAAAACTTGCTGGGCGTAGTCTGGTGCACGGTGCCTTGCTTCGCACGCAACGAATGATCATAGGCTCTCTGATCTCCTGGCGTCCCTCGAAGATCGCCAAGGTACTCTCCAAACTCAATGTACGCTTTCTGCACCAATGCAAAATGCTTGAGCTGCAGCTGAACGGTCGCTTCCTTATCCACTTTACCATCGATCTTCCTTCCATGCGCGTCAAACTCGGCCAGCGCAAGAGCGGTTTGACATAGATTTCGGATCTGTCGACCGTTCCAGCGGTTGTATTCATGGTCGTCGTAGTGCTGTGCAGCAAAGGTTTTAATAGCTGAAGCGTCGTACGTGATCGTGCGATCTTGGCGTTTGAAGCGCTGCTGGATGAGATCCAGATTGAGATCGAAAATCTTTATTGTTTTCGCTTCGTCGAGCTCCGGGTAGTGCAAGCTCATGTGAATTCGAGAGGCAAACGCTTCATCGAAATCACCAATACGGTTGGTGGTAAGGAAAAGAATACCAGCCTAGGATTGAGATAAGTACAAATCTCACATGCGCTTCTAACAAGAATATGACTTACGTAGTATTCCAACACGCGAAGAAATACTGTTATGAGTAAGCTTCAGTAAGCGTTGTCGACGCCAGCTTCGACACATACCTGCTACTAGACCGTTTCGTTCAAAATCCTTCCGCTCTCGAGCCGACAGGAAGACATCAGCCTCGTCAAGGAGCAGGATACAGCCCCATCGGCTTGCCAAAGCAAAGTTCTTCTCTAATTCCACCTCAACATCTCGGGCTGTACTTCCAAGATCACCGCACGTGATCTGGAATAATGGCTTCTGGAAGAGCTCTGCTATCCCCTCAGCTGTCGTAGTTTTACCCACTCCTGGTGCACCATGCAAGAGCAGGATGAGACCCTTGCCTGTGGGCAGTTAACGACGACTGTATTTGGTAGACAAATTTCAGAGGGTCGAGGCAAACTTACCCTTTCCTTTAATCAAGTCTGTTTGTTCGTCTCTAGCGAATGTGGCTTGTCTTTCACGGAAATGTTGTGTTACCAGCGATTTTACCATGTCACGATGGCCTTCCGGTAATTCAAGCTGATCGAAAGCAGAGAGAGTGGACACTCTTGCATCCGTGTTTTCATACCTCAAAAAGGTGAGATCAAGCTGGGCTGTTGTGATCGTGATTGTCAGCGGAGAATTCTGTGTACATGGACGCGCACACAGATGTTCGACATTGACAAGCCGAGAAGATGCAACGAACTCGGTACGTACCCCATTTCCGACTTCGCAACACAAATCCAAACACCCTGTAGGTCATTACCACAAACTCGTCTTCCGTCGGCTCGTTCTCCGAGCCGATTTGGGTTTCATCCAGAGGCCGAGGCGAAAGAAGTAGTGATGGTGCTGCAAATGATGTGTCAGGTATCAAGCTTTTGAAGAAATCCTCTGTGAGCCTTGAGTCGATGTACTCGTCTTCGCCAACAGCCTGGCCGTGACAGCAAGGAGCGACACACCTGTCGACATCATCTCTAGTATCCGGGGCAGTTCTGAGAGTGTCAATGACCGGCGCCCAGTTTTCTCTAGTCTCATCTGATAGTGCTTCACTGAAATCGACAACAACCTGACTATCAACTTCATCTCGACTATCCAAGGTATAACCGCTGTAGTACATACTCTTATACCTTGAAATATCTAAGAGCATTCTCCCGCGTTTGATCAATCTTTCGCGGAGTTTTGTATCTTTTGCAAACCGAAGCGGATATACAGGCAAGGATTTGATGTCTTTGACTCCACCGTATGGTGCGATGTCGAACTTCTTAGAAACTGGACCGAACTGCTTGCCATCAAAGTCAATGTATGCGCAATGAACCCTGACAAGCGTGTCTTCCTCAATCTCCGCCTCATCGTCCCTGTTCCTGGATGGCCGCTTGTTCCACCGGAAAAATGGCTCTTCAACTTTATGTCGTGGAAATTCGACACGAACAATCCGGTATGCTTGCTTTTCCTTCTGGTCAATGACCTCGTTTCCAGGTTTGAGGAGATACCATAGATCATGAAACAGAATCTTCCGACACTTGTTGTTGTTGATATACTCAATCTTAGGTTTGAGTTCTTCATCAATGAACCGCATTAAACAACGCAAGTGGAGCAGAGTCGTCATGGGGCTTTGTGTATATTCCTCTTCGGCCTTGACACTAGCACTGTCATCCTCATCGCCACCCTGCTGCACCTCCTCTGTCTCGTTATCGTCACCAGTTGAGGTTGTTTTCTGTATACTTTCATCGGTCTTTCCGACTGTTGCCTTTGGATCTAGATCGTGAGCGTCTTCTTTGTTCAGAAGAACAAGCTCACTGTCAGAGATTTTGGCACTTTCAACATGCTTCTCCAAATTTGCTAGCGCTCCCCTCAGTTCGTTTTCATAATATATGAACTCTCTATACGGTCGCAGGAACACAATGGAACCATCGGCGGCTGTTCTCCATGTTGAATGAGCTGTGATTATTCGCATGAAGAGATCATTCAGCGATTCAGAGTGTATCTTGACCCGCTCGGGAAGTGGTAACTGCCCTGGAAGATCTTCTGGGATTTTTGTTCGCGCTGCTGGACGTGGGCGACCACCCGAAGGCCGTTTCCTAGGTGCCTGCGTATCAACCTGAATTTTGAGCTGAAGGATGATATGTGGCTCTGGTTCTCCAACAACAGCATCGATAGGCATAAGGACGGAGTTCTCAAACCCTCCTTTGAATGCAATGAAGTACTTCCAAGCCACCCATTGAAGTACTGCTGGCTCGCCTCTGAGGTTTGCTGCTGTGCTAATGTTCTCCAACGAGTTGGTCTTGTCTCTGTTATCCGACGTCACATTGCGGCTATCCGCCCTCCTCATAGCCTTCCGGTGCTTCTTCATACGCTGTTCTCGTTCATACAACCGCTTTGATCTTCCAATATACCAGAGGACTTGGCCGAGCACTCTCCTGCTTCCATAACTAGAGCCATCCGAGTCGGAGGATCTGCCGCTATAATCCGAGTCTTCGCTTTCGTCTTCTGACACCTGAGGATTGAAAAGGGTTTCGAGCACATTGAATTTGGTCTCAATGGATTTCAAACGTCCGACTACGTCGCGAGAAGGTGTGCTTTCATCATTGGCTATGCTGCAACTACTATCGTCCTTATTACCCAAATCAATGGGTTTGGGTGTCGGTGGGAAACTGTCAGCATGACTGTTGGTGGTTGTCGGCGAATCGGTAGTCTCGTGGTTGGGCTCCCCATTCTCTTTCGGAGCGATTGCACCTTCTGTATGTTGGTGCTGTCCGTCTGTATCATTGACTTCCATGTCCATTGTTCTCTTGCTATATTCCGATGAGCTGCTTCGAATAATAGATTAGCTTGTTGGCGGAAGGAAGATGGGCGTTTCCGAGCGGGAGTGAACTGGCGACCCGAGGATATTTGAGGGAGCCACTTACAGCAAGGCTGTAGAGTAAAAGCCCCATATTCGGCCCCAAGACCCGCTAGCATGCAGGTTTCCAAATGAAGCATGCTTCCGGTGAGAGCAGGGTTGACTGGCAGTAACAATCTCCAATACGATATGCTCGACCCGAGCAACAACCTGGATATGTAGCGAAAGCAGTGGAAATAATTTAATTAGAGAACATTGCCATCAAAAAGATACACGCTCTATGTTACTTTGTGAATATGTTTCCTATATTTGTCGCACAGCAGCACGTTAGTGCAAGAACATGAGGGTTGCATTCAGCTAGGATAGCACGGCTTGCCGTACACCAATGAGATTGTTCGGTGACAACCACGAATTTTCCATGACCTTTGACTGGTTGAGCCCAAATCATTTTGGCGTAGTACTTTGCTTACAACATCACACCCTCCGGACATGGAAACCATTTTTGGTGCACACCGTGGCCAGAACTGACTCCTCCGTCTTACTGCATAATCTTGAGCGAATGACCGGCGACCTGTCACACCGGTAAGAGTGGTAATGGGGGCCGCAATTCTACTCTGTATTAGACTGGAGAGCCAGCGCTCCTATTCTGGCTCGAATCTGCCGCAGGGCATGCGACGCATGATAGACTCAGACAGATTACATAAAGCTCTACTTCTTTACTTGAGCTATCGCCTGCAGTCAACCGATTGAACTCGTGACATACGCACAGTAAACCCGACCAGTAGTATCACACTCTTATCGACGTTTTGTCCTGATTAGCAGGTGCCTTCTAGGCTGAAGCTGAGATTTCAACCTGCAAACCGCCCGATGTCTGGTCGGATCCCCTCAAACAGCACACCTCCGTCGTTCAAGCTTTGGTCGCCGGCGGTGGATTTTATAGAGAACAGGATGTGGCAGTATCACCCCGCATTCAACACGCAAGGCTTCAGTTACAGCCCAAGCCAGGGTCAATTTGTTGCGGTCGCTCCAGTGCCCACATCTCGAGCCTCGTCGAGTCTCGCACTACCCAATGTGTCCACACCACCTCAGCCCCGGCCATCACCGCAGTCTATCAATGACATGGAGTTTTGGAGCGAGGTGTTTCCCAGAGCGATGAAGCAGCTGAAAGCAACTTCGGCGTCAGGACAGGGGAGTTCCCGCGATTGGGGCATTCGACATCTCTCAAATTGGCCTGATGTCCAGGCCAAGCTCGAAATGGCGCGGAGGGATTACGATTTTGATCACGACCAGCAACACGTTGGGAAGTTTCGCAAGAAAGTGCGCGGTGCACTCGACAAGAGTGCTGTACCTCTTCAGCAGGCTGTGAAACTTATTCCCTCTGGAGACGTGGCGTCACCGATAACTAAAGTGGCAGATCTACTGTTGGATGTGAGTGAGAACCGAATTCTTGGCCATCGAACCCCACTTGCCTGTGACAAGTCTGACCTGGACCAAGGCGTATCGTCAAGCTGCTGAAGTACGGAACGATGTCGCCATCGGATTTGACGACCTCCCTGCGTTCTTTGCTTCAGCGGACCTCTACTTCAAAATCTATCCAGGGGACCAAAACATTCTCAAGGCTTCGATCGATTTTGTGCTTGCAACCCTTCAAGCCATTGAAGAAGCAGTCAAGTTCTATACGAGCAAACAAGGTGTGTATCCAGCAACTTCCCAATAGCGACCGTCCTGAATTCGAGTCTCTTCCTCTCTCTTATAGATGAGTTGTTTTTCTGACTACCTCAAAGCTAAGCGCGCTGGACTTGCGATACTCACAGGCCCGCAATATCAAGAAAAACTCTCTAAAAGCCTCGTTGAGATGAAGTCTTCTGCTGACAAACTCGTGAGTCAAGCACGCGACTCCTTCCAACATCGGGTGATTGCAGGTACGTACAACCGTCTCGAACTATCGTGCTTCTTTCTCAACAACACCGGCTGTTGCAACAGTCCATGTCTCTCCCGTCTTTCACGTGATGTCTTTTCACTGTTGAATTCAAGCCACAAAGGAATACAGGTTACTTTCATGATCTAAGTGTTCTCATTGAGCAGTAATGAATCATGCTAGAGTTGTCTAGGCTCTCGCGCAAGTCAGATATGTTTGTTCGAGGCCCAATGTTTAACTCGATATTACCACTCATGGTTATGATTGTCAAACAAGACCAGCAGTCTCTTACTAATGGTTTTTCAGATGGCATGCAGAATCGCCAGTTGCACGCAGCGACTAGACAGCAAAACGGGGCCACTCACCAAGCTCTTATGGCAATATATCAGCAAGGACAGGCCGGTGCAACTGAACTGGCATGGATGCGGAACATGTTGAACGCAGTACTTGGTCTACTTGAGGATAAGACGAGTATGTGCTTGAACTCAAAGTCCCCAAAGCACTACTGAAGCCGAGAACATACTAACAGTTTTACAGACAATTGGTTACCCTGCTCACCAATCCCGTCCAGGCCCACAACGCCCATGCCGCAGGAGGCGCTACCTTGGACTCCTCAAGATCTCTGGGCCCAACTTCAAATTCCAAACATCGATGAGACCGACTTACAAAAAGCTCTTAACAGCGCTGCGGATGTATTATTTGCAGATCGCAGCCGGGCCGAGCAAATGATCGAAACCCACCACTTCCGGAACTGGATAACAAGTGCTGGATCAGCTCGTCTGCTGGTACATGGAGATTTCGATCCGACGAACCGTACCTCGCCGTTCACCATCCTTTGTGCAACGATTGTTAAAGGCTTGAGAATGTCGCCCGGAGTCGTGAGCCTGGTGTTCTTCTGTGGATATCATCTTCGGAGGGATGAGCATCGGGGTGGTGCGAGTATGATCCGTTCGCTCATCGCGCAACTACTCCGGCAGTTTCCTTCTCCTGCCATTGAGCCTGATTCTAATCTGTCGACGAACGATATCGCTCAGGGACATATCAGCTGTCTTTGCAAACTCTTCACTCACCTTATACGAAAACTACCGCCGAAGACGACGGTATTCTGTTTTATCGACGGGATCAACGAGTATGAAAGGGAAGCCTACCTGCATGGCATGGATGAAGTAATTGTCTCGCTCTCGAACCTCGTCGATGACGACAGCCGCGCAAGATTAAAGCTACTTCTCACAAGCCCACAGCCAACTGTGGAAGTGAGGAGGGCTTTTGATGACGAGACTTTGCTTCATATGCACCAACTGCCTCTGATTGAAGAGGAAATGAGCTATGCAAGACTCCAAGAGCGCCTCGCCCCTGGGGTTGAGACTGGAGCAGAGACTGATTCTGATTGATCGAGTTCTCCTAGCACCTACTTGCTTGTATCATTAGACTAAATATACCACATGGAGATGGTGGGCACTGAATATCCATCGACTATTGCACAAAGCACCAGAAGAGTGATAAATAGAGATTGAACAAGTAATCCATTCAACATTGACATCCCTGCTTCCACGTTCCAAAATTAAAATTAGAACGACACGCCACCCGGCTCCCAACTCCATCTGTATCGTTCCTCCCACCGAGACCGATTCACATCATGCTCATACTATCAACAGAGAAGAAAAATAGTATACGCTAACCCCCCATATCAATATGTACTCTCCACAGCGCCTTTTCCCTCCACTCCAGCATCCGCAGCTTCATTCCCGCAGCCCCCTTATACTCTCGCAACATGCACATTGCTCTGCACCAAAACTCTTTCCCTACCAACCCCTGAAGACATATAATCGGACAAGGGAAAGAATGTATATATAAAACCATTGTATTATCTGCTCGTTGAGAAAACCTCTCTCCGCGCAGAGAAACACGCTAATCGCTCATTACAAGACGCAGATACTCATTCATGCAGATCAATGTATGTATCCCCCGTCCGTCCGTCCGTCCGTGCGAGCCAGACCAGCCCATAAGCGCCACGAGACAGCGAACGAGCATTCCAGCATCATCGCGATCTCGTGACGCTGACGAACCCAACCAACCAGCCAGCCAGATCGCACTAACAGAAGGAAGACAGCGAAAGAAGCAGAAGATGAAACAGAAGAACCATCAAATGAAGATTGTGATAAAGAAAAACATCCTACCGCACTTCCCAAAACACAAAAACATCCATAGAAAAAAGAAAGGACATGAAAATGAAAATGGGAATTTTGCCTGATAATCGTACAAAAGCGCATAATCCCCCTCTCCCCCCACATAAAAAGTTTTGCCCGCCCAAAAAAACGCCTTGAAAATTCCACCCAGGCGAGCCAGAAAACACCATCACTCAGTACCCATTCTCTCGAGCAGCAAGTCACGCCGCGCAGCAACACAGCATAAGCTCACGGCAATTTTCAGCGCAGAACCGACGTGTGCCGAGCGCGACTAGACGGGAGATTAATAGCGCTGGGCTGCGGCGCGGGTCATCTCGCTGCAGCGATTGACCAAGCCCGAGATGCGGCGCAGAAGCGGGTTGCCGGGTGTGTTCTCGTTGAGGTTGATGTAGGCGGTGGTCAGGCGCTGAGTCACGACGTCCATGATCTTAGGGACAATGTCTCGGATCTCGTCGTCCTGGTGAAACTGATTAGTAGGAGGGAGTGATGGGACGAGTGGGAGACTTACTGCGGGGTTCACGCTTTTGAGCACGGCATCGAGCCAGACAAGCCTCTCTGGGAGGTTGCGGTCCAGAGAATCGGACACGACTGCACCGGTTGAGAGAGAGAGCAGCGGGCTGACCTGGCTGAGGTAGGCCGGGTTGCAACGAACGAAGATTGCGTCGAAGAGCTCGTTGGTGCGGTTGGACTGCAGCCACTGCATAGTACCTTGTTCAAAGTTGCCCTCGGTCATAAGACGAGTGATGGCTTCAGTCTCCAACTCCTCCGGGGTCTTCTGCTTGACTGGCGCGCGAGTAGCTTGGGGAGACGGGCGGACCGAGGCGGGGGCCGAAGGAGGGGCTGGCGACTGAACAAGGGATTGCTGAAGCTTCGAGACTTGCAATTGGAGCTCAGCCTGGGTGGCAACCATGGACTGGATGGTCTCGAGGCAAGTGTGCACGGTATCGGTGAGTTGGGTGATCTTCACAGCATCCTCGCGTCGCTGCGCTTGCGAGTGGCGAAGCTGCTCACCAATCTGCCTCTCGATGACGTTTGACAAGTTCGACAGAGCGGGAGTGATGACGGATCCCACAGCAGCAACTACGATCGGCTCGAAGTTTCCGGTGACCTTCTTCGCGACTTGGTCAGACAACGACTGGAACAGCTGAGGGTTCTTCAGAGCTCGTGAGACGGCATCCGGAATTTCCTTCGAAAGTTGAGGGCCCAGCGCAGTCTTGAGGTTGCTGGCGATGCTCTGCTCGAGCGTTGAAGATGTCTTTGCCAGGACCTCTGGGAGCAAGACATTACGAATGTTCTCATCAACCATCTTCCTGATGACACCCTCGACGTTCTCAGTCAAGGTGCTAGAGACGAGGCGGAGGATAGCCTCCTGCTTAGCACCGTTGGCCGCATTCATGACGCGCTTGTCTTCGTCAAACCGCTTGTACATGATGTCCAGTTCGCGGGACAGGCCCTTTGTGATCTCGGTCTCCACGATTCCTCCAAGCTGCTTGGCGTCAATCTCGGCAGCCGGTGTAGTAGAGGCAGGAGTAGGCGCGGAAGTGGCTGTGGCTGTCTGTTGGAGATGCTTGTTGATTAGCTTCCTAGCCCAGTCCGGTGCTTCAACCTCAGGAGTCTTGGCTACTTCTGGCTCAACGGGTGCGACGGGTACAAGGGGAACGATCGCTGCAGCGGGCGACGCGGTCAAGGCAAGCATCTCAGGCAGAGCGGGTGACCTTGACTGTGGAATAGTCTGAGCAGCTTGCGCATACGACGGCGGTGCTGCACGTGTAATGGTGGATGCTTGTGAGGCAGATTCCGCGGCGGAGCGCTTCTTCTTTTTCTTCTCAGACTTCTCGCCTCCATTGATGATGGCCGCACGAGCAGCATCCTGCTTGCTTTCGACCTTAGCGAGAGTAGAAGCACGCATAGCAGCCTCAGGCGTCATCATGGATTGCTTGGACACAACACTGCTGTCCTTCTTCAAGATGTCACGGACAGACCTGTCAGATACGGACTTGGGTGGTGCAGGCGCGTCGCCGGCATTCGAGGCCTCATCTGTGCCTGCGGGGGCAGGCGGCGGTTTCAATTGTGTGATGGTAATAACGCCCTCTTGCTCGGCGTCCTTCGGATGGATAGGCTCACCCTCCTTCTTCCAGCCAAGGTCGCTTCGTCGAATTCGGAGCACGCAAACGCCCTTGGAGTGCATGGCGTAAAGCTCGAACAGGGCAGCGTTCTCTGGATCATCGAGATCTGCTGAACCGGCGGGTGCAGGTTCGTTGAGCATGTGCAGACTCCTGATCTGACCCTTTGATGCGAAAGAGTATTCCGTGATGCTCGTCATGATAGCCGTAGCGTTGACCGGAGGAAGCGCCTGGTGTCCTTTCTCGTTCTTGCTCGCAAGGCGCGAGATAAATTGAGCCTGGCTCAGAACGGGCAGGTTGTACCTCGGACAAGAAACATGAACGAAGAAGATCGAGTTCCTCGTGGGGTGGGCGACAGCCATGATGCCAGTCTTTGGATGGAAGGAAACGCTGCAAATAGCGTCCGACTCATTCTCGTGCGGGAGGTTGATCTCCTGGACAGCCTTGCAGAGACCCAAGTCCCAAAGTTGGAAAGAGTGGTTCTGCTTCATGCCAACCATGACATATCGCAGCGCAATACCCTTAGTATACGGCTTGTCCTTGTCAAAGAAGAAGACCGAAGTAGGCCACGACTTGGCGGTCGGGGAGGTTGTGTTGAACTCGATCAGCGTCTCAGATACTTCGACTTGACGAGCCGGGGCGCGGGGGTTGCCAAGCTCGGGTTCTGTTAGAGTACGAATATCCCAGAAGCGCATGCGACCAGCCTTGTCCAAAGACACGATGACGGTGTCGTCCTCACTGAAGGTAAAGTCCTTTCCAGCCTTACCGGTGAGGATCTTGAGGGAGCGCTCCTTGAGGTACCTCTCTGTGTGGCAGATGCGGGTCTTCTGGCGAGCATACTCTGCAGCGACACGTGGAAAGACGATGTGAATCGACTTGCCCCGGCCGACAGCAAAGAACTCGGGGTGACGTGAAGAGGGCTTAGCGCGCGTCTTCAACTGGCCGCCGGATGTGTTATCATCTTGCGATGGCGAAGGGGGTAGCATGAGGCCTTGAGTATCGAGATGCTCGCCGAACTGATCCTCGCGCGAGGGCTCGAGAGATGTCCAGAAGACCGTGCCGTTGACACCAATGCCGAGAATGCTCTCAAGAGACTGCTGTGTGTCATCGCCTGTTGTGCACAGGGCAATGTTGAAGATGCGTTCCTGGAGGTTTTCAAAGACCTGTCGATATTGGCCATTCTCCTGGCGGATGATGCGGAATCCACCCTTCTTGACAAGCGCGTAAACAATGAAGCTCTTACTGGCCGCAACCAGAGAGCGATCGATCTGGTCAAACTCCTTCTTCAGCCTGGCAATGTCCATGAACAGCTCAGGCCTGAAGTATAGAGGTCGAGGTGGCATGACATTGACCTGGATAGAAGCGAAGGCGCGCATGGGGAACCTGTAGACTATTACCGTCTGGTCTTCGCCCTGCGCAAGGCTCTCTTCAGCTTCGGCGGTCTCCCAGTTCTCGGCCACGTCGCCTTGAGCGATTTCAGCAGCGACCTCTTTCAAGGTAGCGGCAGTAAGTGGAATGGTCGAGATTGCTCCAAGGTTAGTGTCATCCTCTTCAGCTTCTATCTTGACCTTGGCAACGATGTCGACTGCGATATCTTCCACTTCGATGTCTTCGGAGGACAAGTTGTCAATCTCCTTAGCGAGGTGTGCAATGGACTTGCTCTCAGCCTCCGCAAGCGCTTCTTCGATCTGATGGCCAACCTGCTCGCCCAAGTCGCTCACGGCCTCGGCCACAGTTTCGTGTGGAGTCGGTGCCGGCTGCTTCTTGAGGATCTCCATCTTCGGCGGCGGGGCCTTGGTTGCTTCGGGGACAGGCGTGCGGTTGCGAGGGCTAGCAGCAGCAAGCTGATCGAAGGGGTTCACGTAGGTGAACTTTACAGGGAGAGTGGCCGCCTCTGGCTGGAAACGCGACGAGGCGCCCGTGTCATCAGAGCCGAACAGCCTCATGGGCGACGCGGAGGGTGACGCAGAAGGCGCTGCTGCAGTAGCGGGGTCGGATGACTCCTGCTCCTGCTCCGACTCGGCGGCAGCCGGATCTGGCACAGCATCCACGGCCGTTTCTGGCTCGGTGGAGATGGCAGGCGGCGAAAAGGTAGCGGCAGAAGCTCGCGACGAGCGACCGTCCGACTGAGCGGGCTTCGGGTGGTTCAACAGACGAAGGAGCAGATCCTGAGGATTCTCCGACGCTGGGGGAGCAGGTGCAGGCGCAGGAGCAGGCGCAGGCGCGGGTGGGGCAGCAACTGAGCTCGCATGCGAGGGTGTCCTGTTGCCCATGAGGCTGGCCATCAGGTTCGAGGCTGAGACGGTGCGACTGCGGGCAAGGCTGCCCTCGGAGGCCTGCGTGTGTGTGTGCTGCGAGGCAGTCCTGGCCGGACCTCCGCCTGGCTGCGCGTTGAAGCGGAGCAGGTTCAGAAGCTGGGCCGACTGCTGCTGCGGTGTCTGCTGCGACTGTTCGGGCGCGGGCGTGTTGGCAGTCGACATGTTGGGCGACATGACGGCCGAATGGTGGTGCGGTTGGGGTCCGCCGATGGAGGGGGAGAACAGAGGGGAGGATACAGAGGGCTGGTGGTGGCCGTGTTGTGCTTGTTGTTGTTGTTGTGGGTGGTTGCCAGCAGCGCCTTGCCCGTTGTGAAGACGAGCAAACAGCTCCTGCAGATCCGCCATGGTGAAGGAGACTTGGGCGATCTAATTGGGGAGTCAGTGGAGGTGACGCGATGGCAGACGTAGCAGATGCGCTGTTCTGGATGACGACGTGGGTGGGTATGGCGAGCGGCGACTTACTTTACTCGACCCAAATTTCGCGTGCGACTTGACACGCGCCTTAGCCGCTGGAAACTCAAAAACTAAACTCGTGCAGCCGAAGCCCAATGAATGAAAACGCTGATGAGCAGTTGACGATGGAATGGAAATGCAGTTCTGGTGACAGTTGGGGCAATTGGCGACGAAGCTGTGAAAGAGAGCTCAAGCTGGGTTGCGTTGGCGTACTGTGCTAGTCCGGATTCGGGCTAAGTAGTGACGATCAATGAGCCTCGCTCTACGTGCGATTCTGACGTACACCAAGACAACATGTATCAATCATATCATTGTTGAGTTGTCAATTACTTTGTACATGAGCACAGGTAGGAAATAGCAGTCGATTGTGACCACCACATCACTTTCTTTATATGTGGTTTTACTGGAAAGCAAAGTCAATAGATTCAAGATACTATTACTCAATAAATTCTCACATCCTCACCTTCACCCTCTCCTCGGCGAGCTTCTGCCCATCAAAACCAACGCCAATGACATTCACATCCACTTCTCTCCCCTTGCACCTTTCAACCAACCGCTGGGGCAGAATATGCTCCAGTGCATACGCCCTGCCAAGTTTGACTCCATCAACCACAACCACGAAGTACGAACAAGGACCTGTGATATCGCTGTGAGGTAAACCCTTTGCTCTTTCACTCGAACTTCCATACGTCCAACACAACCTTAAATGTTGGGTTTCCCCCTGCTCGCGCTCCTCGATATGGATGCCAGTAATCGTGACCGTTGCCTGCACTGAGTGAGCAGGTGTGATACAGATTGACAGAATCTCAACGAGTCGGACCGAGCTTGAGGAAGAGAGAGGGCCGTGTACAGAGACGCCGAGTTCTTTGAGGGTGCTGCGTGTGTCTGATTGCGTTCCAATAGTCGCTGTGACGACATGGGGTCCTGGGATTTGTGGCACGGGAACGATCTGCAGGCCGCTGGTAGACTTCACAAAGAAATTTGTTGTGACGTTTGCAGGGCTTGAGGGCTTCCGGTAGCAGACTGTGAGTTGCAAGGTCCCGTCCGCTGGCATGTTAAGGTGAAATAGAGGTAGGAATTGCTCGTTGATTATATGGCTTGTTGGAGACAAAGAAGCATATACTTCAATGACCAGCTGTGATTGGCCTTCCAGATCTTCGAGTCTATGGGACAAGACACTTCTACTGCTCTCGTCATCTTCTTTCGAGACGGCTGTCCGCGGTAGAACGGATTGTGAGCCGAGACGCGAGTGCGTGTTTTTCCCGTCAAACAACATCTCTTTCTCTCGCTCATCGTGTGTGCCGAAGGCTCGATTGAAATCCGTGTAGAAGAATGTCTTCGAGCCAGCAGCAGATTCTCTGGCGAACCTTGTGATCGGATACAGCTGATTTGACGGATGACGTGAGGCGCAATCACCACATGGGCAGTCGATGTTCGCTGAAAGTGCTGTTCCCTCCCACATCGCTCGTTCGATCGCTCGACCGTGACCAGGGAAATGTTCATATGACCACGCAGGTGCAAATATACATGCGGAGAGACGTAGATCGGCAAGCTTGGCTACTGCAATTCCGGTGTTCGTGCCACCGCCGCCCTTCTCAGGATACGTGACGCGGGGGTGGGCCAATTTAGTGGTGTTCTGAGCCCAAACATCGATGCCACAGAAGACCTCCTGCGGTGATAGGCCATGATGCATTGCGTCATGTCGCATTGCTTGTGCGAATGAGCTCACGGCATCAGTTTCTTTCCAGCAGTAGTTCGTCAGAATGCTTCCGCAGGCTGTTGCAAACGGAAGATTGGAAGCGTTCAAGGCGTTTTGGTAGGACACCTTGTTCGATGTTGTCAGAGCATCGTACCTGTTGACCGTCTGTTAGTTTCGGTTATCCAGAAGAGCATCCGTGCCTACCATATGAGTTGTTTTCCGTGTCCGAGATCGCCTTTTAGTTGTCTCAAAAACGCTTGCAGGATATGAAGATCCCAATCTTCCTTCGCGAACGGCTTTTCAATGTTTACAAGCCATCCGTCGAAACCGTGGTGTTTTGCAATGTTGGCAAGCTTTGTCGCTAGAGGAAAGTGAGGCTTGACCTCGTCGCCAGCACGCTGCAGCAACAACCTTCCCGAGCCCTCGGTTTGCGGTTCGATGAGTATCGTACCGAGAGCCTTCACACCATTGCGATGGAGTGTATTCGTCCAAGCAGGCGGTGGAACGCAAATAAGCTTATGTGAGAAATATATAAATGGATCGACGTATTGTAGGTATTCACATGCATACATTTCGTCGTCCATGCCAATTCCTTGTACGCCCTCATAGGCATGGTAGTTCCCAGCGTAGTCATGGCAGAGGACGACATTAGCTTTGCTCCTATCGCTTTTTGCAAAATCCTCACTCCGCTGCAACAGCGGCGTATTTGCTCTTTGAAGAGGATCAGAATCGGCCTCAGTCCACGACTCCAGTTGCTCGAAAGTGTCAAAGTAGGTAAAACCTCTCAGCCGGTCCAATTCACGCTGCTTCCTTCGTTCCTCTGGCGTTGGGCCAGTGTCTGGTGATGGAAATAGATGCCGATAGCCATCTCGAATCGGCCTCAGGATGTCCTTCCAACCCAGGATGTTGGCCATGCTCATGGCCGCCAGGTATGTTAGTCTTGACAATGGCTGGCGAAATAGGCCATCTGTGACCGACTCTGATTAACCGTCGCGAGCATCAAGGTGAGCCGTACTGCAGCCAATGGTATGCGCCAGACGACTCAGTCACCATCTCAAACATGGGGAAATTCACGTTCGCAGTGATGAAACGGCAGCTGCAGGGCGGAAGCGATGTTTGATCCTCCGGCAGGGGCAAAGCTTGGCATGCAAGGATCAGCTCCAACGTTGCTGTGCGCCCGTTGATGCCAAACGTGTCATTTATCCACAATAACACACTGAAGTCCTCGAACCCTCACAATCGCGAGTCGCCGTATCGACGTCCCGCAGCGCCATCATGATGAACCTTTTCCGGATACTGGGTACGTTGAACTCGAGTTCAAGACAATAAAATGCTTCGTGCTCAGTGGGATGTCAAGGCTAACAACAATGTAGGGGATTTATCCCACCTCTTCTCCATTCTGATCCTCCTCCATAAGATGAAAACCTCGAGCGTACGCTTCTCCGACTTGCCCGTACCAATCAGGCCCTAACGAAAACGAACAGAGCGCGTCCGGCATCTCCTTCAAATCGCAATTCCTATACCTCATAGTCTACTTGACGCGATACGTCGATTTGCTGTGGACCTTCTACCTACCTGGATCTCTCTACAACACCGTCTTCAAAATTGTCTTCATCAGCACGTCCGCCTACGTCGTTTACCTCATGCTGAACGACTACAAACCGACGCACGATCCGAACTTGGACACCTTCAAGGTGCAGTACTTGCTAGCGGCGAGCGCAGTGTTGGCAATCGTGTTCCCGTACAAGTACACATTCTCAGAAGTAGGTGGTCGTCGCTTGTGTAGAAATAGCAGCGGCTAATAATCTTAGATTCTCTGGGCATTCTCCATATGGCTCGAATCCGTGGCCATCCTCCCACAGCTCTTTATGCTACAAAGAACTGGCGAAGCGGAGACAATAACAACGCACTACTTGTTTGCGCTCGGTGCATACAGGGCGTTGTACATCCCCAACTGGATCTACCGCTACATCTTTGATGTACCACGCTTCTATGACCCAATCGCGGTGGTTGCAGGTATCATCCAAACAATCCTGTACTCCGATTTCTTCTACATCTATTACACGAAGTAAGTCGCACACGAAAACGAGATTTCACTCACTACTTTGCAATCTTGCTAACGATCTCAGGGTAATTCAAGGGAAGAAGTTCAACCTTCCCGTTTAAAGGGTCGAGAGCTACGGCGTCCTTTTGCTGTTCGATGGCAGACCACTGTGCTAAGTAAGCTTCGTCAATGTACAATAGGGTTTGGAGGATGACTGTTTATTGGCGTTAGCAGGCGATTGTGGTGGGCGTGCAAAATACTCAACAGAGGTGTGCATATGAATATGGGGTCTATCTGGCTGAGCAATGTTTCAAGCGTACTAGAGGAGTCAAGGTCACGCATGTATGGATATACAACGAATGGAGTCAGATTTGAATCTAGTTAAAGCATCTATCCATCGCATTCTTGAGAAGAACCACATAGCAACCCGAATCTATAGCTAGAACAGCGGCTAGGTGTATGCGATGGAGCCTGCAACATCAAGGAGTTGCCAGCTTGTAAGATGCGCTGCCGGCAGAAAACGATCAATTTGGAAAAACCAATGCGTTGGAAATGAGTGGCGTCATCATCCATATGTAACTTTTTGTACAGCTGAGCCACGTGAATCTAAAGTGCAGCCTGTACCGGCACAAACGGTCTTTGGTCGCACTCACCAATCACACCAGCAATCTCTCCGCTACGTCGCCTCGCCTTCAGCCTTTGCCCGCGCTCACGTCGCTACCTACCCAGTCGCTCGCTACACCGCCTTGTGCGTTTCGTATTCCGCGAGCCCTCCCGCAACTCTCCTAAACCATCTCCAGACCTGGTATCCGCGCACGCGAAAGAAAGTCCGCCCATAATGTTCTGCCTACGCAGCTGGATACCAGTACTCTTCTTCCTGTAAGTCTTGTCGTAAACACGTACACACGTAATCTAGTAAGGCGCATGCTAACAACAACCAAAGCCTCCGCACACACGCCTCTCCCGTCTACCTCGTCCTTTTCATCTCCGCAACTTACTTCCTCAACCGCCCGTGCGTGTACTGCTCGCTCCTCCTGTTCATCCTCGTCGCCGCGCTCTTCGACTTCCACACGCCGTGGTTCGACTCGCCGCTCCCGGGCACGACGGACCTCGCGCTGAACGGGACGGCGCCGCTGCTAGATACTATGGGCGAGCTGGTGCAGGTGGCGAATCACACTGCGCAAGCGCTGGCCAAGGGCGCTGTGGATGGCATCAGGGCGAAAGTGCAAGGTAGTGGGGGTCCGAGTTATGAGTGGGTGAGGGGCCTGCTGGGAAAGAAGGAGTGGCGGGTGCAGTGTTTGGATGTTTTGATCCGGGTTTGAGGAGAGGGAGCGCGGAGAGTGTGCTTGGGTAATGGCAGGGCGATGATTGGGCGTCTTTGGACTTGGGCTGGGTCGTTGGTTCGTGATATCACTGCATTGCGGGCGCTTGATTTTGGAGCATTTGCATGGTGTTCAATGGGACTTGAGGGTTTCGACAGCTGTTTTCTGTGCGCATCTCCTCGCTTGTCTGCCGGTGTGCAAGAATGGTGGGACGAGATGAAGTCGGTAATAGCAGCGAAATATCATGCACCGCAGATGCCAACTCACCCAGCTTGTATTTGAGCTACATCCATTTCCTGAGTTCACAATAACGCGTGCGGCAATGCAGTAGTTGGTCTCAAAGGTCAAATGTGTTAATTGTTAACTACTGTGTGCACGAATATGATGGTCTTCCAAAACTACACGCGCATATATGCGCATAGATCCGGGAGCCGACGCGTGCGGCTGAACAAACTCCATGCTTCATGCAGGTGTTGTGTTGAGAGCAAAGTAGAGTAAAGCAACGCAGGCATCCACCACTCAAGCTCATGTGCTCGCACGCGTACTGCAACCAATATGACGTGCCTTGAGCCATTCTCGAGACATTTCGTGCCGCTAGCGACGCAGGGATGTTCCCCACCTTCCCTTCTGAGTGTGTTGTTTGCATCAGCCCTGCCGTCCCACGCGATTGAACTCCGCCATCACCCCGCCTGAGGTCCTTCAAAGCTGGCTGCCATTTCTCTTTCCGCGAGGCTTAGTTCTCAACCTCAGCTTCTGACCAGGCTAGCTATTAGACCTGTTCATCGTCCCGCCTCTGGGCTTGCATCGCTTTACTCTAAACTCACGCCACTTGATACTGCAAGCTCCGCAAGCTTCTCTACCAGAGCCAGAGAGCTTCAGACGACATCGCGTACGCAATCGAGGCTCAGACCGCGATTCAACGTTGCTAGGTCGACTACTCCTCTTGGAATTCAGAAAAGGTTCTGCCAGAGCGAGGTTACTAGTAGCTTTACAGACATGGCGTCCGATAGAGATATCCTCCCTGCCTGGTGAGCATTTTGATGAGGTCGATGAGCTATATTCTTCGATTGTGTACAAGGCTGACAATAGCTCTCACAGGGTCAAGCCAGCGCACTACTCCGTCTCTCTTCACGATCTAGAGTTTGGCGGAGGCTTTAGCTTCAAGGGAACAGTCACGATCGACACGAAGATCACGAAAGATGACGGCTTCAGCGAGCTCGTTCTCAACGCCCACCAGCTCAAGGTCAGCAGTGCTGAGCTGAAGACTGGCGACGCCACCCGATCGGCGAAGAACATCTCGTACGACGAGAAGCGCCAACGGGTTACACTTGACTTTGGAGAGAAGATTGACTACTCTGGAGAGGCTACTTTGGAGGTCAAGTATGAAGGAACAATCAACAACGTACGTTCAGATGCGAGGCCGGCAGAGACGGAAGCCAATGCTGAGGTGTCTATAGATCATGGCTGGTTTCTACCGCTCTAAGTACACGCCCAAGGGTGAGGTTCCCGCCTCTGTCGCCAAAGACGACGAGTTCCACTACATGTTCAGCACACAGTTTGAGTCCTGCGACGCTCGCCGAGCTATTCCTTGCTTCGACGAACCCAACCTCAAGGCAACTTTCGATGTCGAGATCGAGGTGCCGAAGGATCAGATTGCATTGAGCAACATGCCGGAGAAGGAGACCAAGCCCAGCAAGCGTGATGGTTTCCATACCGTGGTCTTCGAGCGTACGCCGGTCATGTCGACCTACCTTTTGGCATGGGCCATTGGAGACTTCGAGTACGTTGAGGCTTTGACGGAGCGCAAGTACAACGGCAAGAGCATCCCTGTGAGGGTTTATACCACTCGTGGACTGAAAGATCAGGGTCGTTTTGCGTTGGACAACTGCCACAAGATTGTCGACTACTTCTCCGAGGTATGACATATGATTGGAAATGATTGTGAAGCTTTGTCTGACTTCCTTTCTAGGTCTTCCAAATCGATTATCCCCTTCCCAAGGTTGATCTTCTGGCTGTTCATGAATTTGTAAGTCGCGACATCTCGTGCGCGGAATTGAGCTGATTCGTTAGCCAATTATACGTACACTCCTCCATTCTTGTGAGCACCCTAACTGACCGGTGTTTCTAGTCACACGGCGCCATGGAGAACTGGGGTCTCATTACCTACCGGTCAGTACCTGGTAACTTTCACTGATGCAATGAGATTCTGACATTCTCCTCAGAACAACGGCCGTACTTTTCGATCCCGCAACATCCGCAGACAGCTACCGAAACAGGGTTGCCTACGTTGTTGCCCATGAGCTTGCCCACCAGTGGTTCGGTAACCTTGTCACTATGGACTGGTGGAGTGAGCTCTGGCTCAACGAGGGTTTCGCTACTTGGGTAGGCTGGTTTGCCATTGACCACTTGTACCCTGGTAAGTCCCAATTCGACGAACTCAAGACATGTACTGATATATCACGTAGAATGGAATGTCTGGGGGCAGTTTGTTGTACGTTCAAAATCTCGAGGTAACTCTCCTAACAAGTGCTGACGAGGTTCTTAGACTGATGCTGTGCAACAAGCCATGGCACTTGATGCGCTGCGAACATCTCATCCCATTGAGGTTCCCGTATACGACGGTCTTGAGGTTGATCAGATTTTCGATCACATCAGCTACCTGAAGGGCAGTTCAGTCATTCGCATGTTGAGTGCTCATCTCGGTGAAAAGGTTTTCCTTCAGGGCGTTGCCAACTACCTCAAGGCGCACCAATATTCGAACGCCACCACAAACGACTTGTGGTCTGCCCTCAGCAAGGAGTCAGGCAAGGACGTCAACAGTTTCATGGACTTTTGGGTCCGCAAGATCGGGTTTCCAGTTGTCACCGTCACCGAGGAGGCTGGTAAGATTGGCCTTCGTCAACAGCGCTTCCTCCTGGCTGGCGACGTGAAGCCTGAAGAAGACTCAACTGTTTGGTGGATCCCCTTGGGACTACACACTGGATCCTCCGCTTCTACTGCCTCTCTCCACAAGACAGTTGCCATGACGAAGAAAGAGGAGACTATCCAAGAGATCGACACAGGGTTCTACCAAGTCAACAAGAACCTCACGGGCTTCTACCGAACCAATTACACACAAGACCGTCTTAAGAAGCTTGGAGAGGCTAGGCATGACCTCACCGTAGAAGACAAGATCGGACTGATCGGAGACGCGTACGCAAACTCCATTGCCGGGTTTGGCTCCACGGCTGGTCTCCTGGCGCTGGTCGAGCGCTTCCAAGACGAATCCGAATATTTGTGAGTCATACATCAAGTGTACTCAACACTTAACTAACACCTGTGCAGGGTCTGGTCGCAAATTCTTACCAACATCGGTAACGTGCGCAGCGTCTTTGCTGGCAGTGAGGACATAAGCAAGGGTCTGCAGAAGTACCACCTCAACCTGATCACACCCGCTGTGGAGAAGGTCGGTTGGGAGTTCAAGGAGGGCGAAGGCTTCCTCATCGGCCAGCTCCGCGCTAGCCTCATCACGTCAGCCGGTTTAGTCGGCCACAAGGCGACTGTGGACGAGGCTTTGCGACGATTTGATCTCTACATCTCTGGAGAAGACAAATCAGCCATCCACTCGTCACTCCGTAGAGCCATCTTCGCCACCGCCATCAAGCAGCGTGGCGAATCAGCGTACAAAGCCATCAAGAACGAGTACCTCACCACCACATCGATCGACGGCAAGGAGATTTGCCTACAATCTTTTGGTCGCGTCCAGACACCCGAACTTGCGCAAGACGTCTTGTCGTTCATCTTCTCCGACAAAGTCGCGATGCAAGACAAGCACTCTGGCACCATTGCGCTCGCCAACAATGCCAAGGTCCGCACCGAAGTGTGGAAGTTCATCCGTGACAACTGGGACTCTGCTATCCACCCTACTCTCAGCGGCAATCTCGTCGTGCTCGAGCGCTTCTTGCGCTTCGGCCTGAACAAGTTCTCGGATGACAAGATCGCTGATGAGATCGCGGCGTTCTTCAAGGACAAGGATACGCGCGGATACGACAAGGGCCTTGAGGTCATTGATGATACGATCAGGAGTTATGCTAAGTATGCGAAGAGGGACGAGGGCGTTGTGAGGGAGTACTTGAGTGGTAGCGGATACTTGTCTTGACTTGGGTCGAGACTTTGAAGCGGTGTGGAAGGTGCGGTACGCCTGAAAACGATTGTAGAATGAATATCGTCTTACGTTATATCAGCTCTTGTGCTTATGGGTGGTGGTTTCTCGCAGCAATAGGTTGTGAACGAAGCGTAAAGCATATAAGATGTTCCAAGGCTTACATGCAGTGTCCGTTGGCTGTAAACAGTTAGCGTCGAACCTCCTACTCTACTCCACGACAGGATTTACAGAAGTAAGCTTACATCTGAAAAAAATAATCGTACACTACGCCCCGCCAGTTGTCGAAGCAGCCAAGATGAGCGACTCAGCGTGGCCGGAGATGGTCGCTCCGCCGCAGATCGATCGCCGGAAGCATTCCGCGCTGTAAGATCCTCTACGATGCCACTAGCAACCCTCCACAGCCATTTAGTTTCCCGCTCGCACTCACGCACACGCTTGGCCAGACCGACGGCCCTTATCTAGGCCTCGTACCTGCGCCGATCTAGGCGGCTTATCGGGCTTGAGGCGGAATGCGAGCGGCGCGGCGCGGGGTAGCTTTGTAGTCTGCGGATTGTATGTGGTTTGGTAGGGTGGGGCTGGTATAAGTAGAACTTGACGTCTGTCGTGTTGGGAGGAAGTTGTTCGAGCTACGTCGGGATTTCTACTTCTATTCATTCGCGGTTTTCACGAGATGTCCAATACGGTTAAGGTCGCTGTTACGCAGCATGAACCTGTTTGGTTTGATCTCGATGCTACGGTCGATAAGACGTGTCGGTTGATTGAGGAGGCGGCGGAGAATGGCGCCAAGTTGGTTGTTTTTCCTGAGGTTTGGGTCGCGGGGTATCCGGCGTGGATTTGGTGAGTGCATGCCTCACGTTATGGTGAACATCTTCACTTCAATCGCACTGGCTGAATGGCGTGGTTAACTGACTGAACGAACTGGATGAATGGCCTGGTCAACGGATTGACTGAACGAACTGACTAACATTCACTCCCCAGGGCGCGCCCCCTCGATCCCCCGCTCGCAACATCCTACATAAAAAACTCCCTCTCCTACGACTCGCCCCAAATGCGCAAAATCTGCGCCACAGCCCGCAGCGCAAAAACCGCAGTCGTCCTCGGCTTCTCGGAAAACGACCACAACTCGCTCTACATCTCGCAATGCACCATCGCGCCCACAGGCGACATCGTCATGAAGCGCCGCAAGTTCAAGCCCACGCACATGGAGCGCACGGTGTTCGGGGACGCGGGCGGCGCGAGCCTGAACAATGTTGTTGAGGTGCAGGGCGTGGGGCGCGTGGGCGCGCTGAGCTGCTGGGAGCATATCCAGCCGCTGCTTAAGTACCATACGATGAGTTTGAGGGAGCAGATCCATGTTGCTGCGTGGCCGCCGCTGCATGCGTTTTCTGAGGGGAGCGAGGGCTTGTATAGCATGACTGCCGATGGTGCGTTTTGTACGCAAAAAAACGGATATGTGCAGGGCTAACTCCCGTCTAGGCTGTGCGGCGCTGTCGCAAACCTACGCCATGGAGTCGTCGACGTTCGTGCTGCACTGCACGGCTGTCATGACGGGGCTGGGGATCGCGGCACATAGGACGGAGAATACGTTCTTTGGCGTTGAGGGCGGGGGGCGTTCGGCTGTCTATGGGCCGGATGGGAGGAGGCTTACTGAGGCGATTGCGCCTGAGAAGGAGGGCTTTGTGTATGCGGAGTTGCCGATGGATATGCTGGTTAGTATGCGCCATTTTGCGGATCCGATTGGGCATTATTCAAGGCCGGAGCTGTTGTGGTTGGGGGTTGATGCGAGGGAGAAGAAACATGTGAGGGTTGAGGGGGATGAGAAGGTGGAGGCGGTGGGCGTTTGAGTTTGGATGGGTGGTGTGGATTTGTTTGCTGGTTATATCTATTGAATGCCTTGTTAGTAGAAAGTGCTTGTCTTCAATCATTTTTGCTGAAGTACTCTATGCCTACTATGTTATCATCGTACTTGGTCCATCTTTAACATCTTGTGGTAGCTATTAACCTTTACATCTAGTTAGTTAGTTACTCTAGATTTGCAGCCTTGTTATCTTCAAGTTGAAGTGGAATATAGAGCTAGAGATAATTCATTTACAGAATCTATCATTTTATATTACTGACTTCTTATACTACGGCACGTTCTTTGCTCTTTGCACTATTCTGGTTTGCTAGGTAGACAAAGTCCAACAAGTTGCCCTACTTAAGGCTAACTAGAGTAGCGTGAACAACAACTACATTTATCCCTGCAATAGGGCCCTCCTTCGCCGTCCCTGCTGGGACGAACAGACTAACAGAAAAGCCAAAGCTGTTTAACACAATCAGCGTTAGAACAGAACGTTAGAATCAGAGTCTTACTGCTCTCCATATGCATTCTTCAGGATAACATGTCCATTATCGTTCTTGAACATCTCGCAATGGCGAGTCAGCTCGTGTAGAAGAATGCCATGCTTGCGATGAAATTCGATCTTGTCGTCATTGAAGCCGGAAGGGCGCTCGTACCCGTCCTCATTGATGTGGAGAATCTTTTCCCAGCAGCGGAGGTCCTTCATCTCCTCATCGCCGGCCACAACTACAGCAGCACCGGCCAGGGCTGCGACGCCAAGAGGATGTGTGGAAACCGTTGTAATGATACTACCAGCGGCTGCAGCGCCCTGAGCAAGTTGAGCCATGGAGATGGCTGAGAAAAACATCAGAACCTCTTGGGGAGAAAGGGGTAGTTGGGACTCACAAGCTGGTACCTCCCAACCAGTACACAGTGCCGCTGCAGCGGCGGCAGCTGCTTCCGGTGCCAACACGGTGGCTGTACCCATGATTAAGAGTCAAAGATGTACAGTCTGGTTGAGTATGACAGATGATGGTTATTCGATATCGAGATACCTGTTGCAATGATCCTACTTTGAATGTTTTCAAGTGAGGAATCATCAGGGTTTATATACCCATTTTCGGGCATATTCAAGGCTTGAGTCTACGCAGAACTTTCAATCCATCGTCAGCTGGGACATTCGCAGCCAGATATTGTGGTACCCCCCAGAAGTTGTCCCAAATGTACTAAAATAAGCGACACGTACAATTAGGTAGCTCTTCATACAACATCAGACCTTCTGATTCGCTAAGATCTGTCCGTGTGAGGTGGCGATTTGGGAAAACCTTTGGGCGGTACCACAGTATGTATGTACAACGTACGGTGGGTGTATCTCCAAGGTGGATCTAGGAGGAGGTGGCTAAATGCTACATCTCTTGTTTGTTACATTCAGTAACGTAGGCAGGTTGATTCGACAGTAGAAAATCTTGGCCATAGTTGCTGGCTTGTATATGCAGGCTCCACCTTGAGTATACAACCACCTACGTTATAAGCTGTAAACAGCAGATCTCAAGTTTATAAAGTTCTCAGCCCTTCTCAGCTAGCCAAAGGAACTCTTGCCACCATCTCCAGCCGTGTGACATAAGTTTCGACTATTATCTCCCTGATTGGCGTAGTATAGACTGCAAGAATGTCATAGCATTGGATGATTAGTGATAACTATCCTATACAACGTACAGTAGATGTATTTCCAAGGTGGATCTGAGAGGGGGGTGGGGGCTAAAAACTACACCTCTTATTCGTTCTATGCAGTAACTAAGCAATATGATTTAGCCGCAAGCAATCTTGGCTGTGGCTGCTTTAGGATCCACCTTGAATATACACCCACCGTACGTTGTAGTCCGCTGAGTTATGCCCTTGGGCACGGACGTCTCAATAGGCAATAGAATCGTGTCGGCGTTGGCCAACGTGACGAACTTCAAAATCGAAACTCTCAATCTACCAAAGTATTATCTCTATCTACAACACTTAGCTACTCATTTACTCTGCGTCTGTTAGTACTGTTTTTCTTGATTTTCTACGAACTCTTGAAACTCAAATAAAGCATACTGTTGCCAGAAGTCATACACGTCCTGTACAATTAAGTAGTTTATCGCACTGGATCTTGCAATCTTCATGTTTTGATGTCAATCAGGTACGAAAACCAGTTCGCTCTGACATGCTCCAGCTCAAGTATGACGTACGAGTATCGACTGTGGATTGTCTCCACCCCATCATCACTTCCCAGTCCATGCCGCAGATATTGCTTCAAGACCATTTCCTCAGTCAATCCCACTGTCCCTGCTATCTGGCGCGTAGCGCGGGTGACAAATCGATCCAGCCATGTTTTTTCGAATGGGAAAATGGGTTGTTCGCAGTAAAGAGCATGTAATGGAGCGAACTGATTAAGCAACGCGGGGTTGAAATTTCGAAACGGTATCTAATATGTAGACCCACCTGGCTGACAAACGCAAGAGGAAACTTGGCTTGCACTCCGATTTGATGTACCCTCTGTTGAAAGTGCTGCTTTACGTAAATTGCTCTCTTTGTTTCCCTCGAACATGTGCATCAAGGCGTTGATGGCGGCGTGGGATTGATTTGTGTCTCTATCTCCAGGACGAAGGGTTGCTGTTTACTTGACTGGAACTTTACGACTCCAGATCTTTCTCTTTTCTGGAGAGCATCATGTTCGTCATGTCGTTTGTTCTACTTCGAACCCCTGTAATACGGATATGACGCAGCACGCGCGTGGAGGGACGGTGGTGCATGCGAGGCACGAGGATAATGGTCGGAGTGTGCGCGTGTCGACAAGTACAGTCTAGCGGATGCGGAGGCGAGAGTCATGGCCACGGGGGTTCGAAAAGGCGGCAAGATTAGTTCGTGAATAGGTTTGGTAATGAGACGTCGAGATAGCGATGTATTCGCCTCAACCCCATCCATCTCGATGATTGGTGTGTGTCAAACGGATAGATTTGCTGGAGATGAGATGATTGATCTATTCTTACACACCGGGATCGTCGTGGCGCGATACAATTTCCACATCCATGAGTCGCGATCAGGATCGTGTAAACGTGCACTCCTACCTTTTTCATGAAAGAAACTGTATCAGGGCACGGCCGCACTTCTAGCCGGATGTGACCGGTGTTGTGGTCAAGGAGGGTTGCGTCAGCAATTGATAATGCAACCATAGCTTTGAAAACCAGGGGAAGATTTCGAGATAACAGGGTTTGGCTGCAGCTGCCTCGGTCTGACGCATGTAACTTCAGGGGTAAGGTCGATCTGTGTGATTGTCAATCTGCATGTTGCCGCACAGTCAGAGGATTTGATCAGCACGTGTTGTGCTATATCTGACTTTGGTTGAACATGAACGATAATGATGTGGTGGGAGTGGGGTGCGAATTCTGAAAAACCTGGATCGGGAGGGATTAGGAGGAATTTCGTCAGACTAGTATTCGAGTAGTAACAATGAGGGAATTAGCGAGATGTAATTAAGTAGCAACCATAGCGCATTGCTCCAAGCGAGAGGATGCCGGCGGAATAAACATCTTCCAGAAGTGGGTTCTCCCGCAGACTAATATGGATACCGTTCGAGATGGTTGCACTGATGGCGTACAAGGCTGAGACAGCTTTGGGGACTGTGGCGTTGGGGGCGATGAGACTAGATGGCCGGTGCGCAGGACCAAACAGTGTTTGGGATGGTGATGGTTATGAACGGGGTTTGGTATCGAGCAAGTGGAAGGTCCTTCCTAGTCTTGTGATCTACAACCGTAGTCTCGCCTATGTTCAGCCGAAATGGTCATCAGGCCATAACACGGAGGCAGATAGGAGCAGAGCGAATAGTGAGCGACGAGCCCATGTGAGGCATAGATTGAACGAGCACAGGTGCTTTTGTGAGGCATGTTTGGGCTGTTCCTCGATGGGTAGACAGCAGTCGTCTGGTTTTGAATGAGATGTGAGGTCGGCCTTGCGGGGCCTGCGACTCGTGTCGCAATGGGGTTCTGGGGTCGGGGCGTGGCCCATGGCTGCTGAGTGGTCAGCGACTGGGCAGGTTCCACGCGTCCCGCGAATCCCCATCGGTGTCATTACAGCGACTGCAGTTCGACGCCTTCTTGTCCCTGTCAGTTGCATGCCATGGCGTGGGTGGAGGACCAGTCTTCCGTTCCATAGGCGACTCTTACACGGAGACTCGTCATCAAACATGGCTGCGACGTCTGCTGCTGCTCTCCTCCATCCCGTCTATCCACCTTCGACTGCTGTTGAAAGATTGTTGGAAAGAGGTTCTGGTGCCCCACATTATTAATACACCGTATCCACCGCCTTCACCGCGGAGTTAGCAGAATTGAAGTTTCGCCACTTTGGGCTGCACACGTTGGAATCCAGCTCGCATAATCACTGCCATGCGCCGCGCCTGGGCGCGTGAATGACTGCGGGCTCGAGTGCTAGACTGCGCAACCCAATGTGAGCCTTGACTTGGCTGCGCTGTAGCACCGCGACGCAAACGAGAAAGGAAAGAGCGACCCACGCGCGACCGCAACCACCATGTCCACACCAGCCCACGCACGATTCCATCACGACGACTCTCTGGCTATGAACGGTTACAGCCTCCGACCCTCCCCGAACGTCATGCATGCCGGCACCCCGCCGATAACGGCGACCTATGACGATTTCGACATGGCATACGCGCACACGCAGGCATATGGCATGGGCGACGGGCCGAGAGGAAGCGTGGACAACACAAGTGAAGGTAACGTGAGCGGCCTTAGTTTACCGCTGCGCAAGATGAGCGCAGTGGGTAGCCCTGGTACTTTGGTGCAAGACGGGAACAACAACAGTCCATACACAATGGAGGAGGCCTCTGGATCCGGCACTAAGCTGGAGAGTAACGACGGCGCTGGCTACTCTCCAGCCTCCAGAAGGAGCAAAGACGAGGGCCAGGAAACACCGCAATGGAGCGAGCTGAAGACAAAGGCTGGGAAGGAGCGAAAAAGACTGCCGCTAGCATGCATTGCATGCAGAAGGAAGAAGATTCGCTGCTCAGGCGAAAAGCCAGCATGTAAGCATTGTCTAAGGAGCAGGATCCCGTGCGTGTACAAAGTTACGACAAGAAAAGCTGCGCCGAGAACAGATTACATGGCCATGCTCGACAAGCGTCTGAAACGGATGGAGGATCGCGTCATCAAACTTATTCCCAAAGAGAGCTTACCGTCTGTCGCAAACGTCAGGCGATCGATAGTCAAGCCACCCATACCTGGTGCACCGCCAAAAACGCCAGCGACCAAAAAGCGCCTTGCTGAAGAAGCATTTGGAAACGAATTGGACGACTGGTCCAAGGCCAAGGCCCCAAATCCAGATGCAGCGGGGCAGGCATCACGTGCGCTTGAATCGGACGAGAACAAGCTCCTCACAGACGGCGCAGAAAGCCTGCCATCACGGGAGATACAGGAGCACCTCACGGAAGTGTATTTTGATCACGTATATGGCCAGAGCTACCCTCTTCTGCACAAGCCGAGTTTCGTCAGGAGGTTGGCTGCTGGCAAGGTGCCGCCAGTGCTTACTTTGGCAATTTGTGCCATATCAGCACGATTCTCAACACATCCACAACTACGGACAGAGCCGTGTTTTCTGCGAGGCGATGACTGGGCGGAGAAGGCAAGAGAGATTGCTTTGAAACGCTATGATTCTCCAAACATCACAATTTTGATCGTTTATATAATCTTGGGACTTCACGAATTTGGAACTTGTCAAGGTGGACGGAGCTGGATGTTTGGCGGCATGGCGCAGAGGATGGCATATGCGCTGCAGCTCCACAAGGAGAATGAATTTGACCCTTCTGTTAGTGAGGCTGACCGAAAGCCACTCAGTGCTACTGATCGGGAGATTCGGCGGCGGACCATGTGGTCGTGCTTCCTCATGGATCGATTCTGCTCGTCCGGCACGGATCGACCGTTGTTTGTGCACGAACAACACATCGAACTGCAGCTACCTGTAAAAGAGCACCTCTATCTCCACGAAATCCAAGCGCCAACCGAAGATCTGAAAGGCGGCGTGCCTAACCCAGTCCCACCTGACAGCGGCCAGTTAGCAGACCCTCGCGACAACATGGGCGTTACGGCGTACACGATTCGACTGGTCTGCATTTGGGGCAAGCTCATCAAGTACATGAATTTGGGTGGCAAGGATAAAGAGGCGATTCCAATGTGGTCGCCTCAATCGTCCTTCCATTCCCTCAAGAAGGAAGCCAAAGAGTTCAAAGACTCCCTTCCTGAGATGCTCATGTATACGCCTGAGAATCTTAAGAGCCACGCCATCGGCAAGACTGCTAATTCATTTCTGTACCTCCACATCCTGTGGCAGCAGATCAAGCTCTTCATCCACCGCTTCGCCTTGCCCTCGACGGCAGGTGCGCGGCCACCAAGAGACATGCCTCATGATTTCCTCGCAGAATCAGCCCGTGCCGCACTCGACGCTGCGAATCAAATTTCACTACTCATCAACGAAGCAATGGACCACACTGTTGTCGCACCCTTTGCAGGCTACTCTGCGTTCTTCTCGTCGACGGTCCACATCCATGGTGTTTTTTCGAAGAATGCCAAGCTTGAGGCTCAATCGAAAAGATATCTAGCATACAACGTCAAGTATCTGACCAAGATGAAGAAGTATTGGGGCATGTTCCACTACATCGCAGAGAACTTGAAGGATTTATACCGGCAACACGCAGACGCACAGCTTCAAGGACAAGGCGCAGCGGCCAATGGGACCCAAAAGGCCAGCATTTTCCAATACGGAGACTGGTTCGACCGATACCCACACGGCGTCTCCAAAACCGACTACGAGGATGCCGCAGTGCCAAACCACAAGGAGCCAGGCTCGGACGCTGCACTCGGGCATAAAAGTGACCTCCAAAGCGTTGAGGAGTTCTTCGCCTCGCTCTCTCCACCCTCAAAAGGCGACCAACGCAAGCAAGCCCGCAAGAACAAGTCGAAATCCGTCTCGAAACCCGAACCCCACCACCCCGCAATCACAGAGCCCATCAAACCCCACCGACAAAGCAGCCAAGTCCAACACGCCCCCCATCTGCGACAACAACTCAGCCAAATCAACATGGCCGCCCCAGACACCATGGACACGACCTTCGACCCCTCGCACTACTTCCCGCAATCCCAACACACACCCTCGCAAACCTTCATCGCCGAATTCGCAGGCCACAGCCACCCCCTCCTCAACACCTCGCCCACCCTCATGCACACGCCGCACAACCACGCGCAGATCGACACGTCCATGTCGCCCTTCCCCGACCTCGCTGCAGACTTCAACTCTAACTTCTGGAACATGGATCCTATGGGCTTGTCTACGCCACACGCCCATCAGCACAACTTCTTCGACCCTATGAGCGCGTACTTTGTCCCCTTCAACGTTGACCCTCCGACGCTGCCGGACGCAGATGTGTTTGGTGGCGGGGCGAGCGAGGCGTTTGGGTTTAGTCTGGGAGCCGGGGAGAGTGTCGATATTGATATGGTGAGTGGCGGGTCGCGCGCGGGCGGGCTGAGGCGGCAGGACGAGGAGGGCAGGGGTGCGTGTCGGACTGGGAGCGGGATTCTGGAGGGTATGGAGGCATTGGGCGGGATGGAGAGGGATGAGCGGTGATGCTGGGTAGATGGATAGATGGATGGATGGATGGATGGGATATACCATGGTGTTTTCTGGGCAGTTTGGGGTTATCTTAATTCATGAAGTTCGGAACGGGTATGGACAGGATATGGAAATATTATGCATGGATAGGGCGCTTCAATATAGGATCTCGTTGCGACGTGATGCGCAATTTCGGGTTCAGACTTCCTTCCACTTCAATCTACAACACTGCTTCGCTTCATATTTATTGTCTCGTCATCTCAGCGATATGACATCGAATCCTACATTTATACCCTCACTCGACCTTCCGCAAAACCACGCTATTCCTCATTTCCCACCCTTCATCCCTCTCCCTGATATCTCCATCCCTTCCCATTTGTCCCTATTCATTCCAATCTCCTACCTATCCCGTCTTCCCCTCACCCTCCCCCTCCCCACCCCCAGGATACGCCCCATACCCTCCATACTCGGCATACGGACTACATTTCACACACTTGTCAGCCTTTCCCCATCCCCTATAATCCCTTCACCCCCCCTATCTACCCCCTAAGAAGAAAGAGAAGGGGATACAGACTTATACTTCGAATACCACGCATCCGGCAACTTATTAACTTCCCTCTTCATCTTGTCCTGTGTCGGGGTGTGAGGTGGGGTGTAGACGGTGTAGTCGGCGTATTTGATGTAGGGCGTGTAGGATTTGTAGTGTGTGTTCTTCTCGGGATCGGGTGAGAGGGGGAGGACGGGGTGGGCGAGGGCTAGGGGGATGAGAAGGGTGAGGAGGAGGGGGGTGAGGGTGAGGGTGTGCATGTTGATGGATGGGCGATAGGAAAGGGGGAGGGCAGGGCAGGGGAGGAGGCTTTATAGAGATGTTTTTTGGGGGTTTGGGAGCGGGGGAATATAGTATTAGAGAGCTTGTGTATAGTTGTACATATCTCCATATATACTGTGTAAGTTTGAGAAGGGGGTTTGTAGGCCAGAGCATATTAATCGTTATGTGATGAGGCTCCCGACTGGTGAGGCTGGGTCGTACAGGTCCCCGAGTAGATTGACAGTCCAGTCCCACCGTCCCACCGTCTCACAACCCCTCACGAAGCGATATAGCATATCGATCCATCAACAGGCTGCGAGGCGTGAACATTGGCGATATGGAGATACCACACAAAGACTGTCTGAGCGCGTACAGCCGATACGAGTAATATAGCCGTACCTCCTCTCGAGAGTGACGAGGTGGTAACCACATCCTTCCGTCCCGTATATGCATACATTGAACACTCAATCTCTATACCGTCCAGGTCGATAGATTGGTTTCCTATCGAGCAAGTGACGCAAGCCACTTAGTGCAACACGCGCGAAACGTGTTTGGTAGAAGTGAAGGCTGTCAGGAGGGAGGTACATGTGCATCACCGACAGATATTCGCGTAGTACAAACAATCACCGACATTATTGCACACCGAAGAGAACTACACTCAACACGTCGCTTGCTCGCACGAATATCCAAAGCTTGATACGTTCATTGTCCTGATCTAGCTGCCCACGCAGACACCATCCCTCTCCTCACTGCCCTTCCTCTCCTTCTCCACCGTCCCTCCACCCAGCACGATGTTTGGCTTCCTCTACCCCCGCCCAAAACACCCAAAACACCCTCCCCTCTCCCCAGACATCTCAGCCAGCGAAACCCTCCTCCCCGCCTCCCCAACCCTAAAACCCACCCCCTCAACCCACCCCCTGCGCATCGCGACAAAAACGCTCATCCTATGCAGCATTATCTACCTCAGCGCGGGCCTATGGGTCGGACTCCGCGCCCGAAGCACCACATGCGTAAACTCCCCAGACGTTGATGAACTGTGCATGCGTCATGTTTCGGTGTACTGTGAGTGCCTCCACCACGATATCACAGTATGATTGAATGACATGGCTGAGCAAAAAAACAGCGCCGATAGTGCGAGACGTCCCCCCGGGGTGGCACACGCAGCGCTTCAACGGGACGTTTCTGCACGAGAATGCGTATCGGGGGGCAGCGGGGCCTGGGGTGGATGCAGCGTGGGGTGCGTTGGGTGTTGATTGTGAGTCTATTTTCGCTGCTTGTGAGGGGAAGGCTGTTAACTGCGTGCCAGATAGGAGTGTAGTCATTCCCGAGAGCGAGGCGGAGAAGACGGGGCTGCGGGGCGATCAGGTGAAGATTAGCCGCGAGTACGGCGGTGGGTTCCCGGCGAATGTGGAGGGACTGCATCACTTGCATTGTCTTGTATGTATGCTGTGCTAGGACAATGTGTGGGGAGGTGCTGACGGCTGTTTGTCTAGGATCTGCTGCGCAAGACGCTGCATTGGAATTACGATTACTATCTAGCGAGGAAAGAGGGCCCGTTTGTGAACAGCGAGTATATCGTGCGTATTCATACGACGCACTGTCTGGATATGTTGCGGCAGGTGTTGATGTGTAATCCGGATGTGGGCGTGCTGGGCCAGGTGTGGTGGAAGCCGGAGGGCGAGGCTGATCCGATGCCGTTTGTTGACTTTAATACACGGCATCGATGCCGTGACTTTGAGGGCGTCAGGGCTTGGGCGGAAGCGCACCAGCTGCGGCCGGAGACTGAGGTTGATATGGGCCGCTTCTACGAGATGCCCAAGCCAGGGGACACGGTGTATTCTGCGATTCCTTGATAAGAGGGTGTTAGTCGCAGATAGACGTTCACTCATCAATCGCATACGTGAGGTGCATGATTGAGCGGTGCCTGGTGCTGTTCAGGTGTGATGGATATGACGCGAGTCGAGGCATGCTCAGTTCTGGCGGGGCTTTACAACCCCATCGTGCATGATGTAGTAGACGACGGTGCTGTCCGAGTCTGCCGTGGCCAGGACGACTCTCTTTGTCGTCCTCCAAGGGTTGGGTGTGTCGTCTTCATCGTCTTCATCATGATCTTCATCCTCATCATCGTCGAGCGCCGGCGGAACCATGTTGATGGCGTCAAAGACGAGTGCCAGCCTCCGCAGCGTCCACTTCTCATTCAACCGTGTTGGCAGCACCCACTCGCGCTCAGCCTGCGCCTTGACCTCCAACCCACTGCTCGCACCCGCTGCCTTCCTCGCGCGGTCCGCATTCTTCAGCAGCTCGATCTGCTCGTCGGGGTGGACATAGAGGCGCTGCGGGGGCAGTCCAGAGACCAGCGGGCGGGGCAGAGGCTCTTTGCTCAGCGGCGAATGCGTGTGCACCTGCAGCCGGGACCAGTGGTGCTGGTGTTGGAGGTTGTGCTGGATCTGGCGGGCGAGCGTGTGCAGATTCTGAAGATGGCTGCTACCGCCACCCGAAACGAACGACTGCAGCGGAGCCGGCTTCGTATCAGCTCGGGTCGTCATGGCGGAGGCGATTGCGGGCGGGCAATTGGTGGTGCGGTGTTTCGCAACACGTCGAGCGGAGAGGAAGCTGTTCTGCACCGGGAAGGAGCGTAGATCTCTTAGAGTGCCCCGCCAATCGCGTGCCGCCGCCCAGCACGCCCAAGAAGGCAACAGCATACACAGGTCACCAGATATAATCCCTCGTCGGTCGTTGTCTGCGCTGTTCAATCAATCACTCTCCAGACCTGCCATCCATCTCAGACAATTCTATCGACAGAAATCATCATGCGCACCTCGACTCCAGCTTCAGCCTTGCTGTTCCTCGCTAGCGCCGTGGTAGCGCAGTCAAGCGAGGGACTATTCACCATCCAGACGTCTATTCCATGCGACTGCATAATGGAGCCCTGCACCGAATGTGCGTATACTCTCAAGATATGTTTTGCAGCAGCTTACCCATGCAAGGCTCCTCGCACATCATCGTCCCAGAAACCTCCATCTCAGGCGTCCTGTCGATTCCGGGCGGAGAGACGCCCATCTCCACCGGCGACCTGCCTGCTCCCACAGTGTCAGGAGTCATGTCCATCCCAGGCGGAGAAACGCCCATATCGACTGGTGACTTGACGCTGAGCAGCTCGACGGCCTTCTTCCCAACCCCCACCGACAGCGTGTCTACGACTGCTTCGGGACGACCAATCTCAAGTTCGGGTTCGAGTTCGGGTTCGAGTTCAACACAGTCGGCTCCTGCTCAGGCGTCGACTGCTGCAGCGTCGCCGGCAATCCAGCGCGAAGGCACCCCGTACGTGCTTGCGCTGGCTGTGTCTGGTTTCTCTCTGTTCCTTGGTGCTGTCTGGACTCTGGCTTAAGTGTATCACGAGATGTGGTGTGACATAGTGGGGAGATTGACAAAAGGGCATGATTGAATAGGAATGAGAAAATGTACAATGTTAGCTTACGAACACACGATGCAAATATTTGAGCGACATCTCGTACGATTGAATCAAGCCTGAAACGTGAAGGCTAAATGCTGTAAAGTCGTTGTTGCTGCCATCTCCAAGTAAACACAACACACGTAGGGATGACCGTACACCATCTGCCCGTAAACCCACAACCTGCAAGGCGCATACTAGCGCGTCAGCTCTCCCGTGTGGGTCTGGGGATCCAGACGCCCCTTTACCCCAGTTCTAAAAACAGGACCCCAGCCCAGCCTAACCGTGCATATATCCCACCTACCACCACCACCGCCGTCCTTCCCACTCTACAGCGTATCCGTATCCATGACGCGTTTACCAGCCGTCTCTCCTGAACGCGCCCGCCGTCGCCAAGTGCAGCAGCGCCACTGCCAATTGAGCCGCCAACCGCTTGGCTTACCGCGGGGCGTGTGATATCGAACCAGACCCCCGACTCGACATTGCACGAACACGACAACGACAACCATCGACGTTGTTGGGCCGCGGATATGGAGAAACCATACTCAGATACTGCACATACGACGACGACGGAATCGCCGGCCCCGGGCTTGATCCGCGCGGCGAGTGTAAAGCTGATGGAAGCCCGGCTGCCACCGGGTGCGTGGGCGGCGACGGCAACCAGTGTGTCGAAGGCGCCTTCGTTGACTGACATCCGCAAGGGCGCGTTTGACGCTGAGGGCTGGAATGAGGACGCGCAGAGGCAAAGAGCTGGGTCAGGAGGTAGTCAGGGTGGCCTGACACACGGCGTTCTGCCAACCGAGGGTCCTTATCGTGTTTTGACGCCAAACTCAGAGGCCGTCCCCCTGGTTGCGCACGAGCGGACTTCATACGAGGCGTCGAATCGAGCGCCCCAGTACGATGGCCACGACAAAGATGCCGTTTCTGGCCTCGAAGCAAAACACAGCTCCTCGACAGGTGACGGCGCATCACGCCAGGCATTGCGACACTCAGGCGAGGTAGACCATCCTCCCTCCTACACCAACCAATATCCCGCAAGACTAACCCTCACAGTACGCAAACGGCTACACCCCACCCCCAAAACTCCCCTGGACCCGCACCCTCACCATCAGCCTCACCGCCTTCTGGAAATGGTGCCGCACCCCCACGGGCTTCCTCATCACGCTCTACGCCCTCAACGTCGTAGGCTGGGGCGGCATGCTCTTCCTGCTCCTCTGCAACGCCGCGCCCGCAATGTGCATCCCATCCTGCAACGACATCAACTCGCCGCGCAGAAAATGGGTAGAATGGGACTCCCAGATCCTGAACGCCTTGTTCTGCGTCACGGGCTTCGGCCTCGCTCCCTGGCGCGCACGCGACCTCTACTGGTGGACGCTATGGCGCGTCGGCGGCAAGACGGAGGGAATCCGCCGCATCGCTGGTATTCATCGCGGGTGGTTCCGCCTCCCTAACTCCAACACCCTGCCCGAACTCGCGGACGCAGATAGCGTCGATCCAAACAACCCCGCCGTCCCCATCCCGGTGTCGTCCATCCCCGACCCCCCGCCCACGGGCGCACGCGCCCCGTCTACGCAAAACTGGAAAGTCGACTTCGTCTTGTGGATGAACATGTGGAATACGTTCTTTCAGATCGTGCTCTGCTTTTATATGTGGCATTATGATCGGATTGAGCGGCCGTCGTGGGCGACGGGCATGTTTGTCGCGTTGGGGTGTGGGGTTGCGGGCGCGGGGGGGGTTATGATGTGGCGCGAGGGGAAGGGGATTAAGAAGGTGGAGGGTGTCCCGATGGAGGGTAGGCCGGATGTCGAGGCGGGTGAGGCGGGGGGGATTCCGCTTGTTAGGGTTGTGGCGGGGAAGGCGGGGAAGTAGGGGTTTTTTGAATTGGGTTGGCGTTTACATGTAGATGGGTTTGGGCGCGAGCTTGGCATGGCATTTCTCTTTCTAGCATTGTATGTATTTCCACGCATGTATGCATTCTATCTTTTCTGTCCGCTTGGGCGTGTTTTTGCCTTTGTTCTGGATGCCTTTTCGCCCGAGCTTTCTTACCCGGAGCTGTAGATAAGTAAACCTCCCACCCCTTCCGCCCTCGATCTCTCAACCGTCTTAGTACCTATCACAATCTCAAGGCCTACCTGGCCTTCATGGTATAATGCCCACGCTAGCCATTAATTCTACCTCCCTCTCCCTTCCCTCACTACCGCAATGAGAAGGTTTAGTAAGGATCCCACGGAGAGTCTAGCCACGCATACTAATCTTGTGTCCTGTACTTTATGGGCGCTCTACGCTTGTTTCTGCAACTTCCCCTCCTACTCATTGTGGTGCGCGATGGTTTGGATGGGAATGGCGATGGCGATGGCGATATACAAAACGAGGTATGGTGGTTGCAGCACACCCGCTCCCGCGTGGCCAGTCCTTGTCTGATATCGCTATCTGCCATACCGAGATATGTAAGGCTGGGATTAGGATAGGATAGGATGGGAAGGTGTGGAAGTTTAGCGGTGGGGTTGCTGGGCCGATGGATTACTGGTCCGATGGAATGCGGAGAGCTTACTATGTCCTGGAGCAGGGCGACGATAGGGGGAGTGTGGATACGATTCATATCTGAAATCGAGATACTATATATACCTATCACCCCCGACACACCACCAAGCCCCCTCCACAGCTGAGGATGTGTACAGTCCGAACCTGCCCAACCCCCAAATCGTCGGATAGCTGTACCTCAACCACGCGTACTACGCGTGGAAAGAAGGGCGAGTAGGCGTATACATCAGTATCGACGGCATGGTTATGCATGTGGATCGGATGTGTATGCGTTTGGACTGCTAGTCTGGATTCTGGTTTGTTCTTGTATTCGCATTGCTGGGAGAAGTTTCTCCAGGAGTCGGCCCGGTTGGTTGAAGTGATGTGCGTGGTTCCTGGTAATGGACGGTCGTGGTGTGGATGGGTAGATGGATGGATAGATGGGGAATAGCGAGCCTGCCGTTTTCGGGGAGCTTTGGGAGGGAGTAATGGCTGATGGATGTGTGGGTGGGGGCTGTAGGTCTATTCCTACTAGTGTTTTTTATTTTTTCTTGCTGGGCTAGGTTTCGCGGTTAGGTACTGATGCAGTGTATGACGCGTGCCATGTTCTGGGGACGATAGATACAGCGCTGCTTTTGTGTGCGATGGGATTGTGGATCGGCATGTACATGTCGCGGCGAAGTTGGAGTATTATCGGTATGCCGCTTTCGATACGTCGGCTAGTGAGTGTGGTGGGCGCATGGGGTAGATGAGGGTATTTGGATTGTCTTTGGAGGGTATTGTGGACGGTGATTTGAGATATGGGGTGGTGCGGGTTTTGCTGTGGAACGCGAATGGTGGAAGGGGTGTTGTGGAGTGGTGTTGGAGGTTGTAACTAGGGGAGGGAAGTAGAGAGTACACCTACTATCGTTGAATATGAAGGGGTTCAAAAAGATGTTGGCTTGTAGATCTTGAAAAAGCTCTTTTGTGTTTTCACTGGCAAGCCTTTTGCCTACTCGCTACTACTTTGACTCTACAGAAAAAGCTCCGTCGAACTTTCACAGAAACAAAGGAAGGCAGTGCAGATACAACTACACAGAGGGTTTTTTGACTGTTTTTTTATTTACATATTCTTACCTCTTTCTCTCAATCACCAAGTATCACGTTAATCGATTCTAGCATGATGTTGAGTAGCTGATTACCAGTGTTCCTTAGCCACTTTCTGCTCGGTGTAAAACGCCGAATAGTACCGTAGTAGACACATAGTTAGACATACAAGGGATCTACACATAGCCCAAGTCGCGTATATACTAACACCGCGTTACCAGGCAAAAACTTAGCAATAGTGATAAATCATCTAGTCTCAGAGATCAAATGTCTATACTAGGCAATCAAGCCCCGCCGGTTCGTCGACCTCGGCATTTTCATTATCAAACTATCCTGTACATGTGCGGCGCGGGTAGTAATATTCAAGACGTGGAGGATGCGGCACAGCAAAGATCCCACTAATATGTACTGCTCGTCAGTGCTAGCACTTGGAGATTTTAGTTTGTTGCTGAACAGTGTTGCCTGGAGAATCCTTCGGTGGCAATGTTCCGTAAGATGGTATACAATCTTACGAGTGTAGTAGAGTAATCGGCATACAAAGCAGTTGACAGACGCGCTGTTTAACATACAAAGGCCTGTGAGTTTTGCTCGCAGATATCAGCATCACAGAAAGATGCTTCAGAAAATCCATTGAGTAGATTGATACTAGGATCCTTTGATTAAGGTCTACATTGTGTGTGTAGAAACATTACTCAACAGAGCAAATAAACACGTAGACTACACGCTTCTACTCGTCATACCTCTTCTTTCAGTAGTTCATGTTCACCGTCCTCAGCACTTGGAGAAGCCCTTAGTAAGAAAAGGTCTGTCCCACAAGTTGTTCGCTCAGTTTCCACAAATTCTCAGCCTCAACACGACTGGTGGCCCAAGGTTTGACGTGGTCCGAGTCTTCAGCAACTATTTGACCCTTGTCCAAATAACCGCCATTTTGTCCTATCATCATCAGCATAGCTATCACAGCCTCAATCAGCGGTACGTACCTGCGATGGTGGTGTCAAATGCAGCAACTACGTGGGTAGCGGAGCCCTCATCGTGCGAGACGAAATCGAAGGTTAACTTCCAACCCTCTGCGTTGCCCAAGAAGCGGTTAACTTTTTCTAGAAACAAATCAGCTTTCGTTTCAGATTTGACATGGATGCGGAAAGGACTTACGCAAGGCAAGATACTCCACGTTCCAATCAATGTTATCGCCCAGACCAGTCCCAATAACTCCGGGGTGAAGACTAAAAGACAGGAGATTATGCTTCGAGCCCAGTTTCTCTGCTAGCGAGATGGCCATGAGCGTGTTTGCCGTTTTGGACTGGCCGTATGCTTGTCATCTGTTGTATGTCTCTCCGTTCTGCACAACATTAAAACCTTGGTATCCGTCAGGCAACTACATTAATAAGAGCTTACATGGAAATTGTAGTCCCCGAAACGGAATGGACAAAGCCTATGACCATCGCTACTTACCGTTACCACTCGAGGTACCACTGAAGTCATCAATCTGCCCATGATGAGGTTCGTGAAAAGAAACGGTCCTAGATAATTCGTGGCAAGTTGACTCTCGTACCCCTCGGGAGACAGCGCGTAGGCTACAGCCATGATCCCCGCGTTGTTGACAAGAACGTCGATTTGCGGGATATCGGACCATCCGTTGACTGTGTTTGCAGCTGTTCGGACCGCTTCTAACGACGAAAGGTCGAGTTGGAGAATACGGGTTTTGATCGAGAGCGTTGGATTCTCAGCGGCCAGTTGACTGGCGGTTTCCTCGACTTTGGCGATGTTGCGGCCAGCCAGGATGAGGAGCGCTGGTTGTAAGCCTGCGATGGCTTTGAGGAAGGCGGCACCTAGGCCAGATGGCGAAACAACTGTGGTGAGAATCACTTTGCCTTGGATCTTGGATGCGTAGAATAGAGCTAGGCCCTTAGCAGACATGGGTGCCATGACTAGAGTTGCGGTAGTATGTTTTGTGAAGAATAGTAGCCTCAGAAGGGATGATGATGTCGGCTTGGTTTGGTTCGAACTATGGAACTGCAAAGTCAACATTAGGAGTGGAGAAACTAGAGCATTTATACTCGTGAAAACTAGTTAGTCCATAAGTCGGCTCCATTTTTCAACACAAGAACTGCGCCGCATGGATCAGTCTCAACTAAAGAGTGGGTTCGACCATGACAGCGCATACGAACCACGTGCTAGTGATGTGAATTGTTGCTTCTATTTCATAACGCTCTCTAGTAAGTTTCACTGCTATACGTTGAGCTCACTCAATGGCAGTTCTCGGTTAGTTTGTCATACTCTCATTGATGCCCTGCTTAGTCCACTAAGCAAGACTCTACACGTTAAGTCTACTTTCATAGTTAGAGGTAGAGGTTGTACTGTTATTTATGCTGTGGATAACCTCGACCTTTGGAAAAATTGATTTTACTATTCTTCTTACTCCTAGAGATCGATTTGGCCCTCTTAGTCCTGAAAGCTACAAAGTAAGATCGATCACGGCTATAGTACGACGATAATGCTACATTCGAGAACTTGATACAGTGCTAAAACGGTATTGTTAGAGCTCAATCATTTGTTAACCCCCGTTGTCTTGTCTCGTCCAGCTTGTGTTAGTCGCACAACATGATGATGTCATTTTTGCGTTTCAGCCTGACGTTAATGTCCTTTCTAAGATACCTTGATCACACGTGACTTGAAAACATCAGGGAAGGAAAATATTAGATACTGGATGATTTCTTGTAACTGAAAAGAGTGAAACCTCTAGGACTTAATAACTCCTGTAGATACTTGATGTCTCTCTTCTGTGTCTGGATATTCAGCCATTTGTCTTGTGCGATATTTAATAGTCTTGGCATAGAATTTGAGATTATTGACCCAATCAATTGCTATTAAGATTTAGTGCTGACGTCAGGCCGGACTAAGCTACGAAAAGCACCCATAATAATAGCTACACCCGCAACGATCCTTCGAACATGTATGGCTACAATCACAAGCGAGCCTGCACCTCGGCAGATGTGCGAACGCCATTAAGGCTGTGCAAGAAGGTGTAGACAAGAGCTTCTCGCACTCATCCTCCAGTTATACAGCACGTCGAATTGTTCAAGCCGCCTATTCACTCTTCATCGTAAGAAAATGACATACCAACCGATAAAACTAGAAGGGCGGATCGATTCTCACACAGGGTTCCTGGTAGAGGATGATGAGCCAACGCATCCGGATTCTTCCAAACCACCATACACCTCGTCTCCGATGAATTCAGCGAGGGACTTGAAGTTGAGCACAACGTGGAGAGAGCTTTGGAGGACTCCATCTACCATGGCTGCGCTGTTTCTGCTTGGTCAGTACTGTTCATCTATGAGCATATCCCAAGCATCCCTAATCATGTGATTGGCCAGCCTGTGTGTTTGCTATGCTTCATCTCGTCTTATTCATCGCCTTGGACAAAAGACGGACAGATGGCCCAGATACTTTGTCCCAGAGCTACGTAGCAGTGCTTTCGCACCTCCTCGGAGTTTCGTTCCGAGCAAGTCTTTCCGGCTCCCTAGCCGTTGCTTACACTCAGTACTTGTGGCGCTTGTTGCGGCAACGACCAATCAAGATTTCAAGTATAGAAACACTTTTCAAGATTACTCGAAACCCGTTCCTGCTCTTGCAGCCAAAACTTATCACAATAGCACCAATGTTGGTTATATTGGCTGCATATACTTGGCTACTACCTCTTGCAGTCGCCTTCACTCCTGGTGCCTTGATAGTCGTCTCGGATACAGCTCAGAATACCTCTTACGCGACTGTACCTACGTACAATGGTTCTTCATTGGGCAACAACTCAATAGCCGACGCAGAAATCCACTCTCTAGCTGTTCGGTTCTTGAGTGGAGGGAGTTGGATCTACTTGTAAGGGTTTTGTCCATCAACCCCTCATCTGGCTAACAATGGATAGAAGTGCGACCCCTAGCGTACAAAGACTTGGGCGCCTAGTCCTTGAACTTGACGGTGTGGTTCCGTTTTCTTCCCCCTGCGGACAAAACTGCACATATGTCACTCAATTTTCAGGACCTTACCTTCAATGCAACACCACCATCTTAAACCAGACCGTCGTGAACCAAGGCACGTGGGCATGTGGTTACAACGCATTCACCGCCTCAAACATATCCTCTTACGATGAAACTAAAAACGATAAAATCAAAGATGTGTTTGATATGTCGGTTTCTCGCGCGATCCATTCAAAGCCTAATATCTCAGAGACCATAGTTCAAGAAGTTGAGCGCATTACTTGCACACCGTCCTGGGCTTCTTATATAGTGAACGTTACTTACAACAACGGCCTGCAGACTATCGAACGCTCTGAAAAACTTATGGGATCTCTCCGCGATATGATGGTACCTCTCCAACAGTACTACCCCAGCGCCGGAATTTGGCCTGAACCTCTTCGCCAGACATTGACCGCATTCAATCATTATGCGCTCATTGATGCGCTGATAAGCCCGCTTAGTGGTAACTATACGATGCTGCAATCAGGCCAATATATGGGCGGCGGGTCTTCAGCACAGTTTTGTGGTGAGTCCTGAGCCACCAAGTGGCTCCAACTTGAGTTCTTCTCGATTTGCTGCTAACGCTCGGACAGGAGCGACAGGCGGGACTCTCGCCGCCGATACACATCTCAACACTCAGAGAAACAATTTCTCGAGGCCTCATGCCGATGGGCCGAAGTTTGTCGTCACTCAGGCTGTTTTGAACGATGCCCTTTTCAACCTCACCATGAGTGCTGCGTTCCAACTCGGATTCTGGGAAACCACGCTTCCCGTTACTATCACAAGCGTACAACAGCTGTATTCGTTTGCGTATCCTAGAACGCTGCTAATTCCCTATCTTACATGTCTCCTCATCTCAGTTCCCTTCCTGCTTCTTGGACTAATTAGTCTGCGCTCGAACGGTGTGTCGGCGATAGAAGGGGGATTCCTCCAGATCTTGATGACGACGACGGGAAGCAAGACGCTTGAGAAGGCAGCTGCTGGTGGCTGTCTTGGAGGAGAAGAAAATACGCCTGAGGATCTTAAGAGTTTGAAAGTTCGTTTCGGAGAATTGATATCGAGTGGGATTTATGAACATGATGACTCGGGGCAGGTGAGAAGAGCGGGCTTTGGAACGGACGAGGAGGTTGTGCCGCTAAGGCGAAGTCACACGTATGGAATATGATTGTCGGGTGAGTATCTGAGATATGATATTTGGTCAGTTTATGTACACTTGTCACGGTAGGTGAAGAACGCAAATTCGCGCCGGGTACTTAGCAATTCAGTCCTGCAATCGTTGATCATACTTCACTCCAGGTAGTGTATGAGGAAATACAAAGGTACTTCAGACGTGCTTTCGCCCACGCAATAGAAAGTGAGTCTTGCATTACGAGTACGTAACTCTATTGAAATCAGTACAGGGAAGGCAAGAGCTTCGCAACAGGGGACATTGATAGGACACAAAGGGCATGTACTGACATGGTCGTGCCCGTAAGTCGTTCGGCAATGAATCGTATAATGCATGCTTCGCTGAGATGCATGCTGCGCCCATACTTGACGCACGTATTATTTGAAAGAAACGGCACGGTCCCAGAGCACTTTCGGAAGCGCTTTAGTAGCTTAATGGTGGATAGGCTATCGTGGACGCGTTCACGGGTCGCGCCTGCATCGCGCGAACATTTTCTTGTGCTTCTTGAGACGTGGTCTCGGACATGTTGCATTTAGCGAGGTGCAGACAGCAGTGATCTCTTCCTAGATGCTCGGGATCATCGAGATCAAGAAGCATGCAAGAAAACTATAATGGCGTGTACAGTCGAAGAATTGCGGCTTGCATTCGGACGCGTCAGTCGCAGCCGCGCACAGACCCCAACTTCAACCACATCACCAAACAATTGACCTGCTTTCTTCTTCACACCAAAACAGTACCAACACTACCAGATCAGTTATCAAGCCCTGGGTTGCTCCAGGGTATACGCGTCGCAAAGCCTCCACTATGCAGCTTGGCAGGTTTCAACCGCCCTTAGGCCCCCAAAGCTGATCGCCTGAGGCATACTCGCGCCTGCGGGGTGATCGAAGAAAGTGGAGCATGCATCAGCCACTCGCGTAAGAACCAGGTACGACAGCCATGCGATGCCTGAGCTAGGCCCAACAAGGGAAGGTTAGATGCAATCTCCACGAGCTTGCCGACCGTCACCTGTACCGATATACGACCTCGAAGCAATTCAGTACAATCCTTGTTACGACCAGCAGGACAATCGAGACCTTGGGACTAGATTCAATCATCGGGAGCTCGAATGAAACATCTCATTCGCACCTTTCCTGCAGCCATTTGAACTCTGAAGTCGATGCAAAGTCAAAGGGGAGGAGTAGAATCTTGATAGAGTACGTGACACCAATTTCAAGATCGTGAGTGGGTACAAATTCGGTCGCACCCGTCCAGGCAACAACAATTGCTGTTTGCATCACGTCACCTGCTTACCGCACATGCATGCTCAGTCAACGCTTGCTCGACATCGTTTCCCTACACCAATTGCCAAATCAATTTGCGCACCTACCGGAAGACGTCATCCACATGGAAACTGCTAAGCCTTTTGATAGTATGCGAGCTGAGCACCTGCCTCACCATAAAGTCCAAGTAGTCTAATTAAGGCTTCGGTATCGCGTTTCAAAGGATTAGGAATCTTGCTATTATGGACAAGATTACCCGAAATTCATTGCGTACTACATTTCGAACCAATTGGAAAGCTCATATGATAGATGAAGTTGAGTTCGGGGAGTCGGTGTAGTATCAGGCGCACCACACTGCCACAACAAGGTGCATTTGAGGCTAAGCCTGCTCAAGGCATATCGCAGGCCAAGCAACATTCCGCCCAGCATCGCACGGTATGCAGTAGGGCCTAAAAAACGAAATGAGGCTTCGATAATCGCGTCTGTGTTCGTCATGCCGAGTACTTAAAGAGGTCAACGGTTGAGCGTATGTTCATTATTACCCAACCAACCCTTCTCCGTACCTCCTCTTTGTTGACACCATGCTTCGAAAGGTGCTTGCAATTTCGCTACTCACATCGTCCGGTCTGGCCTATCCGACAGATGATAAGTTCAAGCCCAACGCAACATCATTGGAATGGGCACCATGCGACCTTGATTTCCCCTCGGCAGATCAGGCAGTGATAGCTAAACATGGAGAGCCTCTCTTCTGCGCGAATTTTTCCGTGCCTCTGGATTATACCAATGAGAAGGATGAAAGAACTATCAATCTGCAGCTGATCAAGATCAAGGCAAACAAGGAACCATTCAAAGGCAGTATTCTCACAAATCCAGGTGGTCCCGGCGGAAGTGGCGTGGACTGGATTGCCGGTGAGGGGCCATCATTCCGTGATGATCTAGGTGGATATCATGATGTTATTGGTTTCGATCCTCGGTAGATATCCTCCTCGATACCATAATTTGCGACGATGCTAATAATTGTAGTGGCACTGGGAGAACCATCCCGTTCTCCTGCCTTTCGTCAAACCTCACAGCCTCCAAGGCCAAGCGCGCTGAGTACAATTTCACGATTCCGCAGAACGACATGTATGCTGAGCTCGTCAAAAAGGCATGGCACGATGGTAGTGTCTACGCCGAAGAGTGCGCCAACACACCTGGAAACGCAGACATTGGCCCTTACATCAACACACCTTTTGTGGCCCGCGACATGCTAGAGATCGTCGATGCTCTTGGCGAAGATCAGTTGCAGTACTGGGGCATATCTTACGGCACTGTTCTTGGGCAGACATTTGCTGGCATGTTCCCAGATCGTGTCGGGCGTGTTTTGCTCGATAGTACCGTGCGCTTCGACGACTACCATTCTGGACATTGGATCACAGTGACGCGTGACACAGAACGTGCGCTAGTGAACTTCTTCACAGAATGTATCAATGTCGGTCCTGAGCTATGCCCTATCGCGAACCTCAATGGCCCAGACACGACCGCGGAATACCTGCACAAGGCATATGCCGAAGTCTTTCAAGAGCTACTGGACGACCCAGTCTTCTTACCAGGCGACTATGTGCCTTCACCCTGGTACCAGCCCGGTGGTATCACCGTTTATCTGGTCCTGAAGTATATAACCTTGAGTCTGGTGTACAATCCTATAGAGTTTGGTGTCCTGTACTTGGTTGTTGACATTGCTCTGAGGAGAGACTGGGAACAGGCATTCGACGTCCTATCAAGCCAACTCAACACCACAACGCCTGAGATCCCCTGGAACCTCGGTACCAACGCTTTCCACGGTATTACTTGCGGAGATGGAGCCTTCCGTGCCAACAAACCAGAGGATCTGTACTCTTGGACCCAAGCTCAAGCTGCCGCGGGTACCTTTGCTGACGCCTTCGGGCCTCAAATCTGGCCTTGCGCGCAGTGGAAGTTCACAGCCAAGGAGCGCTACACTGGACCTTGGACTGCAATCAATACCAGCTATCCGATCCTGTTTGTTAACGGCAACCACGACCCCATTACGCCTCTAAGCGCAGCATACGAAGCCTCGGCTAATTTCCTGGGCAGCCGCCTGGTGGTGCAGAATGGACATGGCCACGCAGTCAGGGGTCATCCTTCAGCATGTACCAACAAGGTGATCGCTGAGTACTTCAACGACGGAACGTTGCCAGATGTCGGGAAGGTGTGTCAGACCGACAAGACGGCTTACGGTGTTTATGAGGACTATCTCGCGTCTCTCAACAGCACAGCAAACAGCACCATGACGAAACGGTCTCTCAAGATTCCTCACAGGCCCCTCCTCACTTGACAGACGCTTTTCAAACAGTGTGGGGTATGTTCAGGGGTAGGTCTGGGCACTGTCTAGGCCGTATGTATTGTGACTATAACATACCCTGCTGTCTACTCATAAGATTTATATAAAACATATTCGCACAGAAGCTACGAGTGTGCGGTGACCCTCATGCATTGTTTTCCAATCTCGTTCGACGTTCCTGTCAAAGTGTTGAATTCGGGTAGCACGTTCATAGTGCGCGTAATACACAGTCAACAGTTCGTAAGGCTTGTGTGAAATACGTAAAATTCATCTCAATCGGTAGATCCGGGGCTGTAAAACATATTATTTACATGAAAGAGGGCGATTGCAATACAACTTTATGGAACAAGTTTCCGTAGTTATTTTTCGAATTAATAGTGATCATTTTGCGCCATTATCTCCACATACGACCATAGGACGTTGAAAACAAGGCTTCCCGTTCGCTCAGCCCTATTTAAGCAACGTACCGGCGGACTAGTAGTTAGGTGGGTGACCACTAGCGAATCCCCGCTGTTGTATGTATTCATTTTGGTGTTTGATACCTTATTTTTTTGTCCTCGTGGCTGGCCAAGACGCTAGGGCTGATATGGCCTAGCATCGTATCAGTTTCGTGGTCTGTTTTTGTCTTTATTTTGCAGTGAGCATGATGGACATAGCGTTTGTTTGCTGTAGCGTGTAATTTGGTTAAACAGGAGCATTGTGTTATGTACTTTACTTAAATAGTTTGTTAGTTAATTAAAAGTTACCTTGTTGTCCCAGTCATCCTCGTTCAGCTTATTAGCGAGCTGCTCGTTGTCGAACCACTCTATGAGATCTCCCTCCACCGCAATCTCAACCTTGGCAATCTCATTATTGAAAACCTCGCGCTTAATCACCATTCGCTTAATAAGCTCCTGCTTAGCCACGTCCTGCTCAATCATGTCCTGGTTGACAAGCTTCTGCTCGACTATCTCTTGCTTAATGGCCTTCTGTCAAATCATGTCCTATTCGGCCATTGTGTGCTGCAGATAATACTTTTGTATGTCCTTGTTGACGAGGGTGTTGCGATTAGTGTTGTTGATGACATGCCATGCCCTGCGTAGGCCCCATGATACGTAAAAGGTACACAAATGACAGTGGCAAGGTACTCTGGGGCCATTGTTGCTCTTGTAGAACACTTGCTCTTAATTTTGTTGTAAAGCATATGTAAAGCATGTGCAGTTTGTAGAGAGAATAATAATCAACAGAAAGCCCATAGAACGTCATGACGGAACCCCAAAGCTCCGACTAGAACCTGAAAACGGATCACACACAAATGTGTAGGCTAGAGCGAGTAATCACAATAACTATATTCCATCCCCTGATGTGCTACAATCAGATACGTAAATCGACTTATATGTAGTCTAGCTCATGTTCCTCCGCTGCAAACCGGAACGTGCAGCCTTGAACGACACACCTCCTGCCCAGGCTTTCGTTCAATGTGATGTCTACCCTTACCACTTCGTACTTTGCCGTCTCGTACATGCACAGGATGTCTTCCTGCTCTTGTGACAGAACTTCGTAGGCCCATCCACCTACTTGCGATCCTGGACTGTTGACCAAAGCATGATATTTCCCGCCCCAAGTCCGGAGTTTTCCTCCGCGTATCAGAGCAGGAACCAGCACTGGTATGGTTCCAGGCGGCGAGCAAAACAACTCGGCCAGAAACGAAGAATTTGCTAAGGTACCGTAGAAGAAGTACCACACAGGGTACTGGTTCTGGGTTGGAAAGAAGCCGGAGCACACGGTGCTTTGAGGCCGACGATGGGGTAGTGATGTATCCAATCCAAGAGTTGGGTACGCGGAAATTGGCGACAGAGCCTTGCATGCCTTATTTATGGGAGCAAAGACTGGCGAAAGAGTGGGATATGTCTTGGCAAGCCAGTCCTTGATCTTGGGGACATCAAGCTCGTTGACTTGGCAGAATTGCGCGACGCCGTTTTCACACTCTCCATGGACCATTCTGGGTTGTGAGGGAAGGATGGCAGCACAAGCGAGTATTGCAGGAGTAACAGGACTGCTGATCTTGAAAAGATAGTCCATGCTACAGGATTTGCGTTTCACCTTAGTCGTTGACGTCTGACTATGTTTGGTGGATCGAAGAAGGTCCTTCATGTCGGAGGACAATGTTGGTGCGGGTGTCGTATCAAGCGGCGCGATTTCGTCATTTAGTTCGCAGAATGCGTCCATAGCCTCTGGTTCCAGATCGTCGAAATAATCCATATTGATTGTTGCTAATGATCACACCTCTGCTAGTGATTCAAAGTCAATCAGAGAGTTGATAGGTTATTTATAAGGACCGCATACAATGCCTTGAACTGATATAAACGTTAACCATGGAACTACGATGGGTTTATATGCCCCACAGATATGTTGGGGTGACTGTCCCCAAGAAGCATTATGTAATGTATAGTTAGTGTACCGTCCAAATCAAGTCTTCCCCTCAAAACAACTTTCATTGTTTAAAGAACACTAAAGATTCTTATAGCATATAGAAAGCCTGTATTACCGACGGCAGTTATCAGGCCTCCGCAAGCTTTGATGTTCGCATTATTAGGCCAGGCCAATGACGCTTACAATTTTGTTACAGCTGCTATAGAGAACTATGTGCCGACGTAGCTGCCTCTCAATGTTCTATAACAACACAGGTCTTATTAGCCTTTGCACCCGCTAGTGGCAGACGTAGAGACACCAAGGCTTCCCGTTTAAAGGTACCGGCGGACCAGCATATCTTGTCAAGTTGGAGGTCATCTTTCATTCATATTATTAAGGGTCTGTCTTGATAAGCTCGGGCAATTATGAAGTTTCACAATGACCAAAAGACATAAACATGCAAAAGAAAATTGAGTCTTCTTGCCAATATCATGCACGTTCTTGCCAAAGTTTATGAGTCGACTCACCAGATACAGGTCGTAATAAACAAATGTACTAATCGTGACCCTGGAAACGAATGCTCCGTGGATTCTACACAAATAGTGTCATGAAAGTTATAGTTATTAGAGTTTGTCAATCATGCCTTCAAATGCAGCATATTTGAAATTAGATCGAAACAATGACTCCTCGTTCAACTTGGGACTATATATGTATCATCTAACACTCAAGTTCTTAAGCAGTTTCCTGACTGCATTAGCGCCCTCTCCTACGCAACTTTCTTGCCCTAGTTGCGACTCAATATCGTCTATCAAATGCTCAGCCTTTTCCTTCAAGCCCTTGATCACGTCTTCACTGTACTTGAGACTACCCACACTCTCGATGTATCCCAACGCGTATTTCTTCACCTCCTGATCTGTTGTTCGTAGCCTCAGGATATTGATGAGTACATGATTTGAAGGGTCTGCCCGTATCGCATGTATCATGGGGAATGAAAACTTGCCCTCTGTTAGGTCTTCGCAGAAGCCTTTCAATGCACTGTAGTCTCCAGTAGAAGATAGATTGAGATAGTCGTCCAGAATCTGAAACATCTGTCCAATGGTTGTGACGAGAGGTGAACAGTCTCTAGTCGTGTGTCAGTAGATGACTACCCAAATACAGAAATCGACGTTAGATATTTGTTGGGGAAGCTTCAAGCAAACTCAGTCGAGCCATGGGGGAATTTTGCGGAGAGTACCACAATACGTACATTGGTATCTGGCTTTGCGCTTGCATGAGTCTCACGGCTAAACGGAACAGACCACCCGTCTTGTAGTCCACCATCTCCATGTATTCACACTCGCTAGGACAGATCAGGCTGTCTCTCCAGTATAGGTCTAGCCCTTGTCCTCTGTGCAAATTAAGAAGTTCTGACGTGAATATTTTCAACAGCTCGGGGTTGTCCAACGATGCCAGCTCAGATAGTGCTCTGAAGTAGACATAATTCGCAGAATTGATCGTTTGAGCAATACCGAAGATGCTATTTGCAACTGGAATGCCACGTCGGAGAACTGAGAAATCTTCCACATCGTCGACTCTACACAAGGTGTTATTAGTATCTTGAATCCTTATAATATCCTGTGCTGTACATACAGTAGTGACGCATTGTGTAGCATCTTGATCACTCCAATGATGACCTCCAGGCTCTTGCCAGGGACATTCAACCACATGTTAAAGGCAGAGATGAACTGGCTTCTGAGATCCTTCCCAGGCTGGTTCGCGATGTATTCGTAAGGTCCTAGTAGAATCTGTTCTTTATCTTCTGTCCATTGTGATTGATCGGTAGTACTTTGAGTAAGCGGGGTATTTGAAGGCGTCGAAGGCTGAGCTCCTGCTTCACGATCATCATCGGTTTCCATATGGTAGATAGCAAGTAACTCATTCGCATCGGACGAATTTGCAGAATGCGTTCCTTGCTGGAAGGCGATGTGTTCTGCCTCTTTGTGACTACTCTTCGTCTGATCGATTATGTTGTTGATCTGTACGACCTTCTCAGTCTCACACCGACGCGTATGTTTTCTGATGTGAACATAGTCGCCTGAATTTGTTCGGGTGGGAACACAATGAGTGGTAGTGGATGGACGAGAGCCGGGACACATAGTTGACATCATTCCACAGATGAGAAGCCGGTTTTGTCAATTTTCGTGTGGCAGAACCGTGACAGTGGTGGCTGTGGCGAAAGAAACAAGGAAGTTAACGTTGGTCGTAGTAAGACAGCTCGAGAATGACAAGATGATCGAGGTTATTTGCCTTCTTTAGATGATTGCCAGTAAATATTCCATGAACTAGATCCCTCTTATACAACTTGTGCGTAAATACGACCAGGCCATTTGCTTACCCCAAGGGTAAGACCGATCGATGCGCCTGATGTAATACACACTTGTACACTGATGGTTTCATACCCAGCATATGGAATACCACCGAAGATGATCTTACTTTTCAAAACGTCAAATATTACTTGACGATGCTTTCTCCAAGCTTGTGTTGCCGGGAGGTGATCGGCAATCAGTAACTCCTTCTCACGACAAAGACAGGGGAGTTGTGCGCGATTTTGAACGGTTATTGAAGCTATTACCCATGATTCTCACTCCAGATGAACCTCCATGCAAGCTTATCCCCCTGACTGTCTGATTACCGTTACATGCTGCCGATTAAGGCAAGCAAAGACAAACCCGTATCAGCTACAGATCTACCCTATTTCAGCTTCATGAATTGTCAGCAACTGAGGGGTAGATAAGGTTACTGCCAGCTGATGCTCGGGTAATTGGCCGTAGATGTATCGGCCGATATAGACGCGTCATTTGAGATGCCAAGAGCATCACGCTTGACGTTTTACACTGGGTTCCAGCTTGCTGATACCCATCACTAGCTTGAAGAGAGCCTCTGATTAATGAGTAGTCGGCCCTGTTAGCTGATATCGACTGGTAATAGAGAATAAGATGATCTCACTTAATGGGTTGTTCCTTCAAGCCGTCTTTACTCCAGAACAACGCGTGTATGATCTTCTATGGTATCCGGCAAAAGTAATGTGCATGGCCAATGCATCGCTCGGATATCACCGATCTGCTTACTACCGCGGGAAGAGACCCGCGCAGGATGTAGTTGGGTCAATTTCATGTCTTAGTGTGTGTTATCAACCCTGCCAGTCATGGGGCCACTGTCTCCACTGTACACTACTGTTGCGGGATACCACAGTAACCAACATGATCATAAGCTGAAAACATCTTATTGATGTTGAACTGACTCGCATGTGATTTGCATATCAATCTGCCCGACTGACACTACATTTTGGGGAATAAAAGGACATGTTCATTTCAAAAGCATTAAGCTTCGTCAGCAGTTGGATTTCTGGTCTGAACTTCCAAACGTGAAGCGTTTTTATGAGTGCAAATAGAAACCAGGGAAATCAAATGACATTGCAAAGTCCAGTGTTTCCTCTTGAGATACGAGAGGGAATCAGGGTGTAACACTAATCTAAAGCAAGCAGACTCGGTATTGTTTGAGTAGGGTTGTTTAGATGGCAATCTTTATGGCTAGTGTCGCGTACTCAACGTCCTTCCGGTAGTCAGGCTAACAGAGAGGATTCAATCCATAACAGTGTTGATCACTTATGTGAACTTATATAATAAGCTTGACAAGGACATGTGAGTAATATTGATCTACTACGAAGTTTTGTCTAGTGACCACTTTGCATACGACCGTGCTTGACGTCACTATATTGAGAGTCTAACTGACCGATTGGCTCGGAAAGTATAGCCTGTGCTGCGTAGAGTCGACGCGTAGCACGTAATATAGTTGATGTCATTTCCCGCGTAAATGATCAATTTGACAGATAGTCAACATGCAACTGACATGGTTCACGGGTAAAATATGTCATGGTACACTAGAGTAAGCATACTTCGATTGTCTTGTCTGTTCTGAATTCAAGGGACGATCGGACACTCAAATTAGAGCCCAAGGCTAACGAGTGTTTTGTTTACGAGAGTGAATTGTCTTGCCATACATTGCTATTGTAGATTGTTCGTAGAGTTGTACTTGAAATCCCCAAAACTCAATATTCATCAATAGGACACTCAGTATCTGTCCGTCTTTTCACCATGATATTAACCTTGCCGCTCGCCTTCTCAATCATACCTTTCAATTCTGTATGTTGACCTGCTTCATCGACCAATTTCCAATCATACTTAACAATGATGTGTGCCAATGCGACTTTGATCTCGTTCGCAGCAAAAAACCGTCCAGGACATGAATGCTCTCCATGCCCAAACCCCATGTGTTCGACAGAGGTCGAAACCAGCTGAGCCGAGTTTTCATTGCCAGCCTGTTGCCGCAAATTGAAGAAACGATAAGCGTCGTACGCGTCGGGGGACGGATACAAATCTGGAGATCTGTGTAATGTGAGAACATTCAGTCTCTCACCTTTCTTGAGTACTAAGCCGTTCGATAAATAGACATCTGAGGTAGCGTAGCGGCGCATGGATGTGATGCTTCCAGGCTTGAGACGTTGAGATTCTTTGATCGCGGAGTCGAGAAGTTTCATGTTGTACAATGCCTTTTTCGTCCAGCCGTCTTTGCGTAGAACATCAACGATTTCTTCTCGTATTCTTGGAATGTAATCGGGATGTTTCGCAAGATCGATCATACACATCTCCAAGAGATCATACGTCGTATGAATGGCCAATAGCGATAGCGTCAACTGGAATGTGGCTGGGTCATACTTGGATTCTTTGACCTGGGCTTCGGTTTCCGCCCATTGCAAAACATCATCAAATTGCGGGATAGGTGTGCGATCGTCGATAGCAGTCTGTTTGAGCTTTTGACGGTACTCGATGTATGGCCGTGTCAGGCGACGTGCGTTACGTAGCTCAGATCGAAGTGCAATACATGATGGCATGAACCAGTGGGCGACTGGTCGAAGGATCCAAGGAACCTTGCGTAACTCGGAACCAGCTGTGAAAAACAAAGACGCGTAGTTTTTGACAATGGACAGCCATTTCTCGTTTTGGTGTAGCTGATCACCAAAATAAATACGTGACGAGAGACGGGCAATAATATCAAGAACAGCTAGTTTGAGATTGACTTCATGCCATTCTATTCAGCCTCGTTAGTTACCATTGTATCGTAATTAGGTACATTTTAGTCTCACCGGATGAGCTACCAAGGTTCAGGACTAATGATCCTTCGGTAACCTCAGCAAGTGGTCGAATGACCGCTGCTACATCCTAGAAGTTAGCAATTGAACATGTGATTGGTAGGGAACTGCGCTACACCTACAAAGATGTCTAGTCAGGTATTTTCTTGCTACAATCTGAATGAGACTATGGGGATGTGAGATCAATTTGACTGTCTCAAATCCTGGGATGTTTGCATGACCATCATAGTAGATAGCTTTGGTAAAGCTTAGATGTGGATCATTTCGGATCTCTTGAGCGTACTTCGGCGTCAGCATGAGTACCTTACCCCAGTCTGTGATGAGTCTGAATGGTTTATTGGGGTAAAGCTTTTGTCCTTCCTCAACGAGATCCTTGCTGGCATGGATAAATTTCCACTAACAATGTGATGAGTGAAGTTCGCTGTTACTGCAAGTACTCTGTAGTCACTTACCTTTGCCTTTAACGAGAACAACGAAAGGAAGCCAGGTTCATTGACCAATGGCAAAGAACCGACAGAGCTATCATCGTCGCCTTTGGTCTGCAAGATACAAGCCAATGCGATAAAGGAGGCTAGAACTGCTGCGAGTACCATGAGGGTTGATTGGTTGTTTGAAAGAAGAATAAAAAGCCATGGCCATTCAATTGTGCTCATGATATTCACCATTGTGGGAAAGGCTTTCTCGATTTGCGGGGGGATTGAACGAGAACAATAAATCTGGGTTTTCATTGAGTGTCTCTAAGTAAGAAGAGTATTCTTGGGGAAACTGGAAAAGATAAGGGGGGAAGCCAGTCTTAAGCTTAACGCGCGCTGATCCAATCTGTCGTCACGTATCGTTTTGAAAACATGCAATCAGGACATATGAAACAGTGCCACCATTCTTTCAACGATTAACCTGGTGCTTGGATCGGCAATACCACAAGCGGATAAGCTCTATGACGTGATCAAAATCGACGTATCACGCTTCTAGCATTTGGAGGCAAGGATGACGAAGGCCTGGCAGGCTACGCTTGTGTTCCTTGAGCCTGTACAGATATCCATAAGGATTGAGAACATGATGTGTCAACCCATGTTTGTCGTAGTCTGGCTAGGCTATATCACTCTACTCCCCCAAAAGGTGGTAAATCACTAAGTACTCTAGATCAAAACACTCGCGTAAAACATCTCAATTCCGATTCCAATTCCAATCTATTCCATGCAAGCGACCTCAATCAGCCTCCTTGATAAGGGGTCTAGCCAATACAATCTCAAAGCAGCCCTCTCACTACCTCATCCGCTATCTCCCTCTGCTTGATCATCACTCTGGCTGCCGGATCAGGGTACATATCCGTGTCGATAGTGAAATTTTTCGGCCTCTCTTGACCGTCAGGGAACTTCCAATCATACCTGAGTAGAATATGTGCTAAGATCATTTTCATCTCATTCGATGTGTAGAATCTGCCAGGACAGGCATGCTTTCCATACCCGAACGCCATATTACTTGAATCCGCCATCGCGAAAAGAAACTTCTGAGCGTTTTCGGGATGGTTTGTATCCTCACGTAACCTCGAATAGCGGAATGGATCGAATTCTGATGGTGGTGCAGGACCCGGAACGTGTCTAGTGTCATGGAGCATGTGGTATGAAGGGACCGCAATGCGAGTGCCAGGACATAAAACAGTGCCATTGGAGAGCGTGACTGATTGGTGTAGTATGCGGTTGAACGTTACTATTCGAGTTTAGTTGATCATCTACAGGTGTGCTTATGAGAACATACCCAAGAATATAGGGTTGAATCGCTGGGATTCTTTGAGGAGACTGTCCAACTTCCGAAAGCGATTCAGGGTTGTCTTCTGCCATTCTCCATCTTTCCGAAGGATTGCAGTTACCTCACTCCTGATTGGCTCTATGTAATCTGGGTGTGCAATCAAGTCGTAAAGTGCTTGAGTCATGGTCAAAGCGGTCGTATGAATTGATGATAGGCTCAAGATTAACATCCTTTGCGCGAGATTCTCCGGAGCCCGCTCATCGCCAACCGCCATGTCCATCATCCATTGGAGGATATCTCTATGCTTTTCGTTTTTGGCTTGCTGTTCTGTTGAAGCGGCTCTTCGGGATATAACGATGTCTCCAATAATGCGTCGAGCTGTTGCAACGTTCTTGCGTAGTCCTCGGTAAGGTGGAAACATTGGTGCAATGAAGGGCCGTGTTAGTTTTGGAAACATGCGTAGGAACATTCCTGTCACGAAAAGGTTCTCGGTATATTCCGCCGTGGTCGTCAGCCATTCCTCGTTTCGCGATTGATCCGTGCCGAGAAAAATGCGAGCGGAGATGCGGGCAACTATGCGTGCAACTATGGGCACAATGTCGGTAGTCACCCAATCTGTTTTGAACTCAGTATGTACGATATCTCCCACGTATTTCAACACATACCTTGACATTGCGGTATTTCTGCGAGAATGCTAAAGTCGAGCTCAGTCTTCATGACTGGTGCCAAAGAGGCCAAGGTCGGAGTCAATCTTTGCTGGAGCACACGGTTCTGCAAGTCGCTATGCAAGAAGACCAACCCACATGTCAAATTACCCACGAAATCGTCTATGAAAGGTTCAACCGAGCTCTCGACGTCACGAGAACTTGCTCGTAGTTCGTCAATGTTTTTGTTGGAGAGAATCAGGACGTCTGTACCGATCCGACGTATCTTGAACATGGAATCTTTGAACTACCAATCCCGTTAACTTCAACTGGATATTTCCAGCGTCGTTCCATTGGAACTGACCTGGTTGTAGCCATCCTGTAAGATTGATCGGCTTCCACGAATGAAACGTAGCCTGACAAGCCAAGCAGGCTCAAAGATAGAGCGATGGCCGACTATGGGAGCCCGCACCCCATACAACCTGACGTTAATGACCTCGAGAGATGTATGCAAAATCGCGACTGTAAGACAAAAAATAATAATAGCAAGGTATGGAGCGTAAAAGTCGTCGTAGACACTGAGCGTACTTATCGCCATGGCCATTGTATGAATTGCCAATGTTAGAGTTCAAGCGAGAAGGTAGAAGTTTTGGACATTATTCAATGCTTTGGACATAGTATATATATCCTTCTTGCGAGAGGCCTCCTCCACCTGTCGCCGATACTTTGATCAACCATGTAAACATAGTTTGGTATACAACCAGATGAGCTACTAATACACTCTACAATGTAATCTCGTCCAGAAAACATCTCGAGAACTACCGGCCTAAGAGACGTCATAAGGGCATGGGTTCTAAAAAGCCTTCCCTGTTTTACAATCCAAGACAACACGAAAGGCCCGAACACACATTCTTGATTCACACCAACAAAGGTATCATCTGGCTTAGTTCTGTTATCATATCATAATGACATGTTTCAAAATATCAGCATCTGTTAGAGACTACCCCTTTATCAAAAGTTTCTTACCAAGAATTCTGTGTATCGCCTTGATAATGCTCTTGATTAGCACTGTGCTCATTAGAGCACACCGAGAGTTGGGTTCTAATCATAGGATACTACTATGCGTCTATCGGTAATACACCCTGATACGTCGATACATGCGAAATAGGTGAGCATAAAGACACATCGTATTGAAGAGTGCTGTGAAACTCCTACCTTGTGGAATAGTGCACATATCAGTTACTTTCAACTATCAACCACTACGTAATCGAAAAAGATTCCTGAAACTTTAGCGGTTCACTACTTAACACCAACAACAACAATGTTCCTATGGAACTTGACAAAGACCCATGTACGTCACCATGAGCTCAAGGATATTCCCTTGTCATTCCATATCTCCCTCCGGCGTTTGATCTTGCCGCACAGTGCTAGACAAATCGCGCACAAGATAGAGCTGATCATAAAAGTCCGTCACATCGGCGAAATATCGCACAACCTTCACCTTCCTTTTGTTAAACTGGCCAATTGAATTGGCTTGTTTTGCGGATTGCGTGGCCGCTAGCTCCAATTCTTGCAGAGTGTGAAACAGACAACGTCGCTCGTACTCAGCTAATTCGGCTAGGATTCGCTTTTTCTCCAACACGGAAGGAACGTTCACAAACTCAGGAAAGTCCACTGAATTCAGGTTGCCTTCTAACAGGTCGCGGTCGACAGAACCGAAGTCGTTGCACAGACGACACATGGTCGCCATGTGTCGTGCAACGGCCCGAACAAGGTAATTCTCTTTTACTGTAGGAAATACGTTCTTCCCATCCCCAATCAGTGCAGATAGGAGACAATGATTAAAGGCGAACGAATACGCGCAGGCAACATGATCCGCTGCAGTGGTCCGTACCCAATCGAAGAAGGGACGGCCCGAATCGTGCCAGCTCAGGCCATCGGACGACCGGCCCGGACGCATAATCCCTGCGTTGGATTCGATCTGTGTGGTATGAGCGTGCAGAAATGCCCTAAGTTCGTGCCGTAATGTGGCCTGGTCCTCCGGGCTCGCTTTCCGGATCTGCTTGTGTTCAAGCACATGGTTGACGAACCTTTGCAGCGAGACCTTGACAATATCGCGATCCTTAGATATGTCATTTCGGATGGGACTATGGGTAAAATGTATGTCTCCCGGTTCACCTATCTCATTCCGCTTGAGTAAGCCGTTTTGTAAAGTGGTATCAACCACGATACTACTCCGTTCTTCTTTCTTGTCTGTCGTAGCACGTGTAACAACATTTCTATCGATAATGTCGTCGATCAGCTCGTGCAGCTGTACAGTATCGTGGGCAAATGCCGGAGCTGCAATCGCCTCGATGAACTCGTCCGTTTGATAGCCAAGCATCGACAGGATCATCATGTCAAACAATAGGGACGTGGCCACGTATGTACGCGAGCGATTGTTACAACCGATCCATGTGAAAGGTATAATGTCGAGGTAGCTGTCCCTGCTGATGCCCATGTGATCACGATCGTACACTTTGAGTCGCTCTGCACGTAAGAGCGGGGCGAATAACATAGATTCGACGAATGACGCTCGAAGCTCCCAGAAGGGCATCGATGAGAAGAGTTTTGTCTGGCTGACGGTGTTGAGATAGCCGTTCATACGTTTCGAAAGTTGGGGTGATTCAAGGCTGTGTCCAACGCTTAACGCGGTTTCACCAATAGGATCCAAGCCAACTTTGACAGCTGCGAGCCAGTACGCCTCTGCTACAAATGTGGCTCGGTAGGCAGTTTTTGAAGTCCAATTTTGGTCAGGCGACGTCCAGTGATTGGATTGCAAGAAGGTGCTACCTCGGCGAATAGCAGATGTCAGTACCGATTGCAGATCTTTGAAAAGTAAGAGCCTCGCTGCTTCACCCAGAGTCAAGATAGCGTATGAAGTCTCCTCTGGTTGGCCGTTCCAGGAACCATCAAGGTTCTGTCCCAATATGGTGCGAAGGCAAGCTTGGAAGATACAAATCGACACTCTCGAGAGCAGCTCCGGGTGAAACACGTCACTGAAAGCCCCATGCTCAGTATGCCAGATGAGATCAATAAATCCCTGCACTAGTAGCATTGTTGGATAGAGGTGGCTCAGATGCTATAACTGTTAGCTCATCGTCGGAGTGATAGAAACTTTGGGGTCGACTCACCCACTTATCCTTGATCAAGCCATCACAGTCCCACCAAGACTGGCACAAGAAGCTAACGACCTTCTTGATTTGGGGTAGAAATTGGTCTCTGTCCGCTCGTTGCAAAAGAGCAAGCAATACGTGGCAATTGGAGGTGAAGCTTGGATCTCGTTCGGCACCAAACGTTCGGAAATGATTTTCAGCTTCGAAGATTGCAACCATGGGAGCAGGGCTCACGCCTTCATCCATATCAAGTAGGCTTAATGTCAACAAGCCCTTTGCAGTGTCATCGACATCCACCGCACGAGGAGCTAGGTTGAATGAGTTTCATAACCATCAGATTACCCGCCGGTGGCTTACCAAAACCGATAACTCCTTGGTCTGCTTCGAAGCCCTCAAGAATTATCTTTCCAATTCCAAAGAGCTCACTGCATTCGATGTCTGCTCGACGAAAGGCACCGCGCAGCAGGGTAGCAATGATCTACCAAACAATTAGAAATTGACATCTCAATGACAGAACTTGAACTTACCCAGTTGAATTCGAAATATGCTGTCGAATGTGTACCAGGTATACCGCCGTGGCCGTTGCCGGACCCTAAATTGACTACATGGTCAAGATACGCTTCAGCTTCATCATCCCATACAGAAGCATGCATCAGGTAAGCTGCAGTAGAAGAAGGAGATGCCAACATAGAGCCTCTAAAAAGGTGGTGACCAATCTTGTCGAAGTCTACTTTGGAAATGAAGGCCTCCAAACTGTGAACGGTAGACGACGGACGTGTGCGGTAGAGTGACTCGGGATCGAAGCGAGCAAGTTTGGCTTTGTTCATATCCATGAGCATCTGCTTTCCCTGAAATTCGAAAACCAGATTGCTATCCTCAGATTCGAGGTAGATGAGCAAGGCTGGGGCAATGATCTCAACACCGATATGGTTCGTCGTCAAAATATCGTCCCAAGCCGCAAGTTGTATCCGCAGCGATTGTACCGCTCGGGCGATGCGTAGTCGAATATCTTCAGGCGACTCATCGTGCAATTGCAAAGGCTCTTTGAGATGGCGAAAGAGAGCAAGTAGCGCAGCGGCAGTGTCAAGAATGCCAACAGTCTTGGTTTTCGGGTGCCTACCCCAGCTCCCGTCATCAGCTTGCCATTTCAGAAGATACTGGAAGCTCTCTGGAAAGAGCCATTGTTTTTCACCATCCACAGCTTTCGAAATCATAGCAACCCACGCAGTATCGTAAATTTGGGTGCTCGTCGTGCTAAAGCCGTACACAGGGTGGTGGATTTTGAACGCTCGTTGGATAAGGGAACGTGCCCCCTCTGTCAGAGTTTCAACTTTGTTCGACATTTTGGTTATGCTCCCAAGTTTGTACTTAGAATAAAGGCAATGAAAAGGTAGAAATTATGCAGAGATTTTCACTGCTTAGTTGCCAAACTCTTATACACAATTTAGTGATACACCTCTGCCTTCTTCGTCGAATCCCATAATGGTCCAACTGTAATGATAGGTTCGGCTTTTCTGTTGCCACATGACCTGGAAGCACATGCTACTGGGGCTACGTGACATCACATGAAAATTTGACTTGGATCTACAATCTCTAGGGATTGTATGTTTCACTTGTATTTACCCGAGTACATCCTATCTCTACCTCATGTGCGTCGCATTATAACATGGTAGAGTTTGACAAGGTCAACTGCCGATATGTAGGAAATCTGAGTAACAGACAAGGGGTATCAAGATTTTGAGCGACAGCAATCGTACTATATCGGGTCCAGCTGTACTAAACCTGGGTATAATCGTCATGCCACTAACTAACACTAATGCAACTTTTCCTACAACATCTTTCTCACCTATTCGGTCCTTTGATGTGATGTCATATTTATGTGTACAATCAGCTCTGCTGTCCCTAGAGAACTGCCGAATCTGCCTTGGCAACAAACAGATACTTGACAATTCCCCTTTAAACAGCCCTCTAAAGCAGCCACCCGATCAAACGTTTCAAAGAAACGAAAGTCCTCAGTACCACTTGTCTCCTCACTGAAGCAGAAAGATGTTTTTCAACATTAGTTATGCTGATAGTACATGCAATGACTCACAACCTCCTCAAACATCTCTTTTCTCCACTATATTAGCCACCTGCCTCATTATCATCGTCTACCTTGTCCTATACATTGAGCCGCCGAACCTCGACCTTGTGAACGGAAAAGGCGCATTTGAACTTACGGATGTTCGCGTGAAAAAGGACTTTGTTCGAAATGCATACAAAATCATCACCGACAGATTGAATAGCGTCCCCGGCAAGCCGTTCCGAGTGATAGCAGATATTGGCGAAGTTACAATCCTGCCTCCCGAGTACGCACACGAGATACGTAACGATGTGAACTTTAGCTTCACGAAAGCCGCCTTCCAGGTACGTTGTGCTTCAATCAAGCGATTTTGAGTGAATCAACTTGAAGAGAAATTGACGTAGTACTATAGTGGTTCTATTCCCACCTTCCCGGTATGGAGGGATTTCGAGCGGGAACAAACGAATCGCACATCATGAAATTGGTAGCACGACATCAGTTGACTCACCAACTGATGCGTGTGACCAAAGCTGTATCTGATGAATGTGTCGCAGCGCTGCAAGACATCTATACAGAACACGAGGGTAGATATCCCTCACTATCTATCGGCAGAACTATTATAAGCTAAACATCCATAAACAGACTGGCACGAGCTTGTCATGCGAGAAGCAAACCTCCAAGTGATGGCCCGCGTGACTTCCCGAATTTTTCTCGGTGAAGAGCTCTGCCGCGACCCTGCTTGGCTTCGGATCACATCAACTTACTCTGTCGTTGCATTTCGGGCAGTCGAAGAGCTTAGGCTTTGGCCTTCGTGGCTTCGTCCCGTGGTACAGTGGTTCCTCCCACACTGTACTGCCGCACGTGCTTTGGTTCAAGAAGCCCGCAATGTCATTGATCCAGTACTCGTCAAGCGACGAATAGAGAAGGCTGATGCTATTGCAAGAGGAGAGAATGCAGAGTTCAACGATGCGATTAGCTGGTTGGAAGATCTAGCGCAGGAGAAGTCAATCGAGTACGACCCAGCTTGTGCACAGCTATCGCTCTCGACTGCCGCACTGCACAGCTCCACCGACTTCTTCACCCAAGTCACACTTGACATTGCGAAGGACTCCGCTCTCATCGAAGCCCTTCGTACAGAGATTGTCTCTGTGCTTGGGAAAGAGACCTGGAACAAGAGTTCCCTGTACAATCTCAAGTTGATGGACAGCGTGCTCAAAGAAAGTCAACGTTTGAAGCCCATTGCTGTTGGTATACTGCCCTCTCACGTCAATACCTGATTCCAATATCCTGCTGACTTAATGAAAGCAAGCATGCGTCGCTACACGGAGAAGGACGTCACTCTCTCTGATGGCGTCAAAATCCCTAAGAATAGCCTAACCCTGGTTTCAGCTCATCGCCACTGGGACGCTAGTCATTACGAGAATCCGAACGTATTCGATGGGTATCGATTCTTACGAATGCGGCAGAAACCCGGACTCGAGAACAAAGCTCAGCTCGTCAGTGTAACCCCAGACCACATGGGATTTGGATATGGGCTACACGCGTGTCCGGGGCGTTTCTTCGCATCTGAGGAGATCAAGATCGCGCTAGCGCATATGTTGATGAATTATGACCTCAAGATTGTGGAAGGCTGTGACTTAGAGCCTAGGCGATTTGGATTCAGCCTGCTATCGAACCCGACCGCAAAGCTCGCTGTAAGAAAACGTAAGGAAGGCCTGGTGCTTTAGGATATTCATACTCGGTATCGTATCCGTTCGCTATTTTACTGTACCTTGGGTCTTTCCACCTAGAACTATCGTTGACTTGAATAGTTCCTCTCAATCGTTACTGTTCGAGACTGTTCTCTTTTCCTTTTTGTACCAGGGGCAGGTAGGATATGGGTGATGTAAGGAGGGGTTGGCTAGGAGAGAGTGGGCGGTATATATTGCAAATTGTATTTGAGTTGGGATGATAGAAATGATAAAACATGAAAAGAGTCGCGGATTAATTGACTTTTCAGAGTGGAGGTGACGCCGACATGGTTGCTTTGTTCAATCTCACTGTGAACCAGCGTTAACAGTCAGACATATTGGCATGGCTCATCAACAAAATCCGGATTGTACAACTAGAACAACAAGACGTGTTGCAGTTTTTTGATACTCTGTAAAGATTTCTTCTCGTAAGATGCCTCTGGACTGTGCAGGAGTTATTGTATCCGCGACTAAAGAGTATTAAGGAATGAATCATTGAGGATAGGAAAAGATCTACAGAGGCCACAGCCTGTGGAACGCTGTTTTAGAAAGCTTGAAATAAGCAGTGTAAGCTTTAACGGTGTATCTGCGAAAAAGTGAGCAAGGTAGTTAGTCTGAAAGTATTCGAACTTACGAAGTATATTACAGCATGGCTCGGAGTGTCTTCTGTATACACGCCAATAACTCTGGTATTCGAAATGGTTTGGAAATCACGTTGTCCATTCCAGCCTTCATCGCGATTTCAACCTGTTCTGATCGAACATTTGCTGTAACTGCTATGACTGGTACATGGCCATGTACGACACCTTGCTGCTGTAGCTCGCGAATGCGCCTCACGCAAGTCAAGCCGTCCATTACCTGTGTTGTGGTCAGCATTCCTCATACAGTAAAAACTCTGAAGCCAGGTACCGGCATCTCCCAGTCCATCAGTATGAGAGAAAGTCTATCAGCGCGCGGTTCATCCGTGATGCAGTAGGTCGTCGTACGCAAATGATCGAGAGCTTCGCCGCCGTGATTCGCGACTGCGACATTGATGCCAACGTTCCGAAGTTGTTTCGCTAACACGCGTTGATTAACAATGTTATCTTCGACGATGAGGACGTAGAGGTCCGAGGCGGCGACTTCGGTATTGACCAACTGAGCTGGTGACTGGTCCCCGTCGTTGCGCGACTGGCTGGAAAGGAAGGACTCTTGAGTGCGAATGCTAAGGTCAACCGCATCGTTGCTGCATTCTTCCTGTTGCTGTGAGACGGTGGCATCGCGGCTTCTCACGTAAAACGCAAAGGTGCTGCCGACACCGGCTTTCGACGCGAACCCGATCGCACCGCCATGCATCTCGGTGAGTCGCCTTGAGATGAAAAGACCGAGACCAGAACCACCTAGTACATGCAGTGAGAATCAGGAACTCACGAGACACCAAAGCCAGGAAAGTATTCGTCCTTACCGTAATCGATGTGTGTGCGTGGTGATGCTTGCGAAAAACGTGCGAACAATAGATCGCGTTCAGGGTCGCTCAAACCTCGACCAGTATCCTGCACTGCGAAGATGACATATACCTACCACAGTTAGCAATAGAGCTCTGTGTATGTTGTGTGTCTACCTACATTTCCTCCTTTGTCCCAATCTGTCTGTAGACTCAACGCCTCTGTGGCTTCCGATGTGCGGATGAACTCCACGTGGTCTTGTGCGTGTTGCAGCGGCCGTTCATGGGCGATACCGAGAATGACGGTAATATGTCGCTTCTCCTCGAGACGAGTAAATTTAATCGCGTTCGTTAAGAGGTTGATCAATATCTGCAATACCCGAGTTGGGTCGAGTGAAACAGTTTTAACGTTGAGTTTCTTGCAGGAATCCTCGAAACGAAGCTCCAACACTACGCCAGCTGCTCGGGCCTCACTTTCAAACATCTTAACGGCATCTCTCGCAACGGACTCCAATTGCACATCCACTGGAGTCATAACAAAGAGCCCGGAATCCAGTTTGGACATAGTGAGCACATCTGCAGCGCTCAGAATTTAGTCAGAGCGCGGCCTGCTGGCATCAACATTCACTCACCGTCTACGATGGTCTTCATGTGCTTGGAGCATTGCACAATGATCTCAGCAGCATCAATGGTAGATTCCGAAATGCTCTGGTTAATCCGATGATGATTTGTGACGCTCCCCAAAGCTTTGTGGGTGCTTATAATGCTCTTATAGGGTCAATACAAAGATCAGTTCATCTCAATTGGCGTGCTTACATCAGCACACTGTACGATAGCTGAGAGAGGATTGCGCATCTCATGGCTACACTGCTGGTCAGACCGTCGCAAAAGTTTGATGTACAAGCCAACGTACGAAGTAGTGTCGATGAAACTCTCCAACTGGCTGAGAATATGTCAGACTCCAGCAAGTCGCCCAGCGATATATAAACATACCGTTTGGACTCCTGAGCATTCAGAGCATGGGCAGCTTGCACCTGCTCACCCAATTTTTGTTGACTGTTCATGAAAGTGAGCACAACGTCAAAATATGTTCGCGCCTATGCGTACCTGATATCTGTGAAGCAGCCAATCATTGCCTCAACTTCACCGTCACTCTTCATGTCAGGGAAGATAGAACACAATACCCACACAGGCTGTTCATGCGGTTGTGAATCACCAAGACTTTGTATAGAAGTACGCTTCAAGCGCGCTTCGAATGACCTTGCAAGTTGACGTCAACTCTCCATCGTACGACGCCAGGAGACCACCTATAACGTACTGATGCTGCTTCGTGTCGATGAGTGCCTGAAACTTAGCTTTACCAATAGGGATATACTCGTCATCTACAAGTATGTCCCAGGCCACATCGAGTTCAAGACTTCGGTCATTCGTACCTAGTCTTCGAAGGTGGGCATAGTTAGTATATATTTCAAATGGTATTTCTGTCGGAGTCTTTCTTACATGCTATACCAAGCTTTATTTCGGTACGAATACACGCTATTTAAACCTAGGATAAAGATCCTAATGTTAGCACCCTTAGCAAAACGTTAGAACTTATGTACACTTTGCTGAACTTCTTTCTAAGTGTTAAGAAGCTGCTCTTGCAGCTTACGTCGTATAACCTCAACGTTTGCGATAGCACTCTCCCTACGCCTGATATTATCCTTGTGAAGAAGAATTGATGTTAACAAAGTTAAAAGCATACAACTAACTATAGAAATAAAGTGGCTATAGTTACTGTTGTAGGGCCTGCAGGGGTTCAGGCCGACGACCATGAATCCAAGGATGTTGTCTTTTAACGAAGTTGGGTTAAGTAGGCATATTACAGCTGCTCAGCAAGGGTCTCTAAACCTACGCCAGGGAACATTACAGAGTAATTTAGCAGCCGCTAAGTCCTTGTTAAACGAGACTGTTATTGGTTCACGTGCAGCTATGGCCTGTCGAAAGTACGGCGTAAAGCTATAGTCCTTCTAAAGATCGAGACGAGCTGGCCCCGCAGGTGAATCTTTAGGTAGGCTAACAGAGCCTTGCAGCATGCACTGCTGGTGTTCTCCCAACATGCGTGTAGCACTGAAATTTAAGTTGTTCAAACCATACTTAACAGAATAGAGTAGAATAAATAGCATATCTTTGTTGTTGCGTGAGAACACTTCCGTGGCCAGAGCCCAGTACAAATTAATGTCCCGTGCTCGTGGGGCTTCTTCGCTGAGCTGTAGGAGTGTTTGAGATTGCCTTCGTGAAATAACCTCTTTAGTCTGTGCTCTGGTTAGTGACTGCTGACTCTTAGAATGTTTTTATCTAAGCAGATTTCCTTATAATACAGTGTTTGTTCAGCCGACGGAAGTATAAAATCCAGAAGGCTATGGACGCTTATAGTTTCTGTTAAGGGCACGTAGTGTCCCACTGCAGCACCGTCTGCATCCAGGATTGGGATAAATTTTAGGTTAATGTACATCTCCTCCTTGATGTCCTCGCGGGCTAAATGAATAGCTAGATCTGTTTGCTCGACAGTCTTACTGTTAAGGTTCCGAACTATAATTGGCTTGTAATATTTAGACCAAAGTGTACCTAACGCGACTCGAGCACTAAGACCTATACAGGGATGGAGGTTTCTGAGGAATTTGACATAACTCTTATTGTAAACCATTGTGAGATCCGAACTATAGAACACAACTGCTAGCTGTAGGTCCTGCATCACAATATTCGCAATGCTGCGAAGCCTTAAAGACTATGTGCTTAATGGTCCTAGCGGAGTTTGTGACCAATTGATACCTTATGCCAAGGCGACGTGTAGTGACATCCTCGCACCAGAGAGTCTGCCAGTCCAGTTAAATGTTGCGATACTTGACTGCAAAATGCTGTTGGTAAGGATAGCGTTGTTTGATTTTGCTTTTACCTTAAGTTCTAAGGTCTCTGTCGGCGCTCCGTATACGACTATCCACTGGCTTGTAAGCAGGAACTTCGTCCATCTGTAGCCAAAACAGGTACATGACTTGGCAGTTTCTCCCTCTGTAACGATCCAGGTTTGGAATTCTGAGCGAAGTGGTCGTCGCTCCTCCGTAATAACAGTGACGTTTTCGCTCTTGATGCTCCTCAAGACTTGTCCGCCATTGACACTAGCCAGGGCCTGGTTCCAGTAGGCCAGTGAGGTTGAGATATCGCAGCTGTTAAAGGATTTTATCCCATCGAGAAGGAATGTCGGCCGGGGATCGTGTTCCAGCAAATCCAGCATGCCAATCGCATGTATATTTTGTGCGTCACCTGCGTTTCGGGCGACAGGAGGAATCGATGAACGGTCCATCCTCACGAGCAGATTGTAGTTCCACTAAAAACCTCCCTCCTCTTATATTAGCCGCATAAGGAACGGCATTGTTGTTTGTACCGTTGACGTGGAATCTCGAGGTCGCGAGAATAGAGGTGGCGCGGCAGTGCAAAAGTGGGTCTAGTCCATCGAAGGTCTAGGCCTGGCTAGCGATTGCGGTATGCACGCGTCACGTTTGTATGACGTCACTTATTCCAGTGAGCAGTTGGGCCATACCGAAGATCCGCATACCGAAAGCGACCCGACATGAGCGTAAACCCGCAAGAAGAGTGCCGATGAGAAGAATGTACATCTATTCCGTGTGTACCCGACATCAATGTCCAATCAGCTGCACTCGAGCAATCTAGTAAGGAGCTGGTAGTGTTTCTCTTGCAAGATAGTGTCGTCTTCTTTGTGTACGTCAGCGGTGTAGTATGAGGTGATTCAGACACTGAAATGGATGTGGAACGTTGAATTTCGGTGTTCGTCGTTCGTGGACATGTACTTTGGAAGTGAGCATATGTATGTCCGAAGGCAAGAGCAGTAATCGGTCAAGCCGATAAGTAAGTTGCGCGCGCCGTGATAAGTTGAAGATAGTATTTTGTACGATATTTTGGTATGACATGAATAAACCTATAGTTCTAACGAGTTGCGTCAGATGGGAACACATTGATACCTACTGTACCTTTCTATATGGCAGCTGCCTCACCTTAACATGATATTACCACTGGAGGGAGTTACCCTGAAGATTTGGGTTCATTGGGTGTACACAAAGTCGCCACTTTCGATTTACTCTGAGTAGCAGATGAGTGACTAGATACTGACCGATCATTTTACGAAACAGGAACTGTATTGCACGTACTAGTCTCGACTAAAAACCCAGTAGGTTCGGGTGTGACAATACTTCTTAACTACGTGATAGCAACGTGAATAGCTATTTTCTTCACAGAACATTGTTCAGTTAGTCCAACTGCGATACATTGACCACACATGATGGCGACCAAGACGTCGGATTGGCCATAGCTACCTAAACTCCAATAAGTGTGAACCGAGAGTAAACACTTACAATATCAGGCCACTAATGCAGCAGTCGGGTTCATGATCCTAGGTAATGCACCCTTCGTGTGGTAGAAACAAGGACTGAAAGGAGTAGGAGGATTTGGGAACGATTGTTAGATACCCTGGAAGTCAGCGGCAAAATACTGGGATTCAATGATATGAAAGACTACAAATATGCCTTCGTATATAGCAAGCTCAACTAATCTGGTTCGATATATAAAAGAAGGGGAAATCTCAATAAACATTTCAACGAGAAACATGCATGTTTGAGGTTACAGCCCAAGGTCAATTTGTATTTCTGCTACCCACAGCAATCTAGTTTGCAATGACAGCACGCACCCATCAAGCACCAAACAAGGAGTGACAAAAGCCCTATCGCTATTAAACCGTATGCTCAAGTGTATTTGTCGAAGCAGGTATATACAGTCACGAGCCGCGCACCGAGCTATCGGTCGATCGGCATTTTGGTCGCGACAGTATTTATATGCTTTACGAAGAGCAGATCTTGACGAGTCGATAGGTCGTGCGAGGGTGTTGCAATGAGGGTTAGCTGTGAAAGAAATGGCGGTCGTGAAACTTCCTCATCGAGCTTGGTCTCACGGCTGATTTATGAATACCATGAAGCAAATGCAGCCCAATGTCTACCAAATATAACTCTAGGACAACAAACAGTAATAACGGCTATGTGCTTAGTGCGTCAGCGTTCGTCGTCTGGATACCCGTAATGAGACGGGTTTGGTATTTGAGAAATGGGATAGTCTAATGCATTTATTCGTCAGAGTTCTAACAAAATTGATGAAGATAGAGGGCGGCCTGAAAACGAGCGTCAGAGGCAAGATAATACCCTGGGGGTACAAAGGGCATATCAGGGGCCGTTTGAAGTGGAGTTACATAGTCTGGCATCATCCCCGCGGTTGCAGGTTCTGGGTTGTGTGAGTGGTGTTCATATGGGTTCGCTATTGGTGTTCCTGGATATATGTCTCTTCGATCTGTTGTAGTTTGTACATCTTCTGGTGCCGTTCTTGAGCCATCTATTTCTGGACTGGGGGACTTGCGCGCAGATGATCGTTCCTGACTCCACTTTTGTGAATCAAGCTTCAGATCTTGGATCATTGCTCTTGTGAGTGTATGACACGCTTTGATCCAGTATCCAGGTTGATGGCTATAATCTCGAATTTCCATACCAGATTTCACGGAAGCGCCTGGGCCTGGATATCGTTCAATGTCGGCAGCGATCACTACCCTCGAAATACCATCCGCTGGTACAAACCACTCAAATTGTGTTTTGGCACTGCGCTTTTTCAGAACATGCGTTTGCAACACATCGAACTGCGAACCAATCGTTGCACTCAACGTCTCTTTATCTTCATACTCCAAATTGTCTTGATCACCGCTCAAACTACCATTGCTTCCTTCTCCAGCTTCCGAAGAGTTACTCTGGGCCGAGACCTCCTGCTTGCTACCCATGTCAACGCCCGTCAAGCCGTGTGCATAGTCCATTGTACCATCCTCTATGCCTTGAAGATCAAGTGGAAGGGCAAATAACGCAAGATGTTCCTGATGGCGACCAATGTGCTTTTGCAAGACTCGTAGTGTCATGTGCTCATTGCACAGGGGGAACGTAGCTTGTTCGCATGGACCCATACTCTTTGCTGAAGACCGCTGTGGAGCTGAGGGCACTTCCGGAGAAGATGAACGGCTTGTTGAAGAGCTATACGACGAGGCTGGCGGCAAGTATGCCGATGCAGTTAAGCGCTGTATCCGCTGCGACTTCGGCCAGCGTACAACCAAGCTCGATGATGAACACTTCCAAAAGGTTGTGTATCAGGAAGTAGGTGTGCAGCTTGAGGAGAACTATAAATTCCTTTATCAAGGTCAACAGCTATCTTCGATGTGAGGAAGGCGTTAGTACGCCATCAAACCCGCTTATACAGCTCAAAACGTGTGCGTATTGAATGTATCTGGTGCCAGGCTACAGCAGAGAACATGACGTCTGGCTTCTCCTATCTCACGAGGATTCAGTGCTGAAGACTTGACAGATGCGACATTGGATCAGGAATCTGTAATGTATTTGCCATCATTCGAAGCTCACTCACCCCTACCGCATATTTTTGTTACAGCCCATGTTGGAACACAATGACGGTGCCACGTCTGCCATAGTCCTCGCCGTATACCGTGCTACAAGCTCTCGCTTTCACTCTAAAGATAAGAGAAACCTGTGCGTACTTTCCCCATGCCCAGGCTTCAACCGCAAGTTAGAAAATAGCGCAACCGGGTTGTGTGCGCGGCCCATGTAGCCACTACCTTGTGCACGTCATGGTGGTGAAGTGAGGAAAGAAGGTGCGGAGAGAGCCTGACCTACTTTCACCTTCATCATGAACCAGTCACCTCCGATCCCGCCGCTACGCCAACTACAAAGCTTTCATGATTGCCTCCGCCTCCCTCTTGGTCCCTGACCTCTAAGATCAACCTAAATCTTCGTCGCTCCCAAGCCTGACATCGCATCCCTTGCTTGTCCTGGATCGCGACTTCCTCTTTTGCCTTTCGCAACATGTCGTCACGACAACCTCAATTTCTTGCCTGGACGGCTACGACGTATCTGCTCGCGCTGATAGCTTTCATTCTTCGTTTCGCGGCGCGACGCTTGAAACCTCGCCCACTTGTACTGGACGATTACCTCGCATGCGCTGCCTTCGTGAGCCACTTTCCTTGCAATTGGTCGACGCCATGTTTCTAACAACTCTCAGATATGTGCGACTGGGTTTACGGCTGTCAATTGGGCTAGTAAGGACTCACCAACGTGCGAAAAGATGATTTGCTAACCTGCGCAGAACTATCCCTTGGAATTGGCAAGCGCTTCGACGACATTCACATCCCAAACAAACAAGACCGTGTCCACCATGACTATGCGCTTACGCTCTTCATCGACTCGTGGTTCTACACCTCCGCGATCTCGCTCTCGAAATGCGCCATCCTAGCGCTGTACTGGCGATTGTTCAGTGGAAAGCCCATAGTTCGTACGCCGGCCAGGGTCGCGATTTTGGTGCTCAGTGTCTGCGTTCTTCTGTGGACTACGGCTCGAGTGAGTGACCTGGATCTCCTAATATGCTCATCTTCTGACTCTCTTGCAGCTTATTGTTCTGCCTATACAGGGTATCCTTACTCCGAATGCGCGCACCGGACGATCGTCTCCATTCGACACGAATGTCATCCTCTTCGCGACGTCAACGCCGCATCTTCTGATAGAAGTCGCGCTTCTCCTCATACCTTTGCTTCACATACGCAAGCTTTGGCTTCCCATGTCATCGAAGATTGCCATCCTGTTAATGATGTCTTCGGGTTTGATGTAAGGATTGTTGATGAAGCTTGATCAATGCATCACTGACCAACTACAGAGTCTGCGTCGTCGCGATCATCCAGATCATCTATGCCTACCACCTGGACACAAAAACCGACGAGATTTGGTGGGAGTGCTCTCAGCAGCTCATGCTAGCCGTGATGGAAGTCAACCTCGCTCATTTCTCAACCTCTCTACCCCTACTAGGCCCGTTCCGCGACAAGGTGATCCGGCGCTTCAAGGGCACTCAACACAAGATGGGATCTCCCCTCAGTCCTCCAAAATCTCCTCTGCTACCCTGCAACACATCAAGTCACTGCTCTAGCCAAGCCGATACACTACCCGGACTGCAGTGCGCGACTTCCGATATCAAGGATACGAAGATGAAGATCCTGGTCCGTACAACCACCTACACGGTCGTCAGCCGCCAGAGCGAGACCAACCTGCGGAACGACGAACTGGCTGTACAGGCTTCGAGCGATCCCCACGGCCGCCCAGGAGACTGTGTTGTGGGTTCATTCGCACGAGCCAGCGCTTCACGAGTATCTTCCCCGATTGGCGATCGCGTGTGAGTTGGTAGCTTGCGAGACTGCAAAACCCTTTCAATATCTTTCTTAGTCATATGGCGGTTCTAATGGTGACGTCCTAATATGTGCAGAGAAACAATCATGTTTTCAATTTGGTTTATTTACTCACCTTTCGGATTTTATCTTCTTCACGCACAACATTCGCTATTTGCAACAGTAGTTGTCTTGAGAATGGCGCGCATATAGTGTCCGGGAAGTGTATCTAAGAGCATGTCGCTTCCACTATAGCGAGGCTGGATATCGTTGGGACACTGCTATCTGGAAAAATGATATTTGTCAACCTGTGTGTTCGAGCTACGTTTCTGGTCGCATCATTAGTGACCTCCTCTCATATTGACGCCCCGAACGTATCTCCACCAAAGTCCAAACCTACCACGACCCATATCTTCCACTAGCATTCTCCCGACTGCCGCAAACCCGGCAAGTATATTTGTATACATGTGTTTGGTCACGGGTAAGAAGGGTAAGGTGAGGTGAGGTGAATGGAGAGAAATGCAGTATTCCATGCGCTAGTACAAAACGGTATAAGACAATGCTACGCCACGCTATGCAACCCCCAACCCAAAACACCCTCCCAAACCCCCAAAAACAAAGAAAGATTCCCCACAATGCAAAACGCTCCCACCATCTCCACGCCCCAAAACCACCAACAGCCCTCTCCTACCGCGCCCCAAACACCCTCCTAATATCCGCAAACTTCACCGGCTTAACAAGATAAAGATCCACCCCCGCCTCCCCCGCATCCCTCTGATCCTGCGCGCTCGCCAGTCCCGTCAGTGCAACAATCTGACTTCTCTGCAACCCCATCTTCCCCTCAAACGCGCGAATCCCCCTCGTACTAGTCAACCCATCCATAACCGGCATACTAAGATCCATGAGCACGTAATCGAACGGCCTAGTCGGGGGCGAGGTGACTAGGGCTTCGCGCTTGAAAATATCCAGCGCGTCGAGGCCGTTTGAGGCTTGTTCGTAGCGGAGGGATTGGCGCTGGGCGAAGACGACGAGGAGTTTTAAGTTGATTGCGTTGTCGTCTACGAGGAGGACGCGGGGGGGGAAGTATTCTGTCTGGGAGGTGGGG